GACCACCTCTCACGTTCTCTGACAGTCACCCACACGTCGAAGGCCATCGGCGAGTCGGTGCTAATTGAAGGAGCAACTAACCGAGTAATGCAGGTCCTTGTGAAATCCTCCAGCCGCTTCTGCTGACAAACAGGCTCGATTTTTTTTACTAGCACACGCAGAGCACACATAAATTCACATCTTCTTTATCTCTATTCAAATTTTCTAATCACTGCGACGTTGATCCAAAATAGTGGTAGTTTACAGTGGTGTAATTGTTGAGCCGAATATCGAGGGAGGAGTGCAAGCTCGCAAGCGGCTAATTGGTCATTATGCAAATTCAATTACACGCCGTTAAGTACACGAGACGCAAATTTGATTACGCTTGAGTGATTGAATCAACTGCCGGCGCCTAGAGCAAGAGAGAGAACACAAAGACGCATCGGCGGGCGATGATTCGAGTTAACTAAGTTTAATGAAGTGCTAATGTGTCGCCAAGTAATTGGTGGGTAATCACTATTAATGGCCTTTAAAGAGCTATGAAAACAAGCAGGCCTCTAAACATTACACGCCGCGAATTTATTTTTACGTTTTATTTTTCTTCATTTACCAAATTTCCCTAGAAGTACTCAAAATGGAAGTCCATGTGGTAGAAAAAATTATAATTATGTTGCAAAAAAAAAGTACAAAACTAGTTTCATATATACAAGCTGTTTTTGTTTTTCATCTATGTCGCCCAGTCCTGAAGATCAAATTTGACTTTTAATGTGATAAAAATTAAAATTGTCAATATGCAATCTCTTTTCATACAAATAGCAAGCAAATACATATTTTTTAACACTTGACAATTTTTCTTACAACTTTCTTATATATTCAATTGGATTTCTGGTTTTAATTAATTTTGAATGGTACTGGTTTTGTTAAATATTTTAATACAAAGATAATTTTAATTTAGTATTTTCGGATGAAATTTCTTGCTTCATATTAATCTTCTTTGGTCAATTTTTATATTGAATGTTCCATTGAGTTTTATGAAAGTTTGATTTTGAGTCGATTCATCAAAAGATATTCCTGCACTGTAAATTCCTACGTTCATTAAATTATTTGGCGATTTTTTTCTTTCCTTTTTATATTTATCTATTAGATTCAAGTTTGTTATATGATCTTTCCCTCTTATTCTCTTGTTTTCAAAATGTTGGTTTTTGCTCCGAATTTCGCTCACTCACCGAGCACCGCACGAGCCCATTAAAGCGTAATAATCTGCGGTGTTGCCAACAAAGCCCAAGGGTCTCTCTCGCTGCACTCTCTCAGTACCCCTTTCCTTCCTGCAGCTTTCTTCCTCAGCAATTTATCACGCGATTATTATTACCCACCGCATCTCTCACAAAACTAGTCGATATTTTTATTACGATCGGCATCATTATTTGATGAGGTCAGACCGCCGCCGCCACCGCGCGAGCTCCCCCGCGACCCTATGCTGCTGATCCCCGATCTAATTACGCGGCGCAATCCTCCTGTTCTCTCTCTCTGTCGCACTCTCTCTGCGCCGCAGTATGGCCCCGGCAATAAATAATAGCGCGGCCCCCTGCCTAAACACAAACAACAAAAGCTGCCGTTGTGTGGCCGCAGTTCATCTATGTAAATCATCAGGGGATTCTCGGGTGCGATATTACGCGCGCCGACCGACGAGCCTTCGCTCTTTAATGCCCTCGCTATAAATACGTATAGAGTTCCATTTAAACGCGCGCGCTACGTAAAAATGCCGACCGGTTCCCGAGGGAGTCGCACCACGCACCCGATTTGCAGCGGATTCCACTGTTGAAATTACCACCATGATCCCAAGCCACAAGCGTCAATTTCATCCTTTATGGGCGCCTATCAAATGAGAGTAAAATCAAAATGCTTTCAATTGGAAAAGATATCAATTGCCGAGTAGCAAAATATTTAATAACTAATAAAGCGACTTGGATTCAAGTATTTAACAAATCAATAAATTTCTTTTTTAGCTTAGAGATTATAATAAATTTTCGCAAACAAAAATAATTCCCACTTGCTGCCAAAACTTTGCATAGACAAGACTCTCAATAACTCTTTGATCATTACCTCAAAATATAAACTACACAATTTACTCTTCTAGCTCAGTTTGCTTTTTAGGCTACTTTTTGCTTAGTGTACAGACTAACAGCACCCCCCACCCCAAACCAATTAGTATAGAATTTTTTTTCGTCAATTTTGAAATCAAAATAATAATAATTTGAATAATCTGGAATAATCCATTATTTGACTCGCTTCTTCACAAAAACTTATCACGTCTTCAGCCCCTCGGTTCTTATTTATTATGCCAATTGGAAATGGTTATGCAACACGCAGTACTGATCAGTCGAGCAGGCTGCAGCAAATGTAATAATCTATCATTTTTCTGGAAACAAAATTTATCTATTTAAATCAATTTTTGAGTTTTAAAACTCAAAATGCACATGAGGTTTATAATAATGCAAATAGGGTTTATAAAAATAATATCTGATGTCAATCTGACGTCATCCATGCTAATAATTTATGCAAAAAGATCTCGAAAAAATACAAAGTACAATGATTTTTGTTTTTAAATAAATTTTACTTATTGTTAGCTTTTAACCAGCCATTTATTACACAAAAATTGATTGAAAAATAAAATCTGAATAAACTTAAATCTAATAAATAAAGTAATAACTTTATTCCGACAAAGCAGCTCAACTTACATAATCGCTTTGAAAATTTCCTGTTGCAAATGTATTGTCTAGGAACGGAAACTTTTCTTGACCGAAACAAATAGAGAAAGAAATTCCTTTGTTTCTCAAGTTGCGAAATTAGAAAAGAGTGTGGCTGCGTCGTCTCTTGGCTTGAAGGCAGAGCAGCAGGTTTATCGATCGGCATCGGAGCTGGGCAGGCGGGCGTCGCGCTTCCTTTTTCTACGCTTACTTTTTTATGGGCCGGTGGCGGAAAGACAACGCTCAAGGGGGCTTGCGCGCGCCAAGGTAATCAAAGCGTCCCGTGTCGATCAGCGTTATGGGCCATCAGCGCGTTCGGAGTGGCCGTGCACGCCCGCCCGTATATAAAAACAATCAGGGGAATGTGTATCGCTCGTAAAAGGCGCAACAAAAGCCGCTCCGCCAATTTGTTTTACGGCTGCAAATTAATATCGCGTCCGCCACCGGGCATTAAGCTGCGAATAATTGCAAAATAAAATAATAATGAGCGACCGCGGCACAGCGGATTTTATATTAATGCGCCGGTGTAATTTTATTACCGCCTGTATGCGCTGACGACACGCTCGCGGCTGTCGCGGATTTAAACTCTAAATGCGCAATTGGGATCAATTCCGCATCAAACATCCGCGACACAATCAACGCGAATTGCTCTCGGCGCGACCACGCGAATTTAAATTTTTTCCCTCAACGCGATATTGAATATTGCGCCTCTGCTGTGCTGACTGGCGAGAGGGAGCTTCATGATTAGAACAATTTCATATGTAGCACAAATAAAATGGGAACAATTATTTAACAAATTTGAATTTCATTTTTCCATAGTAAATTTAAATATATTAAATATAAAATAAACGATTATTTTAATTAACTTATTTCTTATATCAGTTTTATAGAAATTAGCGGTTTTTCAGTTTTTAACAATTTTTTTTTTATCAAATTTCTTAATATAATATAAGACATACTTTTATCATCACTTAACCATTATTGGCAATTGCAATTCTATCATCACAACTTTCCATCGCCCGTATCTTTCTTCTCTCCTCTCAATAATTGCTTACAATTGAAGGTATCTGAATCTAAAAATTATTACATTATAATGATTAATCATGTAAATATCATACAATTTACTTATTACAATGACCAATGATAATTTGAACAAAGAAAAATATACTGAAATTTTTACACGCCTTTTTACCGATCTTTAATAACAAATAATCATAAATTGCCGCAGAATTTATGTTCTGCAAAGTGATTTGATAACTCCAGAGAATTAAAAACGGGGTGCAATGAAAATCGTTTAAAAAACGAGAGCCGCGGGACCATTAGGTATCGGTCCATTCCATGCTGCTAATTACCCACCGACACAAACATGCACCGCGCAAAAATAATAAACGCCGCGCCACTCTTGGTGGGACGCAAAAAAATGAAACCTGTTGCCGCACGAATATTTTTTAAAGCAGAGCCGCTGGCAAAAAAAATCACAAAGCTAATGAGAAAATTGATTTCGCGTGGCTCGCAGGTAATTCGATTTTGACGCCATTTTGCACCGGCCGTATAAATCGGGCGAACGGATGAGCGCGGCTGATTTACCGCTATATTTATACGGTAACTAATGCTGCGGCTCTCGACGCGGCGTCCATTCGTCTTTCTAGGCCGGCCCGGTCTCCAGAGGCCCCGTTTAATCCGGCGCCGCGCTAATACATCTCGCCGACCGCTCGTTTATTTTGCCGGAGACTTTGGCCGGCTGCTGCAAGGGTTGCATACCCCCTGCTATATACGACCCCTCACTATGCCCTGGTAATGGACTGCGGACAGGGATTTTTCCGCAGCGCCAACACAGCAGAAATGGATGGTCGCTCGGTCGGTCCCCGGCCACTGATCACTTCCGTCCCCTCTGTGTGCAGTGGAATTTCCCGATTCGAGCGGTTTTGTTGCTGCCACAGCATCTTAAGTCTGATAGATATTTTGAAATACAAAATTGAACCAAAGATAATTCGTTTAAATCACATAACTTGCATATTAAACTATTCTGCGTTAAACAAAATCATCGAACAATTAATATTTTTCAATTTTTAATTTCAAACTCGATTTTTCACTTATAGAAATTTAGTTTTTGAATCTTTTGTGAACCTATACATATTATTCTTAAATTGTGATTTTTTCACAATTATGAATATTTTGTTTTTGATTATGAAACTTTTCATTAATTTTATTGAAAATATTGAATTTATAAAATTTGATATCCATTTAATTTAATCTACCCTCATTTTGTTTCAGGTGTGGTTTCAAAACCGCCGGGCCAAGTGGAAGAAGCGAAAGAAGACAACCAATGTATTCCGCTCTCCTGGCGGATTGCTGCCCTCGCATGGCCTGCCACCCTTCGGCTCCATGTCTGATGGTCTCTGCTCGGCGTCTGGCATGTTTGGCGGCACGGATACCCGGTGGGGAGTCACAGGAATGACCCCAGGTGAAAACCAAAACTCTTTTAATTGAATTTAAAAAAATTAAAAACTCTCCCAAAAAGATTGATAACTAAAAATTTGTAATACAAAGATTTTAAGCTACATGCATATTATATTTTATTTCCATTAGGATTTAAAATAAAAATTTCAATAAGCAAATTCAATATTTTTTTTTTTTTTTAGTTTTAAACTTATACATTTTCTAAATTGCTTGATATTTTCGGCTATCTCCATTTATGTTGTGATCCCTTTTATCTCTATTCAGAGCAAATTTTTTCATTAACGACCTGTAAGGCCGGAAGGATTGACACACGTGCAGTGGCCGATCTGATTACAGGGCTGGGGCAGCTGAGCCAGAGCGCGATGAGCGGCTTCGGGCAGAGCATCGGCCAGCTGAACCAGGGCGTCAACTCTGTGCCCATCTCGTCGTCGGCGGGCATGACGCCCTCCGCCTACCAGCCGCACCACTACGGGCTCAACTCGCTCGGTGAGCATGCGCTCGTCTCTTGGTCCTAATGGTGACTGGTCCCTCTCCCTGTCCCTCCTCGGACGGAAGGACCCTCGTGTGCTTGTTCTGTGTACGGATGTAACGAAATGCGCCAAATTGTTGCAGTGGGAAATTAATTCTTTTTCTTTTAACTCTCTCTCTCGCCACCAATGTGAATAACCTACACTTTTTTTACTAATCTGGCCTGAAAGTTAAGAATGGAAATTCATTTTTTATGGCTCTTTGTGATGAATTTTTTAACTGCTGGAGAATGTTTCCTCTTTTTGTCTCTCGATTTGGATGGAGCACTACTCTCAAATGTCTGGTGCGCATTTGTGCATATAGCGGGCCCGGCTCTTAATTAGCACCTTTCGAGGCTCCCTGCGATATCTCGTAGGCAGCACCTAGGTGTCAACACAAACATTAAGGAGGCGCGCAGTGACGAAAGCCAGGCGCCCGAGCGCGATCTGTTTGTATAAAACGCGGCTCAATATTCAGCACGGCGTGACCAAACATAAATGAAACTTTTTATCCGGGAATTTCCTTAGCTTGCTTTAGAACAAACTCTCAAAAACAAATTTCTCTTTGAACGTTGAGGCTAATGGCATGACTTACTTCTAACAATTCCGTTTAAACCACTGAAAATTAATGTTTAACTTTAATTAAAACTAAATGTAGTTAAATATTAATTCCATTTTAATTATTTTTAGTTAAAAATAAATGTTTGCTAAATTGTCCTGACAAAATGAATCCTGCACGAAATTTTCTTGGGGATGAGGTATCTCTTTGTGCTGGTTCTGGTTGGTGTTCTGTTTTTCCTCAGCCACTGTCCCTGTTAGTTTCTTTCTTTGTTGGTGTAAATACAATCTCTCTAATTGCACGCAATTGATCTCATTTCTGAAAACTCTAAAATAAAAATGGCAAAAACTAAATTGATATTTGGTCAATTTAAAAAATTTAAATGCTTAATTTTGTTTACTATACTTAAAATTTAATTTAAGTTTTTTTGTTCCAAATATAAAAATAAAAATTAAATTCTCTGTCATTTCTGGCACTTGATCTTATAATATTTTAATATAAAATAATGTAAGCTAATTGATCGTTATAATCCTGAGTGAATTTTTAAATTAAAATACTCATAATCAATCTTATCCAATAATTTTTTTTACAATTATTCACAAATAAATGAACCAACTGACAAATAATGAAAAGGATTATTTGTATTCTTTATTTGCTTTATTTGTGCTACGTTTTTTTTAATTAATAATTTTTTATGATTATATACTACAAATGTGTTTACTTGCACAGTATATTGCCGCTTTTGTTTAATGGATTGTTTTAAACCTCTCGAACAGACCTGCGTAACAGAATCACTGACCTGAGCGTTTGCACGACAGGTACCTCATCCGGTGGGCAACTCAACTCCCTGGGCGCGTCGCCGGGCAGCGCGGGCAGTGGCGGCGCCGCCGGGCTTAACTCGCTGCTGCTGGCCGGCGCCGTTTCATCGGCCGGCGGCGATCACCACTCAACGCCGCCACCGCACCAGCAGCACTGCTCGCTACTGCAGCAGTCGTCGCCGCCGATGCACCTGATGCACCAGCAACACCAGCAGCAGCAACAACAACAACAACAGCAGCAGCAGCAGCAGTTGAGTCCCTGCGATCAGGACGGCGGTCTCGGCTCGGAGGCCGAGTGCCAGGGCGACCTGCAGGATGACTCCTCTGGCTCTTGGCGGTGCCATAGCATCGCCTCCCTGCGGAGACGCGCCCTGGAGCACGCGGGAGGCGTCGCCGCCACAACCGCTTACAGATAAAACTCTTTCCACTTTTCCGCTTGAGAGCCTCTATCTTGTTGATTCAGACGATTCCAACAGTAAAAAATTATTTCTGACTTTAAAGGGAAGGGATGAAACGCTTTGATTTGTTTATATTATGTTTTCCAACCTTTTTAGAATTCATTAAATTTATTTCTGCAATATTTTTTATTTGGTTTGAAAAATTAAATCACCACGTTTTAAATTTAAACTTGTGATTTTTAATTAAAATTGCAAGTTATTGAATAAAAAAATCAACCATCTTTCTTAAATCTAATCATAAAATATAATTGAAACAGTTGTGGAGGTTCTCAAAAGGTGATTCAGAGTTGATTAATTTTTTAGTTTACAGGCTTCTTAAATTTTAGCAAATTTCCGTTTGAAATTCTTTGCCAGAGGGATCAAATTTTTGTCACTTTCCAACTATACTTGAAACTACTCTTCAATATTTCAAAGAGGCATTATAGTGCGTATACGATTTTTGTACAAACACGCAGTACTCACCACGAGATACACACGCCGTAAGTGTAGGCGAGAGAGACAGACCGCTCGAACAAAAGATACCAAGTATAACGAACTAGAGTGTAATGAAAAAATTGTGTAATTTCGTCGTCACAATTACTACTTTATTGATTATGGAAGTAAAATTTTTGGAGCCAATGTGATTCGCTGATGATTTTTCCCTTGACAGGCTGTCGATGTTTTTTGGTGGGCCTGTGCGCGGCGCTAGAAAATCTTGTGTATGAAATGTGCATTCACTTTCTTGCTGAGAAAATAAATGAATTGGCGAGATGCGCGCGCGGTAGTGCAAAAGTGTATAGAGATAATCAGTGTTCCCGATTTTGCTATGTCCTTATTTATGTTGAGAGACACACAGAATTGTACCGAGAAACATTAAATCATAGTTACACGTATACTTCTCAATAATTCATGGGTTGTAATATACACAATTAAGAGTTACAATAAATTATGTACATATATAATATTCATTCTTTGCTATATTTAATTTATCTAATTTATTATCCCTACACAGTCTGTTGTTATTATTTTGAAATTTATTAATCTCTAAAATATGTTTAATATAGATGAAGTTAAACGTATGCAACTTGGAGAACGCAAAAGCTATGCGGGTTGCGCACCATTTGCATCTGACGGCTTATTGTTAGCTTCTAAAATAATTTCATGTCAGTAAGATATCATAGCAGACGAATTTTAGGGAATGAATAAAAACAAATTAAATAATATTAATTATGAAGGATGAGTTCATTTTTATTTAAAAAACAGATTCAAGAATAAACTCTAAAGACCACGATATTGAAAATTTTGTCCATAAACTTTGGAATTTTCATAAAATATATATAATAAAAGAATTGCAACAAAAATAAATAAAATAATTTAAATCGTCATTTTCTCATGAGAATGTCAGTTTACCCCTTATCCTTAAATAAAATGGTGAGTTGTTTCAAAAATAAATCTGCAACTTACAAATCTAATGAAGAGACTAGATTTTTAAATCAGACTGCGAACCAGCGCTCAACGTTAAATGCATTTTCCACTCCTTGAATTAAAAACGGTAAATGTCAGTCAAACATTATTGAGTTGAAAATTTCTCAGTTTCACAGAACAGTCTTGGACGGTGCAGATTTCAAACCGGCGATCGAAGTCGCTTTTGTTTTTGTCCGAGAATTCGCTTTCGATCTCACCTAATGTCTTGTCCTTGGTTTCTGGCAACACGCAAATGGCGAAGACTGCACCAAAAAGGGAAGCCGTCGTAAACATGCCTAGGGTGGTTGGCAGCCCAAAGGAGAATAACAAACCAGGGTAGGTTTTGACAGACGCGAAAATGAGGAGGTGGGCCAGGGCGGTCACCAAGCCGACCGCTACACTTCTCACCCGAAGGGGAAATAATTCACTGGTCATGATCCAGGGCAGCTGAAGCATCCCCAGCATGCTGACACACACGTGCATCAAAACCCCAAAGGCTGGAATCCAACTCAAAATCTAGGAAGACAAATTAAGGAAATTTGTATATAAAAGATTAAAATAGATTTACCCTGTCTTGGAAGTGAAATGAGCTGAAGAGGAACTCGTAGGCGGTGGTGGCACCCATGGCCAGGGTCATGAGCAGGGCCGAGGCGGCGGCCAAGGTTTTGCGAGGGAATTTGCAGAGGAGAAAGGCACCAACAAGACTCATTACGAGCCGCGCGAGGCCAATTCCAATGGACACGAGCGACTCGTCCTGCCCGGCGCCCACTTCCCGAACAAAGTCCACGGCGTAGAACAGGATGACGTATATGCCAGAGGCCTCTTGGAAAAAGAAAAAGGCCACCAGGATGAAGAAGGGCTTCCACACACACGGCTCCAGAGCCATTCTGAAGAAACTGCGGATTTGAAAAATTATTAATATATACTTTAGTGTTTTCTTTAAAATCGTTTACAAATATATTTTATTGAAAAAATATGCATGTTTCCCAAACTCATAATTAAATTTGATCCTAGAAACAATTAGTAGTTTAAAATTTAACAACTGAATAAGACAATAATCCAAATTTTTGAAAAAATTGTTTCCCATCAATTCCTTTTGAAACAATTATGTATCATAATGTTAAGTTCTTGAATTAATATCATTGTATAACTGCTAAACAAATTAAAGTTTTTCCAATGGATTAAAATATTCATACAATTAATTGATCTACCAATTAATGCATGTATTTAACTTTCAGTAAATATTTCGAAAAAAATATTTTATTAACGGTTTAATTTGAATATGGTTTGATTTTATTTATTCAACTTAATAAATTTCTTTATACCTGGTGCAAGAAAACTTTTCATCGGCGGTTTCTTTGCATTTGATGGCGTCCACTTCAGCAGACGCTTTGTCAGGACAGTTTCGGAGCCAATTTAAGGCCTCCTTGGCCTCATCCTCCCTCCCGTGAGACACCAACCAGGGTGGACTCTCAGGCAGCATGACCGCCATCAGCCCAGTGCACACTGCAACAAGGGCGGCGACCAAAGCAACCACGCGCCAGGGCAAAAACGCGCCTAGAGAGTAGGCCAGTAGCACGCCTAGGGACACCAGCACTGGACCCGTCGCTGCCAAAGTGCCTCTTTGCTCAGGGCGGCTCACCTCGGCCACATAAACGTAGCTCACGGAACCGAGACCTGGAAAAAATTTAGTTTGAATTAAAGGGCTTACTTAAAAATTTTATAAAATCAAGTGAATTTACCAACGGCGAATCCTGTGACAAATCTCCCAATTCCTAGCCAGTACAGATCGTTGGCGGCCGCTATCAGCAACCATCCGAGCACATAAGGCAGTGCAGAGATCAAAAGGGTTATTTTGCGACCAAGCACCTCGGCCAGTGTGCCACCGATCAAGGCACCAAGAGGATTCGAGATCACACCCAATGCCGCTGAAATAAACACAATATTTTAGAATGGAGTTCAAAAACTGTGTATAAAATTGAGTGCTTCCATCTAAAAATTTGTAATACCAGTGATAAACGAATTAAAACAATTTATTGAACATTGGTTTAAAAAAAAGATATTAAAAAAACTATCACTAATTACTAGATCTAGTACTTAACACGGAACAAACTGGCAGCAACTAATATTAATAATCTTGTGACACAAAAGAGGATTATTTGTTTTGTTTAATTTTTAAGTTGTTACTGAAGTAATTTATTTGCGCATGCTAGAATACTAGCATACATATTTCAATCTTCTACGTAAATGTACCCATGAGTTACAGGGAGTTTCTGTTTACCCTAATGAGAAGTGGTTTCTACGGCAATGATCCAAATAATATGAATTAACATGAATTATCAAAGTCGTTTACAAAACATTATCATACCTCTAAATACTATTCTATTATCTAATTTGAAAATTTAATCGTGTTTCAATAAAATTACAAATTTTAAATCAATAAAAATAAAGAGAAATAATTAAAATAAAAATTTTTAAAACGAAAATATTTAAACTTATAATATGATTATAAAATTATGAAATTTATATTAAGACGTGTAAAGTGTTGTATTGCTTGATTCATATGTATGGCCAATAGAATTTAATAGAATAATCACACCCAGGAAGGCTCAATTGCCAATTGCAAGATTTGGCAGTTATATAATTGTAATATCAACCGCTGGTTTCGAGAGCGAGAGCCGCCGGCAGAAATCAGTTGGATGGAGCAATGACCTTGCAAAAGATCACATATGAGAGTGATCGGATTCTCGTGCGGAAGTAGCGGAATATTAATTGCTTCTCAAGCCGGAACGAGATAAATTCATTCACGTAATTGCCAAACACAACACCTTCCGCGCGGAAGATTGTTTCTAATTTTTTTCCAACTCAAATTGCAACCATTAAATTTTATGCTACACGTTTGACATTCAGCACGTGCTGTTTTTTTATCCCAAGATCCCTGCATCGCAACAGTTATCAAATAGAAATTTCTAGCCAAGTTTCACAACAACATAAACAAGAAAATAGATTAAAGACGAAAATATTAAAATTGTTTCCTTACCTAGCCAAGAGGCAGCTTCGGCTGAGATGACCCCGAAGTCACTGTCAGGGCTAGACAGCTGTGGCAGCAAAACGGCCGAGTAGCCTTGACAAAGACCCACTGACACCGAGTGGCCGTGCGCCACCACGGCAGACGCGACCTGAAAAAAGGGTTGATTCAGTCCTTACTATTCCCGGTGCAGAAGTGCGTCACTGCTGAAGAGCGAGCAAGGAGAGAGAAAGTTGGCAGGGTAAAATTGCTATTTTGCACTTTTCAATATCTATTTTAAGAGTAAGGTATCGGCGGGTACTCTGTTCATGGTGCAGCTGCTAGATAGGAGAGGACTTGAAAAGAACACAGTGGCAGAGCTTCTTCAGATGCAGAGTGGCGCGTGAAAGATAATTGTTCTCGAGATAAATGATTAATTTGTGTGTTCGAGAGCTCTGTGTGCGTTGCAGGTCTTGTTAAACATTCCTTTATATAATTTATACACATTGTTACTCTGTTGTTTTCCAAATCATAAAAACAATAATATTTATCAAGTCGCGATGAAAAAAAAATATTGTCGTTAATTAAATATGGCGATATAATATAAAAAAGTACAACAACATTAAATGGAAAATTGAAGCAAGAAATAAAATAAAAATATTGACAATATAATTTATTTGTTTAGAACGACTTGCAGCATTATAAGGCAGAAGCAGCAAGAGGCAAAATTTGGATGCGAATAATATATTTTGTCAACATGTACAATGTTAAACAGTATAATGTACTAAATTAGTACTTGTGACTAATCGCCCTGACGTGGAATTACGTTCCGAGACGCGAGATATTTGAGACAAAGTCGGTGTAAAAAAAGTTTGAGAATTCCTTTTTTGATAATAAACAATCTAAATTGAGGGCGAAAATTTCCCAAAATTAAAATTCTTTAAATTACCCTCAATTAAGATTGTTTATTATTATAACAGGAACTTTTTTTCACCGGCTTTGTCTCAAATATCTCGCGTCTTGAAACCTAATTCCACGTCAGGGTGATTACTCGATTAGTCACAAGTACTAATTTAATTATTTCCCGTTTTGGGTAGTTTCTTTGGGTTTTAATTTCTCAAAAAAATATTATTTATGTTTATACTATTATTTAAAACAAAAAAAAATAGTATAACCACTCAATTGCACTTGTTTTCTAGATAAATATTTTTGTTTCAACAGTATATTTTGAAAAAAATTTCTCTTTTAAAATGCTCTGTTTGTTTGCATTTTTTGCTGATGCATTATTGAAACATTTTAAAATTAAGCATATAACTTTGAAAGAAAGTTAATATAAAAAATAAAATTGGTTCTTCTTTTCAGCAAAAAACAGTTATTAAAATATTAATTTAATATTTTTTAAATGAGTTTTCTATTTTTTATCACTATTTAAAAAAAGACAGGAAGCTAAAAAGTGGCATAATGATTAAAAAATATGCCACACGAAAAGCGAGGTCGCTGCCAAAATTAAATGTTGAAATCAGGCAAGATTGTTAAAGCAAAATGTCTAGTTAACCTCTTTAAACAAAACTGACGTTTTCATAAATAAAAATTAATTACATTGTGATTTCATTTTAATAAATTAAAACCGAAAATACATGAGAGATAATTATGCATTTTTTTATGAATAAAGTTACTCAGCATTCTAAAATGTGTGTACTTTTCAGCTTAACACTCTCTTATTCGGAGAGAGTTGATTGCGAATTCAATGTCACCAGACCATGCAAATGCGGAATGTTTCAGTCCCGCCGCGTGCTCGAGTCCAGTTGCACTTTCATTATTATTTTATACCCACCCACGCGTCATCACCGCGAAAGACAATGCTCTCGTTACCTAACAGCTCAATCACTCTCTCATTAATAGTGCACACGGCGGGTGCGGGAGAAAGAAAAAAAAATCGAGCCGCCGGTCGCTGTTTATATATTAATCGTTGACACACCCGCGAGCGCGATTGATTTCTCGCCGCTCACTTGCTCAACTATTACGAATTGACTAATTAATTATATCAGGCTGCAGCAACGCAAATTCAGCGGGCATTGTTTTTGTGCTCGCAGCGATTTGCACAACTAGCTTCGGCTGATGTTTGTTTATTTATGTTTTGCTACGATCGAGAGGGAAAACAAAGCATAAATAGCAGAGGCTAGAAATTAATTAAGGATAAATACAGTGGCGCTTATCGCAAGCGCGAAACCGTTGCGTGCATTTAATCATTTTATTGGCACACTTACGTTAGTGCGCGTCTCTCTGGCTGCAAAAATATGCAGCTGTGTGCGTTGGATAAAGTTCTAAAAGGTACTAACTCTTGCTACATTATTTTTCCGCGTTCTCTGTTAGTCATTATTTAAATGGAAAGTATCGCGCCTCTGCGGACTGCATTGAAAACGCTGCTAGTTTAAGGCCGCACAAAATTCAAAAAGTCTATCGCTAATTTGTTTCCAGTCAGGAAAGTCTGATTCAAGAGAGATTAGCTTTTTCTCAAATATGGAAAGGGAAGCCACACTTTTGCAGTTTAAAATCGTCCAGCTTCATTCCCTTTAAATAATTTCTAGGATGTTCATTTTTTGTAGCCAGAATTCATGAAATTAAATGAAGAAGCTCACTTGTCTTTATATTTTATATAAATTAATTTTTTTATTAAATCAAGCACAATATTTTTTTTATTCATTTATTGCTACAAATTTGTTGATAACATTTTTGAGAAAAACAATGTTGTTAGAAATTGTTGGAAAAAAGGCACCGCGAGAATTTTTCCAGAACATCAAATATTAAAAAGACCGCAGCAAGTTTCGCGGTTGACTTATTAATTATTATTTCGTTTTCCTCTTCTCACTAAACCAATAATTCTGACAAGGTGGACCTTGCCTACTATTAAGAGTGCTCTTGGATTTTGTTCAGCACTTCAACTTTTTTTCATATTTTTATTTTGCAAAATAGCTGAATGTTTTTATTTTTGTCTCGCCAAGTCTGGCTTATGAAAAGAAGGTCGCAGGCCATAAACAAAAGTTAAACTATATAAAAAAACTAATTTCAGTAGGTCTTTTAAGCCCTGATCTATAGAATTTAGAATCCAGTTTTTTCCCTTCACGCCAGTGCTATGAATATTAAAATGTATGAAAAATGTATCTTTGAAATATAATTTAAAAATAAGCATCAAAGATAAGCACCCAAGGTTAACAGCGACGGATGAAAACGATAAAAGTTACAGAAAAACTTGGATGGAAATATTTTTGCACTAAAGCTTTCTTAATTTTAATTTATTAGCCGGTTCGCAAAAAGAAATTTAATCTTCTCTTCGGATTTAATCTTCCGAAATTAAGGAGTGGCATACAAATTACCCTTTGCAAAAAACTTCTCAGGCTGAATAATAAATTGCAGCCAATTGTCGGCGACTGGCGAGTGAAATTTTCTCCGCAAGAAAATTTAATGTCCATAATTTAAAAATCTCTCATGAATAGTGTATTTTTTTTTATGAAAACTCAACCCATGCATGAAATAACTACATACAATTTTTGCAAAATTAAATGAAGAATAGACTGTTCTGGTCATATATTCTTCAATTTAAATTGCCCTAACCACACGCACGCAATAAGTACATTAAGCAAGCGAGACGCGAAAAGGCACCTTGACTTTGAACGCGTCTCTTTTCAGCTGATCTCGGAGATCTCAACAGATAGAAAAAAAGCGAAAGCGGCTCATATCACAATCAGTCGCTGGGTTGAGCGATCGGTCGTTGAGAATAAATTATAATATGTAACCACTAGAATTAAAGTGGAAGCGTTGTTTGCCGCTGAGTGAGTATAGGAATTAACAATCCAACTCGCAACGATATACAACTGTAATGACTTTGTGCCGCGACCTGTATACGGATGGGAAATGGTAATTACTCCTCATTGTTTCACTTGCGTCTCTACATCATTTTCTCCGCGGTTAATTGAAATATTGGATTAAGTATCAAAGATATGATTAACTTTTTATTCTATAATTGCTTTTTTAATTAATACTTGTTAAAAAAATTCTCGAGTTTGACATTGATTTAAAAAAAGTGTTACGTGGATATAATTTGTTACGTAACAGAGAAAATTTATCAAAATTTGAGAAAAAAGTGGACGGAAAAAATTGTCTTCGTGTATATATAAAAGAGGCCGAAACGCAATTATTGCAAACAAACAGTGCTGCTGGCGTTGTCAGAAATAAACGTTGGACCGGTGCCCAACTTTGGGCCAAGCGGCCGTGAGGGTGTTTGACCGCCACTAGAAATCAAAACACCCTTTTGAGAAGAAGCAAAATTAAACCAAGTTTCACTCACTGTGCGGGCGAAGGCGATGTGTTTCGTGGCACCGATGGCCGCCTTGGCCGCTTCGACCGCCGGCCCGATCATGTTCTTGAGCGCGTGTCTGTTTCAAGTAAATGAGCACCACAAGTAAGTCGCTCTTTCAGCCGCTCCTAAACCAGTTGCTCTCGCTCGGCCGACGCAGAAATGAATGAGAGGCAGCAGACTCGCGAGCGCCGGGACAGCCGCCGTGGTTGCCCCAGCCAGCACTTCCTCGCTGACACCGCGGCACACCTCCGCAGGTCGGAAGACAAGAGGAATCGAAGCAAAATAGAGGTCACACGCCTGTTTAGGCGAGCCGGCCGGCTACTTGACTCACAAAAGTCACTAAGTTGACTTGTAATTAAAATATACTAATTTTTAAATCCATCAATTTTTTTTCCAATCAATTGTTTGGAATGAGAAGATATTTGAGGAGACTTCATGATGTTCTATTATTCTTATATTATCCTTTTGTTGCATTTATTATTTGCTTATTGGAAAGCATAATGATTGATGATTGTATTAAGTTTTGATTACTGTATTTGGCCCTATTTTATTAAAAAAGAAGAACACAAAGTCAGCAAATTTCTAAAACCGCAATATTCATAAAATTGAAAAAAGCAGTGCGGTTATCATTATTTGCTGACTTTTTTGCACCCTCAATCATGCACGGAATAGGGCCGCGCAAACGTGGCCGAAACTCGTAGAACCTTTCTATTTTTACCTAAAAACGTTTTCGCTGAGGAAAATCTGATTTCTTTTTAATTTATGAATTTAAATAGATTATTTTAGTTTGTTATATAAAAATTCAATACATTTTAATTCATATAAAAAACAATTAAATATCATTCATGAAGGAATGCCACTTTGATTTCTTGTCCTCATTACTTAAAAATTAATGCTACCAATTTTAAATAAGGCGAATTCATGGTCTTGCAAATTTTTTTGTTGATGGAACTTTTTATACTTAAAATGCCTTGCATTGCAGTTAATGAGACCAGTAGAGAAATAATATTTTGCAAAAGTTAAATCACGTTAAATGTATGATGTGTATAATGAATAATTTCAATACATTTTATAAGGGCCATTGAAGATACGTATTATTTATTATAATTTAGTATTCAAAAAGTAATCAATTTTAATGGTCTCTAACGAACGATGTTCAAATAAAAATTTATAATTTCCCATGATACCAGAAAATCTGCCATCTGCCAGTGTTATGTTCATTGTTTAACGGATTTGAAAATTTAGTTGTATATAATATTTTTTAAATGTAATTTATATGAATTATCTAAATTATCTGTTTATACATACATGACAAAAAATAATGATGGAATTTATATAAAAATATATTACGTTTCAACATAAAATGCATAAAATGAATATATTATTTTGCAAACCTTTGTAATGTTTCTAAACAATTTAAAACTAGTACGTGAGACACGAATTGCATAAGCACTTTTTTATCATTGTTTTCCCCTCATTGAAGATCTCTCTCCGTTTCATTGCGTTTGTTTAGAGTTTAAGTAACGTTGCTCTCACTTGACACAGTTCATCGGAGCAATTCTCAAATCATTTTGCGCGATTATCTAATGCGCGCTAATCAATCGCGTAACGCAGTCACAGCGAGAAAATTCCCTATTGCAAAACGCACAACTTTTTACAGGAAATAAAGGAAATTTCCGTTTTCGTGACAAGCGAGGGCAAGGATACTTTCGGGGAACTACAGGCGGACAATCACAAAAATTACTTTTCTTCTCGTTCCAAATTGTTTTCTGAAGCCTTTCCGCGTTAATTAATTGCCAAACAATGTGATTCTGAAGGGAAAAACGCCGGCGAAATCAGACGTGAGTCACAGAATCAATCTCACGAAATTCGACCTTGGGTGACCTGTGTCTGCTGTTACCTTTTTGCAGGTGCCGAGGTCGTGCACCGCTACAGAGGAGCAGTTTAAACTTGTAAATTATTAGTCCGTTAGACACTCATAGTTTACTGAAGCACATTCATACTGTACTTGAAGCCTATTAGCAAAGTATCTCAAGGGCTCTAATTGAAAATTTGGCAATATTAATGCTAGACTCAAAAACAAAATATATTTTTTTATAAAAAATTTTTGAATTTTCAAAATTAATTTCAATCAATTTTGGTACTTGAATTTTTATTTTACGTTGCTGCCCTTCTCAAATTTAAATCAATGCAAAAATTAAAAGGGCGTGTGCCGATCGGATCATCTCGCGCCAACTTGAAACGAGGCTAAGGTCGCGGCGGCTTTGTTCTGCTGGCGGTGGCGAGCCTCCGCCGCGTAACACCGATGCTGCTGGTGCAAAGATACGCAAAGATATCAACTCATGCTGGTCGGGTACGAGCGAATTCCGAGACAACAGTTTTCGTTTCAAACCTTGCGTGGGAATCAGGAAGCGCAATAACCTTCCACCGCGTTTTGCAATTTCAAATCATTCAATTTTTTCCTTTTTCCCTGGATCTGGGATTTTCTATAAAAATTTATTGTGGTTTATAATTATATGGCTTTAGTGCATAAAACAAGGAAATAATTAACTATGGAATAAAACGTTGTTCTTTTATATTAATAGCCAATCTTATCTTGCATATTATTGATTTCATAATTTTTCATGTTTTAATTGCATTTCATTATGGATGTTGGGTCTTTCTTTCAAAATTTTATAGTCTGTATAAAATTATCTGCAGCATTTGGTAGTTTAAAAAAAATTTAATTCATTTCGGCATGTTGAAACAAAAACGCTATACGGTGCTAAACCCAAAACATGCCCCCACATTTAAAAATTAAATTACAAAATTCATATTTAAAAATGTGCCATCTTTATTTTTATTATCATTGTGAATTTAGCGAATTTAACCAACTCGAGTGGATTGAATGGGATTATTTGAAGTATTTATTATTAGTTATATTTTTAAGATTTTTCTTCAAAGTTTGAGAATTATGAATATCAATATCAATTGAAATCCTAAAGTCAATATACAGGCGTCAATATGAATAATTTAAAATCAGAGGGGATTGAAATTATTTTTCATTGATAAGCGCATTGATAGGTTAGCAAAGAAATTAATAAAGGTGTGTATAGTAAATTAGATTTGGCATATATGTCGACTTCATTTATACCAATTTATACAGAGAACAAATCAAGTCAGATGTTCCCGAAACGACTGTGTGTATTTAAATAAAAATTTAAATACTATAGGACTTTTAAAATGAGTTCCAATAGTGAAGTAGTTCACGCAAGTAATTTAATTTAATCCTAGAGGGAACTGTAAGCAACCTGCTCAACTTCAAAGTGATGCAAGTTGCATAGCCTTTCCGATAAACTCTCAACCTCTCAACGCTGCGCATGAATCAACTTGTATGGTGTTCATATCAACCTTTAGAGATAGACCATCGATTTTTTTTTTACTACACAATTTATCTATTTTTTTGAGAAAAATACATATAACAAATAAAGCAAAATAAAAATTGCAAGATATCTTCCTTTCAAAACAGAAATCTATTTGCCAAAGAAAAATTTCCCTAGCCAAGTTTTTATCTCCTTTGTTAACACCTCACTGTCGCAAAGTCAATAGAACGCCACGCCCCTCGCTTCATGTGATTTTGTGATTTCGGCGATTAAGGCGTTACATCAATTAACTGACAGCACTTCTTGCCCTTTTGAACTTACAATGGTTGTAAGTATCTACTTTCGCTCAAATTTAGAAAGCTGAAAGATCCATAAAATCCAAAGAAACGATTCTAATTGCTCTATCTTTCTTTTTAGTTGGTGTTGGTGTTAGGGGACCTGCACATCCCGCACCGGTGCAGCAGTCTTCCAAACAAGTTCAAGAAGTTGCTGGTGCCCGGACGCATCCAGCACATCCTCTGCACGGGCAACCTTTGTGCGAAGGAGTCGTTTGACTACCTCAAGACACTCGCCAGTGACGTCCACGTCGTCCGAGGAGAATTCGATGAGGTTGAACTCTTTTGACTTGCTTTTTTGTATTAATATAAAACATATTGATCTTAATTGGCAGTCTCATGTAAAGCAATAGCCTCATCTAAAAAGATTATTTAATTTTATTATTCTTGTACATTTTTAATATAAAATATATATTTTTTCTAGAAAATTGTATTTTTTGCGTAATAGGGGCCACACTTTTGTCAAGGAAAAAATATGAATTAAATTGAAGTCAATAATTTCATATTATTTCTAGCTATTTTTTATGTCATACATATTATCTTTGAATGTCAGCATGAAATGTATGATTTTTGTTTTGCAGAACTTGAGTTACCCTGAGCAGAAAGTGGTGACCGTCGGACAGTTTAGGATCGGATTATGCCATGGTCACCAGGTTGTACCTTGGGGTGACCCTGAAGCGCTGGCTCTAGTTCAGCGTCAATTAGATGTGGACATTCTCATCACAGGGCACACCCACAAGTTTGAGGCGTACGAGCACGGAAGCAAATTTTACATCAACCCCGGATCAGCCACTGGCGCCTACCACCCTCTTGAGAAGTACAATTTTTAAGTTAAAAGTTCCCATTTTTACCAAAACTTTTTCCAGCAATGTGGTGCCGTCGTTTATGCTGATGGACATCAAGAGCTCAACAGTGATGACTTATGTGTACCAACTGCAGGGAGATGAGGTGAAGGTCGAGCGCATTGAGTACAAGAAAAACTGAATCTCTCGAAACTAAACTTCCACGCAACTGAAAACGGAGCAAACAGACTCTCAAATCTACATCAGAATTGTTGATTATTCGATATGAGGCCTCCAAGTTATTTTGACAGTGGGAGACCAAATTCCAGTGGTAATATTAATCTACTTTAGTCTTAATTGTAAAATACATAACAATGTTGTATTGCTGCAGAGTTTTGTGTGAACTCGTTTGTTTTTCTGCAAAATCGTTTGTAAAAAGTCTATTTAGGCCGACGGGTCGAAATGTCGTGGCGTCAATTTTATCTCTCATTGTTTGGCTGAAACTTTTGCGCATTATTTTGTCTTGCTGACGAAAATAATTTGAGATCATTGATTCAATAATAATATTCATTTATTTACACATTAAATGTATTTAAATTTTTAAACAATTCCCCTTAAATTTGCAGATAAAAATTATTTAAAAAATTGTGTGCTCAGCTTAGTAATTAAATATTAATAAATGATATTTTGAATTATTAAATTGTGGAAAATTGGATAATTATACTTTATTCTTGATATCTTTATAAAGATTATGAAATCATGAGTAATAGAAAGTTGCTACAATTTTAGTAAGAATTCTTGCTTGAATATTTATTTCCTACGTGAGAGGGAAGTTAATAAATATATGGGTGAATGGTAATTCAAAGGGAAAAACAAGTAATGCAATTTGATGAGATTAAATTTAGAAATGACTTCATTATCAATTAATTAAAAATGTATCTTGTTTGGTACTGATAGCTGCGCGCCTCCTCTTGATAACCCTCTGATTGGTCTGCTGAGTGTTAAATAAGGAGGCGTGAAAAACAATTTTTAAAATAAAAATTAGATTAAGGTCAACGACCAACTCGTCTCCAGTCAAATTTGCGTCATTCAAAATGAACAACAAACTTATAACTTCAACAGATTGCAAACAAGTTTCCCTCGTAGACAAATTTTGAATTAGAAAGTTTTCAAATTGTTAGATTTTTAATATCTTGAAGTGGAGAGGAATAACTCTAAAAATAAATAAAACGTATGGCTGATGTCAATGTCAAAATGACAGATGCGTGTGGCGTGATCGAGTAAAAATAATAAAAATAGTGTGATTTCTGCTATCTTTACTACGCAAATGGGAAGCAATAAAATCTGCGGACGCAAAAGAAATTCCAACGACAGTAAGCGTTGCAAGTTTTTGGTACAGGAAACGATTGCCTACTCTGCATCTGCAAGCTTAAATATGCTATATTATAAAAAAAGCGCAATAGAAATCAAGACTAAAAATTAAATAAAGTTTCGGAAATCTAATGTCTTGTTTAGAGAAACTTATTTCCAGAATAGTCAATAGGAGATAAATAAAAAAAAATCTGGCACCCAAATAGAAAGAGGTGGCGTGTCGGAAGGTCGCGGCAACGCAATGATCAAGCTGCGTGGACGCTTTTCACTGCCGCGAATGACCCGTGTGGCCCTCGTGACGTAAGTAAGGTTTATCTGACCACGGCGACCTCTGACCTACGCAGACGGCATAGCAAGGCGAAAGAGGGGCCAACCGCACGGATAGCAATCGCGGCGCCGCTTGAGGGGGCTCATCTTGCACTTCGGCGACCACCAGACAAGAAGAAGCTCCAGGGTTCGCGACTGCGGCAAAAACGAATTGCGGATCAAACTGCTATTTCCAAACAAAGGTTTGTGCTCTTTGTTTTTTCTTGTCTTGAATTTATCTCAAAATCATTATCTCATATTGTTTTTTCAAAGTTATAGTAATGCTTCAATAAACATTTTTTATATATAAAAAAAGTGTTACTTTGTTCATTGCAAATGATTTTATTATATTATACATGAGTAGGTACTAACAATAAGTACATAAACGAATTTCATATTTGTCGTGTTTTTCGTATCAACAATTAAATTTTCTCAATGAAATAATTAGTTGTTAATGGCCTACTTATTTATGAATCTTATTGATATTGCATATTAATAATAAATAATTTTCCGAAAGTGGTACAACTTACGTTAGTTGTTAGTATATCATAGCTATTTTTAATATTTTTTTTCAAGATTGCTATTTTGTTTGTTGTAGACTAAAATTTTTAGTATTATATATTATAACACAAATAATCTATGTGCGATAATAAATTTTCATAATATAATGAAGTTATAATTTTTGTAAAAAAATTTATAAAAATTGTGACACTTGTTTTGCTGCAAATTATTTAATAAAATTTTTTTATCAAAATTACTTCGCATTTTCAAATTAAATAATTCTACATTTAATTATCGGTGTCTAAAAAGCAGAGATTGACTAGGTTTAATTTTCTTGTTGCCAATAGGAAGTGTCTTGTATCTTTAGAAAAAATTCTTGGCACGTCGCAGGTAGGTTTAACCTTCAGTGTTCACTATACACATGTCTGATCAGAGACGACACACCAACTAATTTGCATTTTTATTTAAGAGGATGAAACACAGTCTCACAAATGTCTTTCATCACATGTTATAAAACATATTCGCAAGGTCGTTTGGGAGCAGTAAAAAGTCTCAAATTTTTTGCTAGGACTTTAAATTGTACTTAGGAAAATGTCAAGAAATTAAAAGCTTGAGAAAAAACATCAAAGATATGTAATAATAATGTGTTATATAAATAAATACCCAAATAATATAAGATTGGAGCTTGCCTTCCGCAAGCTCAATAAGGGCACAGGCCGACAAGACACTTTTGTCTTGGCCTGACCAAAAAAAAAAAAAACAAAACAAAAAAACAAAACAAAAAAAAATATCCTTATCATGACTGATCGTGTCGTTTTAATTATGCAGCATTTGAAGAAGTTTATTTATTGAAGACATGAGTCATGATGCAGGAAAGAGCACATGCAAAAAGGATGAGGAAAGTAGAAGCAATATTCAATTATGACTTAATTCAAAAAGTAAATTGAGCACAGCACTAGTCATTATGTCATTAAATAAAAAAAATGAACTATTTTGTACGTCAAAGTCAAATTTATTTTCAATCCCAATTTCTAATATTACTAAAAATTTATTAGTCATTTAATTAATAACCTCTTACTTAATTTAAAACTATGTTGTGTTCCTAAAATTTTGCAGTTACTTCGATCATGAAGTACGGAGGCGCCGTACTGGTTGCTGCTCTGTGCGCTGCGTTTTGGACCTCGGGTTCCACTTTCAGAATGCCGGCCGCCGAGCACCTCGCTAACTACGCAAGTAAGAATCGCCGATATTCCAAAACTCAGCGAGATTCCGTCCTTTTTTTTAACAATCAGGTTGGCCTTTTTGGGTTTTTGGGCGGCCACACCGCCTTGGCAGACAACACCAAACAGCCGCAGAACTTCCAAAGGTGGACCCTGAGGTCCTGCACACGTCAGTGAAGTTTGGGGAGAACGTGATAGGGCGACTGGCGCGACTTGAAAAGACTTTGGCTAACGCCGACGTCCGCGTGAGACCCGGTTCAGCACCCCACGGACAGTTAATTGCAGGCAACCCTGTAGACGGTGCCCTTGAGCGACACCGACAGGCCCAGGTCGCGGTCAGAGCCTCGCAATTCATCGCAGACAACAACTGCAAAAGGTGAATTATTATACAAATTTTTGAAATCGGGATGGCAGAGTGAAGGGGGGATATTATTATATACTAGATTTAAAGTTTAAAGTTAGTTTATTATGTCAAAAAGGGAAAAGCCCATTGAACATATTTTTTTTTCGTTCTTTGACGAAAATTTCCCAGCAAATTTTTCTTGTGACTTTTTAAGTTATTTTATTTATGATTTATTATGATCAACTATTTTCAAATAATTAGATTATTTTAGTTTCAAGTCAATTCAGCTGTTCATTTAGTTTTTATAATACAATTTCAAATTTCTTTTTGGCAGATTTGATCTGAAGGAACGCCGTTGTGGAGAACTAGTCAATTCGCTGAGCCTCGACGGCACTGATTTAAGCGCGCACTGCGACACGGCGGTCGATCTTGAGTGCAACACAACATCGCCTTTCCGCAGCATCGACGGTTCATGCAACAACCGGCGTCACCCTGTTTGGGGAAGGTCGATGACCGCCTACCAACGTATGCTGCGATCTCAGTATGGCGATGGTAAGGAAATTTTTTAAATTTCTCACTGCACGAGTAAAATTAATTATGTTGAAAAAGGTTTGCACCAAATGAAAAAGTCGCAAAGTGCAGCTGCGCCTTTGCCGGGCGCTCGCGAAGTCAGCGCTACTCTGGCCGCGGACAAGGAGCGACCGGACAGGGAGGCCACGATGGCCGTAATGCAGTGGGCTCAGTTCGTCGGACTTGACCTCGCACACACACCCTCTGCCAAGATGGGTCTGTACTATTTATAATTTAAAAAAAAAAAATGAAATAACTTTGAACTTATTTAATTTTAGTTTTTACGGGCAGTTCAATTGCTTGCTGCAAACCGGATGGTGGCTTGTTGCCCCCTCGCTCACTTCACCCCTTCTGTGCACCTATCCCAGTTCCGGCTGACGACCCTGTGTTCAAAGGACGAAGATGTCTTGACTATGTCCGCTCAGTCACGGCGCCCAGACCCGATTGCAAGTTTGGACCAGCTGAGCAGGTGTGGAATAAAAATGAATTTTTATGCCCCTTAAATTTTAATTATCTATGTATATTGTTTCTATTTTCAACTCGTTTGAGAAAAATTTTCAAATTTTAAATAATACATTTGGTTTTATTCGAAGATGAACCAAGCGACTCATTGGCTTGACCTTTCAATGGTCTACGGCACCACCGATGATATTAGTAGGGGATTGAGGGCTCACGAAAATGGACTCCTGCAAACCAGTGACGGCTCTCTTTTGGCTCTCTCTCCAGAACCGACCACTGATTGCCAATTGACAACTAAACCACTTGGAGCCTGTTTTAAATCAGGTATGATTAAAGCAACATAATTATAAAAATGGTTTTCTAAGAAAAATATTTAAATATATATTTTTAGAATGTAAATTTAAAATTTTAGCAAAATTTAATTTCTTTCTTCAAAGGTGATAGTCGTGTGAATGAGCAACCCATGCTAACTGCTCTGCACACTGCATGGGTTCGCGAGCACAACCGCGTGGCCAATACCTTGTACGCTTTGAACCCCCACTGGAATGATGAACGACTTTTCCAGGAGGCCAGACGCATCGTGGTTGCTGAATACCAGCACATTACTTTTGACCATTGGGCACCTGTCCTCCTTGGTACTACCATTTTATTAGTTTTTGCAATAAATAATAAATGTTTGTTTAAATCATCAAAGGGGAGCTTTACTCGCGTCAAATGGGACTGCACAAGGCCGATTACTCGGAGAACGTGGATCCCGCGGTGAGGAACAGTTTCGCAACGGCCGCTCTGCACTTTTTGTACTCGATGATGCCGGGAAATATCCAGTCAGTTTTCAATACAAATTAATATTTTTTACTTAATTATTATTAAAAAGGCTTACGGAGTCTGATCGACGTGTGAATTCAACCCTGCGATTGAGGGAGCACTTCAATAAGCCTGGCGTTTTGCAGAAGCCAGGGCGGCTAGACCAACTGCTTAGGACAATGGCTACTCAAAACGCGCAAAAAGTCGACCTGATCCACACAGAGGAGGTTTTTATCAGATAATATTTTTTACATGACAAATTAACGATGAAATAACAAATCTGAAATTTAACTTACTGTAAATGATAAAATTAAATTAAGAATTTTAGAAACATTTTTAATGTAATATTCTTATATTCATTAATTTTGATTTTGCCTCTATCAAATCAGGTTACAAGTGGCCTATTTGCTGGTAACTTGGGTTTGGGTGCTGACGCCCTGAGTTTGGTGGTACAAAGGGGAAGAGATCACGGCTTACCGGGCTACAATGACTTCAGAGCAGCTTGCGGTTTGCCGAGAATGTCCTGCATTGATGAATTAGCCGACTTAATTCCAAAAGCGGTGAGTAATTAAATGAAATAATGCAAACCGTATAATCTAACAGCGATGCAAAATTTGTAAAGTGAAATTATTGCAAAAAGTCGAGAAAGTTTGGCAAGGGAGGAAATTCTTCGTTTATGCAGAACACTAAAGCGCGCTCTTACACTTGTCGTGAATTTGCATGGTACACGCGCAACAGTTTCTATTTCGCATTGTTTGCGAGTTCTAAATCCGCGTCTCCTCGCAGTTTTCGCCAATTAAGTCACAATAAACTATACTGAGTCGGAACTATGATGAGCGCACGCCTCCCACGCATATTACAGCATAAACTTAAGTTGAGAAGAAAGATTTTCTGCTCCGGTTGCGACTGTTGCACGCGTGAACCGTGCGTTCTCCTGTTTGAGGACTTTTTATATTTCCATGTTACTCAATAGCGAGAGTACAAAAAGAAAATAGAGCTTTCAAAAGATAATGAATTCGAAATTAACGACTTCTCGATTATGGGAATCTGCCGGTGAAGGTGATTTATTGTTTGCTCTGGATCAATCAATAGAAACAAACATCATCAGTCGATCACAATCGAAAAGTGAAAGAAAATTTTTGAATAATTTTATTAAATGCTTAATTTTTTTTCTTAACTAGTTATAAAAATTATTTTCAAAAAATTGTTTTAGTGAAACTGTGTCAGAGTCAAGCATCATTATTCTATCTTTTATTTGTTGCGAGGGATTCCCTTGCTCAAGATGAACAGTCGTGAATTAATTACTGTGTTTTCGCGGCCGGATCGCATCTCTATTGTGTTTGTCAACCAAGAGCAGTGGTCGTGGCGAAATCTCCTCTCCGCGTCAAATTACATGTTACGCGTGTCTCGTCCTGCACCGTCCCGAAATTAGTGCATTCATCAGCGACATTGGGCAATTTTCAGCCAAATTAAAGAGCTGCAAACGCATACAAGGTCACTTTTGTGACGAGCTGTGGTGCTTTCGGAAGTTGTTTTATAAACTTGACACCCACAACTGGCCTTATTATAATACAAGAAATAATACAAAGGCATTTACTTCCTCACTTTTGAAGACGAATTCCTAAATAAAAACGGTATGAAAAGAACTTTTAGTACACTTATAAAACAATAAATTACACCTGGTAATTTCTTATCAATTTAACTACAGTGTCTTGTTTATTTTTACGCGTAAATTGGCAGCGTGTCTGTGCGACTTCGAGAAAAGAACTGACTTTCGTTGCCCAACACGCGCACTCCACGCTTTTGAACCTTTCACCAAGCGCGAGATCCATTGTCCGCGTGCAGCTGTGAAAAATCATATTTATTGTAGTACAAGACAAACCTTGGAATTTGCACTTGCGGCCAAGCAATGATTCCAAATAGTAAACATTACAAAGATAATGCACGTTACGTTCACGATCAATGAAGTAGATATCCCAGCGTGAAAATAATTATTTTTAATAAAAATGAATTTGAGTTTTTATTGTACATTTTATTTGAAATATTAGGTGGTGAATCAACTCAAAACCCTGTACGCGAGTGTCAATGACGTAGACCTTTTTGTTGGAGCGATGGCAGAACGTCCGGCTGACGGAGCTCTGGTCGGCCCGACCTTCCGCTGTCTAATTGGCCGGCAATTGAGCGACACCCGCCGTGCCGACAGATACTTTTTCGACCTTCAGGACCAAGCTGGATCCTTTACTCCAGGTATTAAATAAATTAGGATTTTGTAAATTTTCGTTCAGAGAGACCATTTGTGCAACTTGCCGTTGTTTAAAATAAGTGGTTTATTGCTGAGAATGTGAAAAAATATTGAGAAATATAATGAACCAAATTTTCCTTTTCTCTTTCAAGATCTTTGTAAAATTGTAAAGAACTATACTTGGTAATTTAACGTTGCAACATAGGTGTATCTATCACCTTTATCGTGCGCGCTACTTTTAATTGCCTAAAGAATTTATTTTTTAATAAAAAGAGCGTGAGTTGTTGATTAATTTCGCCATCACAGATTATAGTGGTAACAAAGGAGAAGCAAAAACACTTGGCATAGTCGTAACCTCAACCCACTTGATCAGATAATGACTAACTAAAATGAAAGCACTCCTTTCTTTCATTCATTGCGTTCAACGTTTTCGAATTTTGTTTCCAGAGCAACTAACAAACATCAGAAAGACGAGTTTGGCGCGAGTTTTCTGCAGCAACGGCGACCAAATTAAGTTTATGCAACGCAATGTCTTCCTCGCACCTAGAACCAAGTACGTACATAAATTTTTTTATGTGAATTTCTAGTTGCTCTCGTCAGTTAGCATCGCGGAAATGAGATTTGAATTTTCTCTCCTGGCTCGTTTCTATTGAAAGGCGTCGTGACTATGTCGTTAATCGGGAATCGGCTCATCATTTTTCTTTGTTGCGCCGCTAACGAGCGCCAAAAACATATCAAATTTCGCAACCGATGCGAATCGAGTTAAATTGTTGAGTTCCTGCTCCTGTTTATGCTTCAGTTTTTCGTGGAAACGACCCGAAATTATGTTTTGCGTGCGGCATAATTGTTTTAATTTGGTTAATTTAATCACTTTGCAGGGGGAGTTTGGCCGGTGACACGCAGGACGCGAGCGTGGCCCGCTGTTCGGACTTGCCAGACCTCGACCTATCGCCCTGGAGGGAACAATCAGTTTAGCCCAAATTTGAAATGCAAGGCAAGGCCAAATTGTAAATATCTCAGGTTAATATAATATAATGAACAATTCTACAAATATGAAAAGTATTTCAGCACTGATATATTAAAGGACTCAAATTTATATAATTTTACTAAAAATCGTGTGAAGATTCGACTGAAAATGAGTTTTTAATAATGTTGTGTGCGAGTGGTTAAATGAATTAAATAGTTTGTAATAAAACTGCTACATCATGAGTGCAATACATATATACTTATGATTTTGTTTCCTCTCACTCTCGGCAGTCCGGTTTTTGTTGAGAACTAACAAATATAGCCTTGATTCATTCAAGCGAATAGTTATAGAATAATTGTTTTGGTCTTTCATTAAAATGCATAATTTTAAACCCAACAACATGGTCTTATGTATTTAAATTTAAATAATTAATATTCCAGATCCAAATCTGTCATATTTCAAAATCTGCTTGTTAAGAAATAAAGTATTATCTTGATCAGATCCGGCCTGGCCGGTCACTGTCAGAGCGTTCCGGTCGCGCTAAACTTGATCTCTTTGAGAGTAAATTTAGCAGCACCGCAAGCAAGATACTCTCGCTTTCGCCGGCCAACATGCCGAGCTGAGTCACGTGCAGCTGTCGAAGCAGCATTAAACAAAACTAAAAGGATGGTTATATAATCTTCAGTCAATGCTGGAGCAGATAAATATTTTGGATACATTTGACAAATTTTGTTAATTCATTCAACAATTTAAATCAAATTAAATTCTTTTATAAATATATGAATGAAAACAAAAATTACTAATGATCTTATCATCTTGTTAATTATTGTGAACACCAAGAAATTAAATTAATTATAAAAATTGCAATTTGTGCATAAGTTGACCAAAAAATATATCCAATGAGGTAGTTCTGAGCACACTAAAAGTTTGCTAAATTATATCAGTTTATTTGGAAAGTATTATATAATAATGAGAATGTGCGTAAAATTTGGGTTATGGTAAATTTTTTAGTCGTCTGACTGAGTTGCACCGGTCGCAATTAACAATGTGAGACAGCGTTTCTGCATTTTCAGCAAAAAAGAGACATACACGTGACTTTCGGCCCCAGAACCTGTAATAAACTTCTTATCCGATTTAGAGCGCAGCTTCCACTGTCCAATTCCGCTGTTGGTCATTAAACAGCTTTTTTACGTTACGTGTAATACTGAAAGTTTTGCTCTCAGCGCAGTCAATTAACTGCTAAAATTGCCGCAGCCGCCGAACTTTGTTTGCAGAACCTCGCCGATCAAGTCTACAAGTTTACGGACTGAGCGAGATGAAATTAATTCATATCCACAAACTTGAAAGTTTTTTCCACTTAACAAAGAGAAAGGTGCAAAAGAACTAATGTGATTTTTAAATCTGTGTAAAACTCCAGTGGATAAGTCAATTTAGTGATTTTTCTATTATTTTTATCATATTTTTATTGAACATTAATTATTCAGTTTAGGTACCATTAAATTAAAACATAAATTTTTCATTTTCAATAAATGTCAAAAACTTCAGCTTATTGTTAGTGCGACAGCATAACTGACCCTACCTTTTGTTACTGGTAGTAGGGAAGCGATGCCCTTTGTAGTCCTTCGAGATCTTGTTGATGCGGTTGAGAGCCGCTTTCGCCGTCGTTTATGGAAGGGGGCGGTATAAAAAACGGCTAAACGCGCGGTCGGGTAGCTCAGTCTCTCAGGTTCTCCAAAGGTATCAACCTCCTGCAGAAGGGCAGTCAACCTGCAACATACAGAGTTCAAGGTAAATAATATTTAAAATGTGCTTTTACGAAGTAAATAATTTTACAAATTTAAGTTAACATCTCAAAACCTAAGAGAACAAAAAGCATTTATCGTCAAGTTAGGCCAAAAGATAAGGTATTTTAATTTATTGTTACCAGTTTTCAATAATTATAAATCTGCATATGTTTAATTTCAATTGCAAAGTATAATATATTATGTTGGAGTGGTTTTATAACAATAATCAGATTTTTTTTTTTTTTTTTTTTTTAATTATTTTTGATTGATAATTTATGTCCACTTGGAAACAATTCAAATTTCGTAATTTTGCAAGTCTTTGCTGACAAATTTATATATTTTCTGTTTAGTTACATATAATGTGTGTGAACGTGTGAATCATTGTAACTAACCCCTCTTTATTTAATTAAAAGAGGTGAAGTTAATTTTCATTATTTATAAGTATTTTTTTTTTCTTAATTTCCACCTTTTATTGAGTCAGAGTTGACAAAAGCCGTGGGAATTTTGCGTGTATTGCGATCAAGCGCATTATGCAAGCGCGCATTGTTGTCGCGGTGCCTGCGCAAATCTGCGATTCAACAAATCAGAGCGTGGCGACCAAAATATAACTTGTGCTTTTCTCTTCATTGCATCTGCAGTCGTTAAATTCAAATTAAATTATTCCAAATTGAAAGCAAACTTGTTTTTGTATGTATTTGTTTAAATCACTTTCTAAAACAATTGCGTGCGGTGACATTGCTTTAATGAAGATGCGTATTTGCAGCTGCCAGGCAAGAAATTTCAAATTCTTCCATCAAGGCTGGATTGTAAATAACTGCTTTCGCCGGTTCTTACGATAATAAGAAGTTCAATAGACCCATATATGATTAAGTGCATATCGCAAAATAACCACTCGTTGAAATCTCCCAGCTTGGGAAACGAGAGTGAAAAGAACAATTATCGCTCTGTGCGTCGGTATAATTAGGTGATAATTCCCAGTGCAATAATTCCCAGTTATTACTATATTTTACGCGAAGGCGTGTACGTCACGAGAAGTAATAGGCATGCAATCATAAAAAGCATGTAGAATGGGGAGAGTCGTCGGCGGAGTAATTTGGTTGCAGGAAGGAAATCGTCGGGTTATATATTCGATTTAGAAAGGCGTGTTGCGACGCAATCTGGAGCACAACTTGGCTGCTGCGGACCAGAGGAAATAGTTGTCGATTGCAGTGCAGCTCGAATTAATCGCGGTCCGATGATGAATTGAGATTGCAAGCTTTGCGCGGTCACGTTTCTCGAGTGAAGAAAAACTTGTCTCATTGTCTGGCAAGAGGTTTAAAGACCAATAAGGAAACATTGAAGACCTTCAAGGACGTCTTGAAATATGTACTTTAGTTCTTTGAACTGCTCAAATTGACAGTTTTTTACTGAAAATATTATTAATTTTAAGATTCCCCTAATTTTATATTTAAATTAAAATTTCAATAAAAAGAATTTGGATTTCAAGGATAAAGGAAATATGAAATAAGATCAGAGGGAGCAGAGTTTATAGGTTTATTTATGCACTAAAATTGTATTTATTTTTCTTAAATCCAAAAGGGAGTTGCATGGCTCTAGATATTATTCAAAACAAAGTCGATTTTGTTGATTATATTTTTCTTGCTGTTTATTTATCTGATTAATTGACTTTTCAGATGATTACAACGCTCCTTGCGTTGTTTTTGTTGTTGACGCCAACCCTTCAGCAAGACACTACGAAGAACGCGTCTGGGCCTGACCCAGGCATTATCATTTCATCTGTCCAAGTTAGCACAGCTCCTATTATCATCTCCAAGCCCCAGAGAAAGCCAGTCTCAGGTAAATGATCTCAAAAAATTTGACTGGTTAAAAAATAAATAAATAAAAACAGGCACCACCAACAAAGAAAATGAGAGTTCAACGCGCACGGCCAGAGGATTAGACAGAGATTTTTACTCGCCCTCCGAGCACTTCCAGTCTTTCCTGCAACCACCCTATCCCTTGACTGGCCCAGGATCTGTTGGACAAACACCCTTCAGGTTCGTTGGTTTAAAAAAAATGCTATGGAGGTTATATATATTTTTTCCAGGCCAGATTACTACTTTGCTGGACTTCTTCCTTACGCTACAGCGACGCGCCCTGTTTGCCAATTAGCCCCTGCCCCCTGTGATCCACAAGCTCGCTACAGGACATTGGATGGCTCATGCAACAACCTGCGCAACCCCACCTGGGGAATGACCGGATCTCTCTTCAATCGACTCATTCCACCCAGATACGCCGACAGTACAAATTTTAATTTTTAATTTAAATGATCTAATTCTCTAATTTAACTTTGAAATAGATGTTGCTGCACCTGTTGAAGAAGGTCTACCTCTATCCCGCGTGCTTAGTTCCACTCTTTTCCCTGACGTGAACCTTGTTGACCCCATTTGGACTCTAGTTGCCATGCAGTGGTCGCAGGTGGTTACGCACGACATGTCCATGGCCGCCGGCTCCAGACAACACAGTAAATAATTAAAAAAAAAATACATTATAAATCTTTAAATTAAAATTTTCAGAGCCAAAGCCCATTGAGTGTTGCGCCTCAGACGGCCACGACCTGGCACGCGATTTGGCCGCTAAGGCCGGATGCTACCCCATCAGGATCCCTGCTGACGACCCTTTCTATGCGCAGCACAATCAGCGTTGCATGGACTTCATGCGCTCCAGCAACGACGTCAGCACTGGTTGCAACATGTATGGTCCCGCTAACCAGGTTAAAATTAATTTTTTTTTTTTTTTTTATTGCAGTGTGAAAAAAAATTAAAAAATAAAATATTAAATTTAAATTAATATTTTATTTTTTCTTCATTTTAATCAGATGACAGCGGTGACGAGCTACCTTGATCTCTCCCTCGTTTACGGATCTAATCTGGAAACAGCCCAAAGTCTCAGAGAGCAGCAAAGTGGCCGCTTGATCTCGCAAGTGCGCCGCAACCGTCAGTGGCTGCCTGAGAGCACTAACCGCTCTGCGGATTGCGAAAATGTGGACGACAATGAACCCTGTTATAGATCCGGTAATTATTTAATTTTTAACGTAAAAATATTTTAGTATTAATATTAAAATAAAACAGGTGACGTACGAGTGAACCAAAACCCAGGACAGGCTTTGGTTCAGACTTTGATGCTGCGCGAACACAACAGACTGGTGGAAAGCCTTCACCAACTGAACCCCCACTGGAACGACGAAACCCTTTACCAAGAGGCAAGGAGACTTGCAGTTGCTCAGTTCCAGCACATAACTTACTACGAATGGCTGCCTGTTATTCTTGGTAAGATAATATTACCAACAGCGGAAAATTTAGAAAATTTATGTTGAAAAATAGGATACCAAAATGTGGTGCAGCTGGGTCTGATTCAGGAGAGAGGTGGATACAGTCACGACTATGACGAGCAAGTGGACGCGACGGCAATCAATGACCACGCCGCTGGCGCCTTCAGACACCTTCACACCCTCATCACCGGCGAGATCATGTGAGTAGCGAATTTATTGTTAGAAGAGGAGTCAGCAGCCTGCATTGCATGCCTTCGCGCCAGGTTGCATAACCTTTTAATAAATCGGATAATATTTTTAATTTTGAACTGATTTTGCAGAGAAGTTGACGCCGAGCGACGTGCAGTGGACGCCATTCGACTGAGCGACTATTTTAACCGCCCAGTTATTATTGAGCGCGGCGCCAATCTGGACCACTTTGTACGTGGCCTTGCTACTCAGCCCCAACACGCGCCCGACCGCTATTTCTCGTCTGAGGTTCATATTTTCCACGCCTTTACCAAATTTTGTTATTTTAAACAAACGAATTCTGGCAGATTACCAAATTCATGTTCCGCGCCAACAAGACTTTCGGCCTCGATTTGCGCAGCATTGACATCCAGCGCGGAAGGGACCACGGCTTGCCTTCGTACAATGAATACCGGGTTCTTTGCGGATTGCCCAAAGCACACACCTTTGCTGAATTTGCGGACATCATGGACGCGAAGGTACGAATTAAATTTTTAACAATATTTTCTAGAAAATAATTTTTTTTAATTTTTAGTCTGCGGAGGAGCTTTCGTATATTTACAACTCTCCAGACGACGTTGACATGTTAGTGGGAGGTGGACTGGAGTACAATTTGCCTGGTGCCCTTTCAGGCCACACATTTACTTGTATCATGGGAGAGCAATTCCGTCGCACCCGCCGTGGAGATCGTTTCTGGTTTGAACTTGAAGGCCAACCCTCATCCTTCACTCCAGGTAAAATGCTTTAATAATTTCCAATCCAAAGATATATTAATTCATTTATAATCCCTAGAGCAACTTCGCGAAATTCGCAAGTCCAGCTTGGCCAAAATGTTCTGCGAGAACGCCGACCACGTGACCGAAATGCAGCACTACGCCTTCAAGAGACCTTCTAATACGTGAGTTTCTTTCTTTTGTTTTGATTAATTTAATTATTAAATTTCACAAAGGAACCCGATTGTGCCTTGCGATCAACTGCCGGCATTGGATCTCCGCTACTGGCAAGAGCAGCCGATTACACCTCCGGCCGAGGAGAGCAATTACTACAACTACTTGATCCCTGATTTTCTTGGAAAGAAGTAGTTGAATCAATCACCTCATTCCGTCATCCACATCCAGCGCCGCCATATAAAACCGAGCCATTACTTTATTTCGTCTTTTTTGCATATTTCTTCAACGCTCATCCAATAATCGCAATCAATTTCGCATAACCATTAAGTAATTTAGTCATTTTCATCGCATCCCTTCAGCATTTTTATTTGTAGATTTCAAAAAATAAATGTTCTCACTAAGTTATTTTTTTATATTATCTAGATTTTTTGTCTCTAAAAGGACATTTAACGAAAAAGTGTAAAACAAAAAATAAATCTAATAAAAAACAAAAATTGTTTCAATTTCATTCAGAGACCCAAAATATATAAAATTAATAAAAAAAATTTAATTTTCTCACTAGGCGTGTCCATAATAAATTAAATATTGAAAAATAACACATTAGTCATTTCTTAAAGAGAAACGTTTGTTCTCCGGCGCTTGTGACAGTGACACAGTTACCCGCTTCCATTGCTTTGATTATTTTATCGCACAATTATTAAGGCAGCTCTCTCTCTCTCTCTGAACACTCTTGTCAGACGGAGACACTGCTTGCAATTGGCGCACGCGCACCTACGGTAGCATCGCTACCGTGTTATTCCGGTTATTCCTCGAGGATTCCACCCACCCACACGCACGGACGGACAGATCGGGACCAAAAAATGCCCTGGTGAAGCGGAAGTGCGCACCCCCGACTCGGGCTTCAATGTGATTCAAGAAGAGGCAGCTGAGAATTTTCAAAACATGGCCAAACGCTCGCAGTTTAGGTGAGAAGCGGTGGAAAGTGGGCCACCGGTTCGTCCGTAGACCGATCGATACGAAAAATTAAAATTGTTTTCACAGCAACATCGACGAGTACGGGTTTGAGAGGGCGGATGACTTTGACTACGAGACGTATGAGGACTTCATGTCCAGCTACCTCAGGGTGTTGGCCAAACGCTCCAAGAAGTGGACAGAGCTGATGGCCCGCAAAAGTGCGGTCAGGAGGAGTTTAACCACCAAGCGTTACATTCGCAAGGGAATTCCCAAAGAACATCGTGGACTGGTACGACCCTAATTTTATTTCAACGAAGTGACAACACTTCAAAATCTCACTTCTAGCAAATTAATGATTTTAATTTTATGAAAATAATTTCAATTTTCACAATTTTAGGTGTGGATGGCCGTGAGTGGGGCCGAGAAGGCACGTCAGGCGCAACCGAACCTCTATCTCGAGAGGCTGAGGAGTGCGTCGGACGTGCATGAGGACATCCTGTCCTGCATCCGGACAGACTTGCCCCGCACTTTTCCAGACAACGTCCACTACAAGGCCACGGCCCTTGCGTACAGCCAAACCGGACAGTTGCAGCTGCAGGATCGGACGCAGCCGCGCCAATTGTACAATGTGCTGGTGGCATTTGCCAGCGATAACCATGACATAGGCTATTGCCAGGTGACCTACATTAACCCCTTGAATTAAAATGAATCCCAATTTTCCTATAGGGAATGAATTACATTGCCGGCCTATTACTAATTGCTACGGGGGAAGAGGAAACCGCCTTTTGGCTCCTCAAGGTTGTAAAATGTTAAATTTAATCACTTTTTTTCTGAAATTTTTTTTCTTAAGACCCTGATTGACCGTTCCTTGCCTGGATACTATAACAAAAGAATGACAGGCATCATCAGGGATATCGACGTCCTGGGAGAACTAGTCAGGTATGTTGTCTTTTAATAAATTTGAGATTCGCATTTGATTTTAAAATTTCAGACTAAAATTCCCTGAAGTGCATCGCCACGTTGAGTCGCTGAACCTGTCTTGGGCTGTGATAACGACCAAGTGGTTTGTTTGCCTCTTTGCAGAAGTTCTTCCCGTCGAAGTAATAAGATAATAAATTTGAAAGAAAGAAAGCTTATTTTGTTGAAATTTTCAGACGGTTTTCCGCGTGTGGGACTGTCTGTTCTACGAAGGCGCTAAGATTTTGTTCCGCGTTGCGCTTACGCTTGTTGGAATGCACATAGACGCGCTTTTGCGTTGCGAAGACCTTGCTGCCCTTATTACCTGCTTCAAAGCAGTCACACAAGACGCCCTGGTCACAGATTGCCACGCCTTTCTTCAGGTAATAAAATAAAATTAAGATTTTAGCTTAAAAAAACTAACAATAAATTTTTAGAGCATTTTCAAAGTGCCCGGCTCGTTAAAAAACACAACCATCTCCCGATTGCGTAGCGAGTGCGCTGAGAGGAACAAGAAACCACAAAAGTAAAGCATTTTTTGCATTGCCACAGAACTTCTTTCCTTGCAGGAACAACGTCTCTGGCTGTGAAGTCTTAATTTGAATCCTTATGAAATCTTATTATTTTTCTCATTGTTTTGTCCAAAGAACAAACGTCCGCTTTTTAAGGTCTGCACTTTACTAGTTTTGAATCATCGACTCTCATCACAATCAAATATATTTATCTATATAAACAAATAAAAATGTCTTTCATTTTTTTTACCGTGTTACGACTTTCCCGACTCGAGGTAGTCCTTGGCCTCATTGATCTTGGACGCTATGTACGGTGAGCCACCTTTATCAGGGTGGTTAATGATCATTATCCTTTTATGTGCCTCCTAAAAATAGTTTTGAAGTTATTATAGCACTATTACGCTTTTAAGGAAAAACAAACCTTGATTCTCTGCTTGCTAGCAGTCGGCGAAACACCAAGAATAAGACTTGCCTCTCGTTTAGACATTTTTGCATCAAATCCTCCCTTGTAATACTTGCTACTTGCAAGCGACTGCAAAAAGAAAAATAAAGAGATGAAGATGACATTTTGATCATAGTTTTCTTACTACATATTTTTATTACATAAATATTTTAGCAAAATTATAATTATGTAATTAAAAAAAATTGATAATATGCACAAAAATGTAAAAGAAGGTAAGGAACTTAATTAACCTCTGCGTCCAGCTTTGGCAACATTTCGGCGGCTTTAGACATTTGCTCAACAATGTTAGGGGCCCTGCGGAGGATGTAGCGGCCCGTGTAGCCAACGATTGCCAGTCCAAGACCAGCCATCACAGCCGTCGACGCCTGTTATGCATCGTGCAAATAAAATTGTGCAGAATGTAGTCAATTTTTCGAAATAATATTGAACAATCTAAATACAAACCATTTTCGGCAGACGTAAATTTTTAGCAATGGAGCCTTCGAGAAATAGTGTGTATGCAAACCAGATGTAAACAATGTGAAATGTGAATGAGATGAAGTTGCGAACTTCAAACAAATTTCGTCATGCTTTCCAAGGGGGCGTAACTCTTTACGGCGTGCTGGGATAGAAATTGTATAGCGGGAACATCATTATTGTGGATTAATTGTAAGATTTTGAGTGAACTTTTTTATGCTATCAGATGTTATAAAAATTATTTATTTATTGATTGTGCACTCCGGTGCACTCTATATTTTTTAGAAAGATTTATGGCAGTCAGTAAAATTAGTAAAAACTAAGCAAAGCGCCAGAAATTTTGATTTAAATTAATGCACTGGTTTATATTTTGCAAAGATTTTTTATGGATGTATTTAAATGAAAGTCACTATACCCAAGCATACATAATTTTATCCAATAAAATTTCATTTTAAATCAGTTATCAATTCAGTAAAATTAAATTCTCACACACGTCTTGGCAACGCTTAGCAAGAAATGTCAAGCTTATAATTTCAATTTTTAGTTTCGAGTATAATTATATATATAGCTGCGCGACATTGTTGAAAGATCGTGCTGCAATTACGTATAACGCACAAGGCAATTCGTTTTCAAGACAAGGAGTTTATTTTCTCTTCACTCGCTGGACGGCAGAATGGGCGAGACCCCAGGGTTTTGGTCGTTGAGGCCGCTTGACGAGCTGGACGACTGCAGAGGCAGGGGCGTCGAGTGGAAAACCGCATTGCCACGCCCTGATGCAGAGGAGGACGATGAAGATTCAAAGCGCAGAAGCTGTCCAGCGCGGCGGAGGTACTCATCACCTGTGGGCAGGTTGTCTAATTGCAAGGCTGGCGAAGAGGGCTGATCAAAGCGAGGCAACGGAAGACCCCGGCGCAGCAGCTCAGCCTCCACATCCATGGTGCGGCTGTCGTCTGACAATGAGCCACTGGACATAGCAGAAGTGTCTGCCTCCACGATGGTTGATAGACGAAGGTTCTCCAAAGGTCTGGAAACATTTTTCCGTGGTTAGAAAATTTTAATTGAAATTAAAAAAAAACCTTATCAGAAGAAATTCAACTCTAATAAAAAAAATAAAGGATAAAAAAAACTTGTTTGCCCCCCAAAAATAATAAGAAAATTTTTCAATTTGAAGATAAATTAACTCAAAATATTGAATTCTAAAATGATAAAAAAAAATCATAATTCCTTCTAATCAAGAGAAGTGTTTAATATTTTAATTTACCTCACTAAATGCTCCGCAGGGGCGTTGATGAGGTTGAGCAGCTGGTCTGTGTTTGGGGTGGGTTCAAGTTGTGTGTGCACAGGGTCCTTGGCTTCTAGTGCGCCCAGAGAAAGGTAAGCAGTGGACCCATCTTGGTATGAGGAAGGATGGTCTCGGGTGTCAGAGGCAGTCGAGGAAGAAGAGGTCGACTGCCGTTGCTTCTTGCTGGGAAGTTCCGAGGTTGAAGGAGAACTGACCACAGATGAGACACTGAGTTCTTCGACCGACTCCCTGGTCATGGTGAGCAGTTTGTTGATATAGAAGGGCACGTTGATGGGCTGCTGCCGCTCGTCCAGTCGTGTCTGCATCTGCTGCTTCTCTCGCTCAATGGCCGCCAGGTACTCTGCAATGTTGTCCTCGCGCAGGTGCTCCGGAGGACTCATGTACTGCGTGCTGTTGGTTGAGAGGAAGCTCTGCTGCTGCGGAGGGGGAGGCTCCGAACGACGCTTTTTGCTCTTTTTCTTCTTCTTCTTGTGCTTCTTGACGGACACACTCACCTCAGTGGAAACTGATGCACTGCAGCCAGACACGTGGATACTCGAGGAGGTCTCCACGTTGAGGTGGGTCGGCGACCCAGGTGGAGAGGCAAAATCTTCATCACTGCAGTAATAGTAGTCCTCACCAACTACTTCTTCTAGACGACGCCGACTTTCACCCGCAAGACTGTCCAGCAAGGTCTGTAGACTTTGCGCTGTTGCACCCAAAGCTCCAGCCTCTTCTGGTGTGAACTGCGTCCCAGGAAATTCAGTCAGGTCCATTGGCTGAGGAGAAGCTAAAAGAAAAAAAGAGCTGTTTAAATATCACAATCTTTTTTCAACATCAGTGTGGAGTATGTAAATAAGTTATTATTATATCATTTAATTTGAATTTAAGTTAAAATATTGAATTAAGAAAAAAGGGGGATTTAAAAGTAAAGAATTTCGCTTCTCTTTTTTCTTAATAGATTACTTTTAACTTTAATTCTAATTAAATGAAATTAAGCTCTGCAATGAATCACAATTTTTGGGAAAATTTGCGAATAATTATTATCAATATGCATTTATTAAATATATGTATCTGGTAATTGGAGTTTTGCATTCGTGGACTTACATTGTTCTCTATTTTCATCAGACATCTTGACAGCTGGTTGATTTTCTTTGAGCTCAGTTTGCCTTTCCTTCTTTTTCAGTCTGGAGTACTTGCGCTCCAGGTTGTTCAAGTCACTCACAGTTAATGCTTCAATCTGGAAACAACGCAAATATGCAACTTGAGACTTGACTAAAAAATGAAGGGACAAGTTTGAATACAAAAATTAATACATAATAATCATAATTATAAGCTTTTAAAAATTCACATAATTTAAATCAATTAAAAAAATTTAAACAGATTGAAATAATACTGACTGGCCGAACGCCCAGCTCCTCTTTTTCCAGCTGCTTTAGTTGACTGAAAAGAGTCTTGTACTGTTTCTCAAGAGCCTTTCTTGCATTTGCCGCGTTTCCGAGCCACTTAGTCAACTGCTCAGTTTCTTTAGCTTTGTGAGCACGCTTTTCTCTGGCCCTGACTTCTCTTTCTGCTTCTTCAGCAGCACTCAGGCCAGAGGTCTTCGGCTCCACTTTCTGCACCACATCGTCAGGCACTGTAGTGAAATGCACACTTCTCTGACTTCGAGGCACACTAAAGTCGATCACCTCAACCTTTGTGCCTGACGACTTGCAACTGGCAACTGCCTCTGAGGGCTCCTTCAGTCTGTGAATATGAATTAAGAATAAAACATAATATTTTGGAAAAATTGCATACATTGGTGGAAGAGAAGCAACTGCTTTTGCCCTCTGGTTCTCAACAAATCGCAAATGCTCCCTTTTGTGGCGAGACGTCTTCCGAATAATCTCGCCTTGTTCACGTTCAGCAATTTCTATTTGAAAAGCAACAGCTCCACGTTCTTTGGCACTCTTATCTCGTTTCTCCTTCTTTTCCTGTTGTTTCTTCACCAGAGCCAACTAAAAAATTTTAATTCAGGTTTACAATTACAGAAAAAAAATTATTAAAATAGATGTACGTCTTCTTCGACGGCTTTGAAGCTCTGTCCAAAGTTCTGCAAGCCATGGTCCAGTTCGTTTGTCAGCTGCTGCAGACGGTGCCGTTTCCATTCGCCAAGGGCTTGGTTCTTTTTTTCACGCTGCCGCTTCTGCTCAAGCTCCTTCAACTGCCGGGACCTTTCGATGACCCTGCTGGCGATTTGTTTTGACTGCTGCCGCACCTTTACAAAATCAAACAAATTTTTTAATTGCTACTGCGAGAGACGGGAATCGGGACATCGGGAGTTGATTTTGACACAAACCTGCTGGATGCGCACGAGTCTCCTTCGCGCCCTTTCCTCCTTCAAGATTGACTCCTTGTCGATGAAAGTTGCCGTTGATCGGTGCCAAATGTCACTGGGGTTCATTATTCGATTGCAGCGAATACATTTTTCTTCACTTTTTGGCTTCGTTTCTTTCTCGCCGGCTGCGTGCGTTGTTTGGTTTGCTTTTTCACTTTTTCTGTTTTTCAGCTCAGCCGACCGACAGCAGCGCCTGGCGCGTTTGCGGCCAACGTAGCAACTAGAATCTGCCAATTTAATTGAAAAATGTGAAAAGATTTTGGCAAAGAAAATCAAGCTTATGTATATTATTATAATTTGTTCATCTACTAAAGAAGAAAAAAGGCATATTTTCTATTTTGTTAACTATTATTATCCAAAGTTTTTGTAATGGTTTAACATCGATTTAATTTCCAATTAATTAATTAATGTTATGAATGCACAAATTATAGAAAAAAAATTAAATTAAACAGTAAAACATATTTAATGTAATTTTTTTTATTGTTAAGCAGACATCAAATTTCTATTTGTTATACATTACAATAAATTAAATAAACACTTCCTCAATTATTTTGACACTTTTTTGCAGCCTTAAACTTGGTTAAAAATTAAGTAAAATAAGTACACAAGAAGTGACAAGAAGGAATGATAACTTTTTTTGAATTTTTATCTATAAAATATAAACCAGTTACTTTAAACACTTTTAAGTTGCATAAAAATATGTATGACCGTGTATGACAACCGCCTAGTTGATTTTGCTAATAAAATGCTGTATTTTCCCACATGTTCAAACTGATACGTTGAGATTACAATGATTTAATAATGCAAATAATACCCTGCAAACAATTAAGTACATACATGTAGGAATAAAAATAGCTTTAAAATTAATATAAGCCACCATTCAAACTTTTCTATTAAGTTTAAGTAAGTGGCGCTCTGGAATGAGCTTAGGTTCGGAAACAGAAATAACTCAATATAACTTTGAGTAAAATATCAGCTGAGCCAAATGATAATGAGCATTTTTGTTATTGAAATATGTTCTTGCCTAAATGCATAAGTAAGATTAGTTAATATTTGAACTTGTGCGACGAGAATCAAAACACAAAAGAAGTAATTAATCATTTGGACATAAAAATGCCTCTTCGAGATTCAATGAAATGATTTTGAACTATCAAGAGTGTGCTTGTATAGGCCAATGGCACAAAATAATCAGATCATCCAAATATAATTCGCACATTTACCAAAAGACAGCTGATTCCTATGAAAGAGTCTGAGGTGCGCATTTTGATCACAAAAGCATTGGGTTAGTTATGAAGTTAATTACGAACAGTTTGTCGAGTAAATCAGCTGTGCCTGATCATAACCTTTGTTTCTACTGTCACAGAAAATACTGACTAGAGCGTGAGGTATTTGACGCCCTTAAAAGGAAAAGCTCGATCACTGCAGTCAGCGTGAGCGGATAGTGTTGAGGGTTGACGATGATACAGGCTGGGTGGTTGGTGGTGGTTCCTTACAGTAGCAATATTTACGGAGGTGCTCAAGTGTGTTTTCAACACAGTGTGCTGCAGAACCATATTTGTTGATTCTTGAAATGTCATCAACCTGCAACATGCAAGAGCAATAAAATAATTATTAATAATTAACCAAATAATCCATATTTATTGAAATAGGAAAAAAATGGAAGATCTTGATAAAAAGCCGCTCTTCAATAAAATAACAAATTAAAAAAAAGATTATTCCATTTTTTTTTTAGCATATTAGTAAAATTATTTAATAATGATTTTAACCTTAATTGCAAAGCTCTGGTCTCTAGTGTCGTAACGGAGTGACGCCTCAAAGACGCCTCCCCCTGGCTTAGCCTGCACCTTGACCTGATAGAGCAGTTGAGTCACATCGGTGTGGGCACTGAGGTCAGGTACAAAGCCGTCCAAATCGGCGTTTTTCTGAAACTGCAACAGACCCTTGTGGGGCTGGAAGCGACCTGCCCAGGAAAGGCGATTCAAAATGAGATTGTGGCAAATTTTCCTGGTAGGCTGAGTTTCTCGATTGATGGCATCGATAAGAGCAATGGCTGCCTTCTGTGCAATCAAGTCTTCGCCAGGCCTTAGCTCATGCCACGACAAACACGCACACCAGTGAGGCTCAATTCCTGCATTCTCACAAGTCCGTTCTTTAGGGACCTGGTAAAAAAAATTTGCATATATTGAATATTTCTGCAGAGGAAAAAACTTTAAACAAAAGTAGAAATTTGGCTAATGTTAATAAAAATGAAAGCACTGTAAAATGTCTTCAAGTCAGTATTCACCTCTGAAAAAAGGCTGATGGATCGATTTTTCACACTGCCGGTGCCAAAATTATTTCCATGCGCAGGCGGAAAGTTCAGGATTGATTTCAGGGTAGGATATATGTCAAACGGGGTTGCCAGTCTTTTAGAGTTGCTCCTGTCATAATGAAATCAATGATTTGTTAGTCAAAAACCGTGCAAGGGAAATCCTGCCGCTCACATAAAGTTTTGATAGGGCTCAGGGTATCGTTGTTTGAACCACGGTGGAAAGACAAAGAGGAAGTTGGGCAGCCGTTCTTCCTGTTTGCCCTGTTGAGTGTCACGGATCTGCATAAACCTATGACCGTGATCACTCATGACAACCAGCAACGTATTGTTCAAGTGGCCTTCCGTTTTCATCCACTGGAAAAGCTCAAGAAGGTCTTCGTCAGCCGAAGTTACTTGGTTGATCGAGTCATGAGACAATTCGCAGTGAAAGCTAAACAGGAACTTTGGCTTGTCGGGATAGGTGTGGTAGAGATTCTTCACTTGATTCATCATAATCTGAATGAAAAAAAAATATTTCATAAATATTCCAAATAATCAATTAAAAGCTATTTTGAATAAAAAAAATCAATAATTACTTTGTGCCTCGGAATGCTTCCCATGCAGAATTTTTTCTCCCCTCCAAACTCAGGGTGGGCGGCCACAAAGAAGGTACGCATGTAATGATCAGTCGGCTGTTTATTGAACCCACGCAGTCGATAAGTAAATGTTCCTATATTTGGACTGTCCTCATGGAATGCTGCAAGCAAATAAATTATATGTTTGTCTCAAAGGAGGTCTTAAAATTCTAACCTGTGACATATCCGTTTTCTTGGAAGTCATTCCAAACAAAGGGGTAGACGTTGACAAATTTAGCTTTGGAGCCCATGCGCTTCCGAGTTTCTGGCAGCTCCAGCTCAGTTTGTCCTAAAATAGTCAAAGAAAAGTTATTAAATTGAACCAATGAATTCTGATTATACCAGTGAGAATTGGGATGAGAGCCTGAGGGGTTCCATCACCAACAATGTTGTAACCCTCAAGGGCCACAACACCTAACTCATCCTTCATGTACTGGTAGGTTTTAGGCAGCGTTCGAATAAACATGTTTCTCGACAGGGAGTCGAACCCCCAAATAATCACATTGACAGGCAGTCCATCTGCTTTAACCTTGTCCCAGGATGATCTGCCAGCAGCCTCGGGGTCTCTCCTAATCCCAGCCAGAATGCCTCTCCACCTTAAAACAATAGTTTTTTTTTACGGAAAAGGTAGAATCAAATATTGTACCTTTCCCCATCAGAGCCGTTGCAAGAAACCCTGATGAAATCACTTTTGTTCAGCGTGTATTCAGACCTGCTGAAGACCCTGGGACTGTTTTTGTTCATCGTGTCGGTCTCTCTGATGATGTCTTCAAAAATAAATCGTATTATTTTAGTGATGTTTGTTTAGTTTAATTTATTTCAATAATATACTTAAAAACATGTACTAAATTAAGACAGACTTAATAAAATGAACTGCTAAATTTGAAAATAATTATTTTAAATTATCAGTTATACGTTAGGAATATAATGCAATTATAATTGTACATTTAAATTTACCTGTAAATGCGCAAAGGACATTTCCGTGAAGTTTCTTGGCCTTCTCAGTTATTTTAGCCACATTGCCCTCAATCGTTACCCAATCTTCAGTTTCGCTGCAGACAATTGGGGTTGGTGGATGCATCAATTTCATTATTTCATGTGCATGGACGTCCAGCATGGGATGCCGACAAGCCTGCTCCCCGACCCTAAGAGGATAATTACTCTAATTGAAAACCAACAATATCAAATTACTAATGTTTGTCTTACTTGTATGGCAAAGAGATGTTGACATAGTTGATTTTGTCTGCACTGTAGGGTACACAAAATTTATATTTTTGTAGGAATTAAATAAATTATGAACTTACACATCCCAGATTTGGAGCCTCTTGTTGTAGGCCTCATTGGAAATCTTTGATCTGAAGTATTCGACGGTGGCGTAGATGAAGAAAATAAGCACCGCCGGGTAAACGATACGTTTGAAGTGAAATATCTTCAACATCGTCCCTCCTCGCCCTTTCGGCACGGCTCAGGGATGCGATCCTCCACCCTCTCACATTTGTTTGGAAACTGCGAAAGAGAGACAAAAAATGAAATTATTTTCAGGGCATAACTTTTAGCATTTTGCCAACCTCGGTTGGCAAACTACAGCAGCTCTCGTCCTTTCAATTCAAGGGCAATGGTAGTTTGACTCGTTTGTAAATAAATATAATATTCAAGGTGGCTTCAAGAGGGATGGAAAAGGGTGCAGTGATTTAACGGTCCAGATATGCTAGGGGGATGAACAAGGGCGGCAAATTCGACTTTTCAATTTCAATGACGGTGTTGGTAAAACAAACCTTTATCAGTCGACATTTCTTGACATTTATCTCCTGCCAACAACGATAAGCATTACAAGTAAGAAACTTTCTCCCAGACCCAGAATATTTATCACTTTTATGTCTTTTATTCTGACACCGCTCGTCGCGTCGCGACTCGCAAGCCAAGTCGCAACCGATTCCTTTATCTCTGAACCGTTCACACACATGGAAAAAATTAGCAGTTTCTTTGCGCTTCACTGAATCATAACTTTACGACATCTGTTGGCAGCAAATTGGACGTGCATTTGGTGGCGGGTCCTCAGATATTATGTTTTACAGTTCCTTGCTCAAACAATCGAGAAAAATAGATAGTTAAGTTACTTTATCATTTTTTTTTTAATTCCAAGCCATGATGCCAGAAACCTCTGCACGTAACAAACATTTTTTTATTATCTTATAGAAAAAATAAATAATCATTTTTTTTTTTATTTAATGTCTCTTAAAGGGAAATTCTCACAGCCAATGTAATTATCGGTAATTATACACTATCAGACATGAGTTGATGTTCTTTGGTCCAATTATTTATATTAAAATTTTCAAGGCTATAACCAGAATGAGTGTGCACTTTTGTCACACGGTACCTTGCACATTATCATTCATATGTTTAATTATTAGAAATTTCTATTTGACGTACGAAATCTATTGGGAAATAACAATTTTTTTTAAGTTTTTAAGCATGCAAAAGCACAAATCTAAAAATACCCGCAATATGATAATATTTAAAAGTTTCAGCTATTTGGCTTAAAAAAGAGATAAAGTTTTTAAATCTAACTACACTAAAATGAAAAATACTGCTTTAAACGTTTGCTGCGGCACAATTGTTTTTTTATTTACAAATTACAACCGTCGCAAAATAAACAAATTGATCTTCGTAAAACATTAAAAATGTGAGCACTCCTTCAGTTTGTCGATAAAACTTACGCAGACATTTTGACATTTGTGTTTCCAAGTGTTCTTTCAGCTGCATTTGTAATGTATATGGCATTTCCGTTTTTATGAATGTTAAAAAAAATTGTTTGGCCCACAACATTGGGCTTTGATTGGATAGGCTAATTACCTGGCATAAATTATTTTAGCACACTGGCAATTAACAGAGAACCAGCAGAGAAAAAATCAAGCATTGCAACAAATTTAAAATGGTGCGATGGTTATAAAAAAATATTAATTTTTATATATTAAAAACTTTTTGGGGTTCAGGAAATTTTCTCAGTGACTCCGTGTTAAATTGTTTAGTTTCAAAAAAAAGGTGGTTGGAGGTAGATGGGCAGACTCCTGGAGATGAAGACGTTATTGGACTCAGCGGGCACCAAAACCTCGCTCCTGGTCTGTCTGAAGTTGCGCTGAAGAGCCTCTCTCTCCCTCTGCAGGGACACGAGCTGTTCCTGCAGAAGCTGCTGTCTCTTCTCAAGCCTCCTCAGGGCGTCGTCGGAGCTGCTGAAGAAGTTCTGCTCCTGGAAGGGTTGTTGTTGTAGGGGCAGCGATCTCTGGAAGTTGACCAAAGAGGCGTCAGGCGTCGGCTGGTGCGAAAAGGTGATGCCCTGTCTGCCTGCGACCTGGCCGGCCACACTCAGGGTCAGTCTTTCATCCCTCAACAGCTGTTCGGAGACACCCTGAGGCACAGGGTAGGCGACCAGGTTGCGCGTCTTTCCGGTGCTCTCCTCTTGCAGAAGACCAAAGGCGGCGATCAGAGGCGCCTGCAGGAATTCGACGCCGGCGCCGAGCTTTTCGTCGGGGGTGGTGCTGACGGCGCTGATGAAGCGATTCACATCGGCAGAGTCGGCGGGAGTGAGGTTGGCCAAGTTGTCGACGGTCACCGTGGGTTGAGGGGGTGCAGGGCTCGGCGCAGGGGAGGACAGGCCGGGGTCATCAGACACGGTGCGCTCGGTCGTTGCTGCAGCTTCGGCGGAACCTAATGAAATACGGTTTAAGCGATTCAATATAAAAAAAAATAATTATTGAGTTTTTCATTGAATGGGAGATGAGTTAGTGTGTGTGTTGTTCCCATTTCCTTGAATTCGTTGATAAGTGTCGGGATCGAGTCATTTTGTCAGAATAAACCAGCATTATATTAATGTTTGATAAATCAAAATGAGACTTTATTAAGCTTTTTAAATTTACCTAAAGATTCTAATTTATAAAAAAAGCCAAAATGACAATAAGCAGTTTACGTTTGGCAAAATAAAAAAATGTTTTTCACAGATTTTGTTTCACAACTTTTCTTCAGATATTATATATTAACTGAAAGTCCCACCACAAAGATGAGTCTCCGTGAAGTTGCACATCCACGATTTTAATGCTTTTATTTAAGGACAGTCGTTGTAATAATATAGAATTACGCTAGCTATTATATTTTTGTGCAATTAATGTATTTTCCTGTTCTAATATTCTAAAGCTAGCTGCGTTTATAATAATAATAATAAATAATCTAATATTATCTAATTAATTTTAATTGGACTTTTAAAAAATATTTTACCTTGAAATTTAAAGCAGATGAGAAGCAAGAAGAAATGGATTATTCATTTTTGTCAATTCATTTGAATATTGACTTTGACGACTTGATAATGGAATAAAAATTAAAAATCTTTACAAAAATTTCTTATAATATATTAAGAGATTATTTTTAATTCAATATTTCAAATTGTTAAATATATTTCAATTTGAACACTTAATAAATACTGAAAAAATATTATGCAAACTCGCTAATATATAGAAAATGCTCCAGCCAGGATCATGTTTGTTTATTTTTGAATGAAAACGGGGAGGGGAAGGAAAGAAATCGGCGCTGCGGCTCTCCTATTATCCTGACAGGCTCATTGCGGAACAAGGGAGGCAGCGCTGGAGCGCTGTTGGCTGTTGCTTTCATAATGAACCTTCACACTGGGGTTGCGAAGTTTGTCAACAGTCGGTCAGTCAGTAAGTCCAGAAAGACATTCTTTTGTGGGTGCAAATTTTCACTAGCTACTGTTGTTGTGCAGTTATATCAGTGATTTTTTTTAATTGAAACTTTTAGTTCCGCTATTTCTACGCCTCTATATACTCAAATCGTAATGACTCGACCTTTGTGTTGGGGTGAAGTGTAAATCCAAACTGAGCGGTGGATGGTGGTGATGGGTGGTGAGACTGTTGTGGTTGCGTTTGAGGCGGACTCACGTGATTCTGCGGGTTCCTCGTTGTCCAGACGCACGAGGAACGGCGTCTCAGTGCTGGCGGCGCGAGGGTTCGCAACCAGGGTTCGTTCGGAGGTGGTCGAGTCGCCGCTCAGAACGAGAAGCTCGTCCGCCGAGGTCTCCCTGTCGAAGCCCTCGGATGAAGCTGCGTCCGCCGTCGGTGGCTTCAGGTCGGCTGTACCAGAGTCGGCTAAACCAGAGAGGTATTGAAAATTTAATTATTCAGTATTTTATTAAAATTTAGTAATTCGATTATAATAAAAAAGTATAAAAAAAAAATACATTTCTTTGCTGCTTGGATTCCAGCATCGGCGGCAGCCTTCAGAGACTCGGCAAACACCCTGAGAAGGGTCCTCCTCAATTCAGGGTCGGAGAGAGGTTCATCTAGCCGGTTGATGTCGGTCACCTGATCTTGTCTTGGCCGGGCAAAACTTGTCGCCACCAGCGAACACAGAATTATCTGCAAAAAGGTCATTTTTCCATTATGTAAGTACAGATTATTATTTGTAAATTCAATTTAATATTTTTAAAAATTTTAAACTTTAAATGTAGGTTAATTTTAATTCCACATTGTGAAATACATTAAATTTATGCATGTGTGATTGTTTGGAAATATTTTTTTTCCAAGCAATTGAGACAAATTATTTCATTATATTATATTTTAGTATTAAATTCATCAACATTGTATACAAATCTATGATTAATTAACAAGAAAAAGCTCATAATTCAATTTCATTTTTAATTTATTTTGCAAAGAATTGATAAATATCCTAAAATTATTCTTCTGATGTTTTAATCTAATAATATAAGAGATGGTGCACGTTTCAGCATATATTATATAAATTTATTTCGCTAATTTAGAGGTTTCTAAAATTTTTATCACAGATCTAGTGATTATCTATTAAAATTAATAACCATTTATCATTAGCAAAATTTAAAACTTCCGTAAAAAGAAACGTTTTTAAATATAAAATTTGTTTTGTGGTGTAGACAAGACACGATCTCACACCAAGTTCAAAAATGACACCTAAGAATACAGAGTTCCAAGTCCCAACGCTACTCTGTTAGCACCGTTTTCCCTAAAAGCATATCAGGAGCGCATATAGTTATAGAAGGTACATCGAGCCTCCAAAATACACATCGATCTTTAAATGTTTGGAATAACAGTTTTTTCCTTATTATTTTTAAATTGAAAAGAAAATATATATATTGTGATGTTATGATTTTCCTAACAAAATCACTATTTTGAAAGGAAATTCATGCTTATAGTGAAAGACTGCATAATCCTTCAGAATGAAAAGATCTTTTTTATCTTTCTTTAGAACTTTAAAAAAATTCATATCTTCATTGCAAAAAAAATCTACTTAAAATATATTTGAAATGTGTTGAAGGACAGGCGGAGTTGATAGTTCTCTTTGTACAGGACAATGATTGATAAATTTTATTGCAACGCTTTTAGCATTGGGAAGAGAGGCTAAATGGCAAAATGGCACCTAAGCATGCAGAGTTTGTTCGTTTGGTTCCACTTGCAACTCTGCTATCCAAGCACCGATTTTCACAGTCGCGTATCAGGGACACATTAACCACTAGAAGGTAGCACGTCTTCCATTCACAACATTTACGTTTTCAAATCATTTTTAAATTTGAATTGATTTGAATACAAAAGAAAATAATTTTTCAGTGAAGCCAGAATGAAATCAATATTTTTGCGATAGAAATCGAAACAAAACTAATTAAAAAATATAATTCAAATCAATAAATATTTCAGCATGCCACTTTAAATTGCAGTGTAAACAATGGCCCACAAAGAGTAAAAAAAAATATGAAATTCACATTTTTAGTGATTTATTAGTTGAGGAGCAAAAGGAAGGCGAAAGTTGCGTGCAGAGTCGCGGTCGCTCACTTCCAAGTGGGTGGGTTCCTAGTCGCAAACACTCTTGGTATATAAAAAGGAAGATGCAATCCCCCTGCGGCAAGAAGAAGATTTCTCTGCCGCCGATTGTGAAAACTGTAAGAGCAACGACCAAATTTAGAGATGTCTTTTGCAGCTCTTGTTTGCCCGCGCCTCAAACACATAAACGCACTCAATTTTGCGATTTAATGACTAAGCGGTTAAAATTAACAGTTCCTTGAGCATTATAGATACTCAAGAGGAGAAGAATATAATAACCCTTTGTGATTTTCTCCAAAGATATCACAATTTCTTTTTGCAAATGACTCATAAAATACAGCATAATCTTTCAAAGGTTGTTTTGCGATGGCATAAAAATTCATCTCAGAAACGATTTTGCATCACTTTTTATCATTTAAATTCTCTGTTTTAAATCTTTATTCCTCGATTTTCTAATTTAAATTCAGAGATAAGATCAGCACGCTTTTCCTAATCCTAATTTGGCATGCATGAAAACGTGATCAGTGTAAAATAAGCGCGTAATGTACACATAATTTAAAAGTAATTACTTTCTGCATCAGACCGACAAAAGGTCACTTCGGTAAATCACGCCCAGCCATTGCAACAAGCGAAATTTCTCTCTCTTCATTTTGCTTTTGGGGACAAAGTGAACACAGACACATCATCCATTGTCTGTAAATCTGCCGCTAAAAGGACTTTCAATTTCTCTCTACGCGCCCGCACGCCTTCCGCAGACACAATTTTCACATTACCAGGACGGTATGCATAACCCGGGGCTATACGGAGGTCACGAGAGTCGGTCGGGTCAATGTGGGCGAAAAAATTCCTTCTGCCTTTCATGTTTCGCGATTCTCAAGACAGGGAGGCTCCGTTCAACCTGTTCAGTTTTACGAGACTTTTACAACGGGAATACATTTCCTTTGAGGGAAAAAACCTTCAATGATCGCGACATGTGGCGAACAAGATAAGGTTTTTTTAGAAAGAGAGATGACACCGAGATTCACGAGCTTTGTTCGTGCGCGGTTTGTACTGTACTTTCTGCAAAGGAATTTTAACTGCAAGCACGTGTGGTACCCATTTTTAGCTCTTCTCAAATTGATTTGAACAATGAGTGTTGTATAGGATTTTAAATTAATGGTTTGAATTTAAGATTAAAACCATCCAGACATGCTTTCTAGTCAGGTTTTTGTTTTTTATTTTAGCTATTCGGATTTATTATATTGTGCGGCATGTGGACCGATCATAAGTAAATATAGGACTAAATTTGGCTTGAGGGTCCCCAAATAATTTTACTTTCCGTCCTGGGAGGCGTAACTTGTACGAATTCCTGGCGCTCCTGCAAATTCCCGTTCCTGTTGGACCCCTTATATCTCATTTCCACTCATTTTTTATGTGTGATATACCAATTAAAATTTTATCATGACATATATGGTTATATCTCCTGATTCAGGCCATTAGAAAAAAACATAAATTCCAAAATATTTCTGCCATTTGGTAAAATATAATTCTAATACAAATAATAAAACGCAAACAAACACCGATTGTTTGTAGGCATGGATTTTTCGTGCGTCCACCTAAGAGAACTTCCACAGCACATCACTGATGGTTATTAAGCGGTGATTTTTCCGTACTGTATCAGGAGCACATGATGCGCTAGAAGGAATCGTGCCTTTAAATACATTTTATTCCATTTACACAGAGCTTCTGGTTTCAATTTATTTATTATTCAAACTATTGAGATTTTAGTTTCAAACATGAAGTTTGTAGATTAATTTACATTTGTCTCCCACTAAATCAAAATTTTCTACCAAAAACTAGTTTTATTAAATCAATAATTTTTAGCATATTATATTATTTTAAATTTATAATCTTACTAAATTTACAAAAAAAATCATACGTGAATTAAATTAAGTTTTATTAGTAATTATTTATTCAAAAAGCATGATGTAAAGAATATTTTTAAATATAATATTTTTTTTCAACTTATTTATAAAAATTTTATTTCTTGAAATTTTTGTTTAAAACTCAGGAATGCTAGCCTTCATAGAATCTGATATTTTGATAGCAATCAAAGGTGTTATGTTGCAACGGTCGAAAGCCAGCAATTTACTCTTAAAATTCGAGGAAATGAAATTCTCCCAGCAGCGCATCCCAGCAAGTCAAAATTATATCACTGGCATATAACAAGAAGCACATGCGTTAATTCTCGTGGTGATTGCATTTTAATTGAAAGCAATCTCCTTCACGAATCTTAATCGTCAAAGTGCATCTCTCCGATTTTCCTTATTGTCTGTCGCAAGACAGGAAAAAATTAAAGTTTAATTTAGTCAGTGTTGAAAAAAGGGCCATCAACGCGCGGTCACGGTGAATAATTACAAGTTCCGAAGACAATCTGAGACTTTCTTTCCAGCTTCTAGCTAAGGATCATCTCCATAAAGCACGCGGGAAATGGAGTCACTTCCATTTTCCTTTCTAGAGAAAGCAGTCTCATAATTTAATATTTTAATCGGACCGGCTCATAGTCAGACGAAAGGATCGCGACCTTTGGGCAAAACTTGTCCCCCAGAGCTGAATACAAATCACGGGCTTGGTTAAACACAAAATGTTTTCCTACAATGTTGACTAATTCCACCGTGGATAATTTTATTTAGTGTGTATAAATAAGTTGAGATGCGCATGACCTGGGTCGTGGATATTTTTTATGCTACGCTATATTTTTTTTCCTTTTTTATTTCATCCATTATAGCAACTTGTATAGAAAATTGATCGTTCAACGGCTGCTTTCACCGTTTGCTTTTTTGATTAATTTTTAATTGTTATTTCCACGCGGCAATCCGGTCATAAATCATTTACCAATTCGCACAGATCCACCTATAGAATCACGAAAATAATGAAAAGATTAAATAATTTTATTTTATAACCACATGAGCTGATAGATTTGGGCCAGTAATTGCTTTATTGCACCACATTTTGTGAGTTTTAATCCTGCATTGAAGGAAAATAGAGAGGCAGCTTGACCAAGAGTGCAATATTTCACTCAGCACTCATCGTGATGATTTTAATCGCGATCCCGAAATAATTACACGTCTCGTTGGTTCGGTGCGGTCGATTGGATGCGCCACTTCCTAGGTGTGGGCTGCATTGTTCCAAACTAATCATCACTATTGCGTTACGATTCAATTGCAAAACTTGCAATTCGTGCAGCACCAAATTTTAAATCCCTGCCAGATCTCTGACTTGCTTGCGCACCAGACTTTTGATGCGGAATAATCATGATTATTAAAAAATTGATTCCTTCATCTTTCCTTTTTCTCAAGTTTCAATTTTTTCAAACAAGTGAAATTTTTTATTCCAAATTTTTATGTAAATTTTAAGCATTGACTTACGCTTACGAACATGAAGATGAATTTGATGTAAAATTTTGCTTTAAACATTTTTACCAAAATAAATTATTTATTAAAACTTAAGCGAGTAAATTTATTTTGGTGTTCTCGTGCCGTGCCCACGTTCAGTAATTTACCTTTTTTATTAAACTGAGAGGATATTTTGGAATACAAAACCGTCAATTTACATCGTATTAGATTGGAAACCACAGATCTCCGCTCAAAATGAGCGTCAATTATCCCGTCAGCCGAGCTGCGTTTGGACATTTTTCTGCCGGAGAAAATCGCACAGGTGAATTATGGACCGACACAAAAGGATTCACATTAAACACAAATCTTCTTCCTCAAACACGATCATAATTCACTCTTTTGTCCACGTGGGTGTGAGAAAACTCACAATCGGAGATTAGAAAAAGAAAAAAAACGCAGCACGCAAGCTTTGGTGTCAATGCAGCTCCACACAGAGAAATCAAATCCTCCTCTTCAAATGAAATCTCAAAGGCTAATCTGTTATTATACTAAGCTCAAAAGGGGTTATTATAATTCTGTCGCCCACGACTTCTATAAAAAATGAAAAAGTCATAACATCAAAGTGCTTCGTGATGTTTTTGTGGAAAAACAATGGGCAAATATTGTTTCCATCGAAAAGGCATAGTTCACGGAGAAAGTGAAACGCTCTGCAAAGGTGGAGCTCGAACTCGTCGCGAGGATATGCCAATCAATGGGAAAATAGAAAAGGTGACGAGGCAGAAAATTTGGATGTGTTTGTTTGCACTTTTGCAGGGCGTGAAGTTGCGTTTTGCTAATTAGCAGTCATTGGTTCGTGCGTTTGATTTGTGTTTACAAACTCAAATAATGGATATGGGATGTGCTGCTTTTTACCTGCAGAACAAATCGCGCGTCAAATTTCTCACCGCTTTGTCAGATTTGTTTGAGTAGAGTGGATTGGCTCATCTCATAGGTGAAGCGAAAGTAAAAGCAGTCTTGAGAATGAAGATTTTTTGTCAATCACTAACATAACCAAAAATTTTATTTCAAACAGAAGGAAAGTTTGGAAGGCTATAAAATTAAAATGCGTGATTGACGGAATACTTCCGACGCAGAAGGAAATTTTAAGAATTTTTTGTACAATCTTATTTCATCTAATTTTTTTTTTTTTTAATCTTAAACGCTAAAGACGAAAATAACATACAAATATATAATCATTTTTAAAATAACAACGAATTTTGTGAGAGAAAATATTAAGAGTAGTTGAAAATTAAAATTTATAAAAAAATTAAATATTTGCTTTTTTTTTAATTGAAGAAAAATAGTTTAAAAAAATCTTTTTGATTAAATTTATTTTATCAATTAATTTTTTCCTATTTTTTACCCAAACTGGGACAGCTCTATTGATATTCTTCTTACATAGAATTAATAATAATAGCACATTACATCTTAATCATGTTTTTGAAGTTGTTTTCCAAACAAAGCTGGTCTCCACGCTGGCACAAAAGGCTGAAAATCTCATCCGTTTTGTGTGACAGCAAAACGCGCCTTTCAAGAAATTAATTCATCAGCGTGTTGTGAGCCAAAGTGAAAAGCTTTTATGGCAATTCAATATACTATACTGCACAAAAGTAGGCTACCTCATGCATAATAGTGAGAAGTGACTCTGCACAATTTTTTTCCATCAAAAAGTGCCGAAAAGCTAAAAGCAAGCATTGCACTCGGTTGAATAAATTAGCATATTATGCGTTTCGAGTGCTGCGCTTTTTTGTTTACGCATCTGCGGCAGATGAATTACTTTCTCTGCTGCTCGCGGAATTACCTTGCACCTTCTGAAAAAATGGTTGCGTTATGTGCGCGGTTCTCACATGAATTTTCATAAATCCGCGCTCGGCAGCTGATGGGACTTGTCTCGACTTTGCCTGCGCACATACACAGAGACACACGCAATAGTATAAAACCACTGAGATGCATTGTTAGGAAGACGGCGAGCGTAATGGCTCGTGAAGTGGCCTAATTTGTTGGCGAGACCCTGAACGTATATGTAATTATTCATTGTTACCCAAAATTACTCTCGTTTGTATCACATTTTCTTACCATCTCAAATTGTTAAATTGTTCAGTAACGCGTATTTAATAGATTAACAACCTGAAATAATTCTAATGAGGAAAATTTTACGAGAGAAGAGAAGTTTGAAAGTATTTTTGAGACGTGCTAAAGAGCACAATAAAAAACGGTTTATATGCAAAACTGACTCTCGTGAAACTTTCCTGCAAATAATTATAATCATGTATATCGCCGAGCTATTGCATGTTAGCAATCACGAAAATGCCAAGGAAAACTGCGGCACTAATTGCTTCCCAGTTCACCAATACTTAAATATATTGAACGCTAACCAGAAATTATGAGTTGAATTGTGAATGATTTTAAAATTCATTAACGACATTTTTTGTCAAAATTTTTAACATTTGATTGCAGATAATTAAAAAAAAAAAGTAAAAATACTCACAGCGTGTGTCAAATGCATTTTGTGAGGAATCGGCCGCACTTGGCTCAGGTCTAGGAAGGTACTACGGGCCGCGCGCTCCATGTTCGCCGGTTTTATACCTGGATGTGTGTCAGCAACTCCCTCTACTCGCACCTGCTGCTTCGTACAATATGCCACCTTCAGATATTCACCCTGAGATAACTTGAAATTTAAATATTGAATCTAAAAATCATGCCTATATTTTCCACCGATTCAATTTTCTTTTCTTTGGCAGATCTTGATTATTCCACACAAAAATAAAAATTCACCAAAACATTAACGATTTTAAATAAAATTCTTTTTATTATAATTGTACTATAAATGTAATAATTAAGAACCGAACAAAAAATACTTTTTCTAAGACTAAGTCCGAATAATTATATCAAGCCACCACTCACACAAAATACCGCATGATATAATATGTTCAAGATGCACCAAGTAAAAAAAGGTGATGTCTTCATATCATTGCAATGAGACAAAAAGCGTTGCGATTACAAGAAGTGTATTGCACAAAGGGTAAACTAGGTAGTGAGATTAATAAAAAAAAGGTTTACATGTATGTAACAAAAAACAAACAATCTTTATTAAAAATCTTGTTCCACAAATGAGTTATTTGTTCTGTAAATCTACAACAATATTTTGAATTTTGAAAGACACGCATTACTTTTGCCAAATTGGCGGCCAAGTTTTTAATTTTAACTACACTTTTTATACCAATTACAATATATGTGATTTTGATTTTTTCGTCCCTCCGCGGGAGGCCATTGCCAAAAATAAAAATGAAGTACATTCATGAAAAGTAATTGCGATTTGTTGATCTCCCATAAAAGGTTATCTGCATGCAAAAGGCAAGGCTGAATTTCACCTGTTAATTTTGTTCACATATATGACACTTAAAAATTAAACGTGGTAATTAAGGCTTGTACTAACACATACACACGCACTTATGAGGTTTAAAGGAAGGTTAAACATCAAAAGTCATCGTGCTATGCTTTGTTGTCCGCGTCAGATTTGCTTGTGCAACAAATGCTGATTGGTATATGTAATTGTGATGAGATCTTTAGTCAATTACTGTGATTATTTGATTAAATAATTTCACAATTATTTCTTGATTCTGATTACACAACAAGCATAAAAATCTATAAATTTCTAACAACGAAAGTTCATATCCATATTTTTTTTACCAATAATTTCGAACAAAATTATGTACATTTCTGATGACACCACATTTTTTTTCAAGATAAAAAGTATTAAATTGCAGGATAAAATCGTGGTTTTTACACCAGAGGCGGTGGCACGTACGCGCAATTTCACGGCGGACATACCTTTGACGTGCCGAGTTTGACAAAGGCACATGGCTTGTTCATTAATTTTAAAGTGCACCACAAACGTGGCTGACAAATGATACTTCATCATTGTCGACACTGTCGCACTGCGGCGCACATTCAACCGAATGATAGTTATTTGCGTTTCGTTTCCTCACACGCTGCAATTTCACTTGAATGTACTGATTTTGAAACCGTCTTTTAGTTCACTGTCGAGCATCTCGTCCACGTTGAATTTTGGCAGTAGGGTGTTCTTGCGGGGAGCACCGTGACCCGGTCGACCCCAGAACTTGGTCCAAGTTTCAAAGTGCATTTGACATGATTCCACCTCACGCCTACGCAACTCCTAAATGGAATAGAATGAAATTTAATGCCTCAATATTATTGGAAATTATTCAAATTATAAAAAAACAATCCCAAAACATTTTTCAGCAAAGGATGTTTATTTTTTAACTGTGAACTTTCTTTTTTTGATCTTAAAAAATATGCTACTTGTATTTATTCTATTATTGGCATCATATAAAATTAATAATTTCCGTTATCTTCATTAATTTTTGTTTGTAGTTGACGGTCCGATTAAGAACTTTCTTTTATCTGGTCAGGTATGTGGCGGAGGCCGTGATGATTTCGGCCAAAAGTAAAATATATATGCGGAGAAGAAAGAAAGTTGACTCGGTGAAATATGGTGGTGCGACTGCATATAAAAAACACAATCACACACGCCAGACGAAAAACGAGATGCAAGACAGCACAGTGCTATTAATCTTTTTGCAGTGGCGCAGTGTAATCTGACTCCAAATGAATGGCCACTTTTTGTCAATGAAAAAGGAAAACGCACCTGACGGAATTTTGGAAAGGAAAATTTTCGTCCTTACCTCGAGTTTCTTCTGCTTGTACATAACCTGCCGACGCAATGTCTGCACCATATCGTGGTCCTCCTGCAGATGTCTGGCTTCAGGGAATCTGAAAAATATTTTTTTAATCAGTCAAGGACTGTGGGTCGTGGGATGACAAACATGGGCATTAAACATAGCGAAAATATTAAATGTGCGCATTTGTGTGCATCTCTAGAAATAAAACAAGTTTGCCTTTATGACAAGCAAGACAAGTGTATGGTCTTAACTCATGAATTGACCTAAAATTGCAAGAGTTAAATTTCATAATACGTGTACGCCATAATAGAATTGGATGGTTCTGGAAAACAATATTCATAATATTGCAAAAGGCAAACTGAATTTTGCTGAAATATATTTTTCCTGGGAAATTAAGTATAACAGCTTATTGATTATGTATTTTTTTATTATTATTAATATTTAGTTTAAAATATAGTTCATATTTTTTTTTAACAATTTTTCTTGTTATTTATATGTAATTTACTTTAATTAGTCTACCCATTTGTACTGCTCACCCATGGAATACAATTCTTTGGTAATATCAGAAATTAATTTTAAGAAATCATGAGATTATTTTAACACTGCTCACAGCTTAAAACATCTTCACTTTGGATTAACTGGGTATGAATACAATTAATGAAAAAAAATCTAGATCTTTATACAGCATAAATTTTAAATTATTTCTGCTTACAATTATTTGCTTTGTCGACTGAAACTGTTAAAACTTAATTTAAATTTATTTTACACACGCAAAATAATTCAAAAAGATGAACAACAAACATTCCTGCTTTTGATGTTTAATATCAGCCAGCATCTTTTAATGCCAAGCGAGATTTACGCGCTGCCAAGTGCAAGAAACACTCTCGCCCGCAATGAAAACCATAATTATTGCTCCTTTCGTAATTTTAAAACGCGTGTACGTACACGTTTGCAAACAAGAACGACTCGCCATTCATCATGCACGCGTTTGCAAGCCGAAAATCGCGCGCAGTCCCAGATAGAGGTCAGAGACGCGGCTGCTGAGAAAGTGCTTGTTTGACACTTTATTTGAAGATGTTATAAAAATTCGACGATTATTTGCCCAGGCTGCGAATGAAAGTACAAATGACGGAGAAAGAAATCTCCTGGGGAATTAACGCACTGCCTTTTTTGTTTGTTTAATTGCGATGCTCGCTTTGCAGATGTAATTTGGAGTCGTGCGCGCATCTGCGGCTCTGGAGTAATTTCGTGCACTAAGTCGTGCATCGCAAATCAAAATTCCGGGAGCATCTCGAGCATTTTCTCTTGTCAATCAAAAGTTCAAAGTTTCTCAAATGATTAATGTGTGCAGATGTTGCTAAATTTTATACTCACCCACGCACTTGAAGCCGCGTTACGTCTGTGGTGTTCAAAGGGTGCCGCGAGTGCAAAATATCAAAGTGTCGCTCTTTCAGCAAAGGCACCAGTTCCTGGCCCTGAAATTTCAATTTCCAATAGGCAATGTTAATACAAATTTATAAATTGAAGATCACATTTTTAAATACCCCATTTTTTAATTTTAAGAAACAATATGAAACAAATAATAAACTAAGTTATAGGCAAGAGAAAAATCCTTTTTTTATTGTTTTTTGATTTTGAAATATTTATCAGTGTCAGAATGAAACTTGAGAACTACACGCTATCCCAGTTTTTTATATTAGCTATACAGGGGCCATTCATCGAAAGTGTGAAAGTGATTAATTCCGATGATTCTCCAAAATCAACGTTACTCTTTGTTTCCTAGCTGAATAAGTGGTGCTAAATATTTACTCAATCAATCACTTTTCCCACGTGAGAAAAACAACAATGATATAACGACACCGTCACTCTTTTAAAAATACTGTCAATACGTCGCCCCCAAACGTCTTTGTCTTTTTCGACTTCAGGTGCAAATGTTTGGTTTGTGGTGCTGGTCAGAAGAAAGAAAGTCAAAACTTATTGTAGCTTTCCGCCAAGTGCAATTGAAATAATATGCCTGCCAGCTATTTGATGACCCAGAACATTGCCAAAAGTGATGTCACGAGCTCGGAAGAATCAGTCTTCATTATTATATACTAAAAACGTGCTGCTCATTGTTTCGCGCTGAAATGCTGAACAATGCGTGAGTTCTTTGATGTGGCTTCACAGCCGCATTTTATTGACCATGAGGTAAAGAATGAAATGCGTGTTCACTCACTAATTTTAAATACAAATGCTAATAAAATAATAATTGCGCAGAAAATCTCGGCGCGGCTTCCCATGAGCGAGTTCAATTTTTTACGCTTACATAGTTCCAATTCATAAAAATCCAAAAACTTTTAGAAGATTGATGACACACGCATATTATTTTTCGTTGAGGGCGTGTGCGCATTTGAAAGTCACGCAGGCAAACACATGCAAACAGAAATACTATAATTAATTGTGCTCACAACCCACAAGTGGTGCAATTTGAATCTATTGCTTACAGAATAGAAAACTTTGTGAAATACAGTTATAATTTGTGCACAAATATGAGCATGAGATGTTACACATTGCCTAACAAGGAAATTGAAAAAAGAAAAGTTGTAAAAAAATTAGTTGTTAATTTTTTTCCTGATTATTAATTACCTTATGATGACTAAGAAAATTTCAGTTTATGCAAAGTCTTTTTGTGTGCAATTTACCTTGCCAGGCAAAGTTATGTGTTAATAATATTATGTTTTTAATTAACTTTGTATTAATTTAAAAGGAACCAAAACCTATAAACAAGAAGTTACAGGATTTAATAAACTTCAATGTCTTTTCTCACTTAAGTTTTAAGTTTTCACTTTAGATTTGTTATTATTATTTTTTTTTTTTAATCCTTTGAATCATTTAAATGGTTTTAATGTTGCAGTGATAAATCCATTTTTTAGTACATTCAATAATACCTGATTTACTTTTGGTAGTGTTGTGCAATTTTCGTGATTGTCTGTGCTGGTGCGTTGTCCACCTATCTCTTCTCTGTAGCTCAGATTTGGATCACTATTCGACCAGCCCTGAAATTTTGACACATTACAGTTTCTCAATTTAATTGAAATAATATTCTTTTTAAAATGCTCTATTGAGGTACTGATGAAAGAAGATGCGTCCTTGGTGTACAAAAAGCATCTTTGAACGCACTAATCGCAAGCACACAGCAGCACAAAGCTGTTGATATTTCACTATAGTGTTTGACATTTAAAATATATAAAAGATGTGACACGATAAAATTGTGAGTGAAAATGACAACTTTTTGAAATTTGCTTGATCTGCGTGAAAGGGAATTTTCCCGCACACTTTATTCATTTCATTTGATTTTTATTGACCTTTCTAACAAAACGCGCCGGCAGACGACCCAAGTCATTCACACGTGCGTTCAGACAATCAATATAAATTTTCTCTTTGTGGAAAACATTTCTTCCCCCGCACCTTCTTTGCCTTTTTCGGTAAGCAACACGTACACAAATATGAAATTATTATTCGCGTACACTCCCTTTATTAATGGCATAGCGAATATGTAGAGAGAAATTCCTACTCACATCTTCTCTTTTTATTCAAGAGTGAGCAAAGACACCGCCGATATTTTTATCCAGCCCATCTTTTGTCAGCGAAAGTTGTTTTCCGGGGGAACACTTGTTAGACGATTTAAATGCAAAATAAAGATCTGCAGAGACGAAATGAACGAATGGTTTTCGCTGTCAAAAGCCGTAACTCACCAAAAGAGGCAAGTTTATATGCAAAGAGGAGAATGAAACTCAATCAGTGCTGAATATAAATCTCTTTCATTATCCTCGCGATTATTTTTGCCTGGATTTTAGAAATTTTTTCTTGCATATATATAGTATATATGCAGTTATATATTATATACTGATGATGAGTTTTATGACTTTTATTAATCGATCAATGTATGATAAAAAAAGGAGTGCACACGTCGTTTAATGCCGAGAAAGGTGCGAGAATAGTGGATAGTTTTCTCGCCGACCGCAAACACGTGTCAAAATTTCTTTTCGATCCCTTTGTAAGTTAATGCCAATTACGTTCGGGTGCCACAAGAATGACATTTATGTAAATCAGGGTCAAACCAGCACTCGGTGGAGACGGGTCGAGTCGCGGTGAGTGTGTGATAATCAACCGCGCACTCGAGCCTGCTATTCTCACGCGAATCGTGGAAATGAAAAAGCAGCTTGCACATAGCAGAGTGTGAGGTGTGTTGTTGATTCTGCACGAAAATAGTTTTTTTTTTCTAAAAAATAAGCGCCTCAACACATTTATGGATGGTTTCATTCAAATTATATTAGCGTAAGCAATTATTGCTAGGTTGGTCTGACTATGAGCAAAATTCAAAATTAGGAATGTTTTAATTAAAAAATCAGCATTTGCAGTTGGTGGCTCCAACAAAAAGCCAAACAAAACTGCTTACCAAAGATTGCAAAAATCGTCTTTGGGTACTCCTTTGCGCCCTCCAAGGAGTGCCACCTGGCCCAGGTCGACCCCAGGGCGAGGGAGCTCCTAACTGACATAGTTTTATATTTATTTTTTGACCAACTCTTTTCAATTTTCCTAAATATATAGTAAAAAATAAAGAAGAGGAGTCTGTTTCAAATAAAATTATTGATTATCTTGGACTGTAATAAACTTTTGTGCCATACAACTTCTATCACTTCATAATAATTAATATTTCCAATTAATTTTTAGCTTGGAGGAGACTTTTCTCCTCTTAATTACGCGTTGAAAAGTTGAAAATTCTGAGTATCTGCGTTTGTTTAGCAGAGTAGCAGCGGAATCCTGGCTAAAACTTTACAGCTAAACAGAGATTTTTCCCGAAATAGTATCAGGCGCGCATGTAGCGGTAGGAGGTACCTTCTCTCTATATGCACGAATCTCTCCGTTTACACACAGCTTTTGGGTATTGAACAGAATTTAGTAACTTGCCATTTTGCGGATCTCCTGGTTGCAATTTCGCCAAGTTTCACCCTGGAGTTTCCTTTTTTCGGTTACCATAGCATCTAAGAATAAAATTATCCAATTTCATAAATTACCGATAAAAAATTTGATTTTATGAGCGCACCCAGCTCAGTTTTGTACTCATTTTGTTGCGTTGGGGAGGCTCTGTACCGCATTTCTATTTCTACACACTTCTTCGCCGGGTCCTGGAACCTGATGGCAGGGTCCATTTTGAGCACCGTCTGCATTTTTCCCGATTTCGTCCGCAAAGGTGCTCCGGCTCCTGGTCGGCCCATGTCCAACGCGGGTATTATCTTTTGTACAGACTTTGTTTGGTTTTGAATAATTAAATGACAAATATTTTTGCCTGTTTACCGGTCCTTTCAGGTCAATGAACTTTCTCTTTCTCAGGTCCTCCGTTGGGGCTCCGCAGCCCGGCCTGCCCCAAGGGTTGTAATTGCTGAGCAGGTCGCGAGCCTTTTATTAAATAATAATTTTTATTTGTAACATGCTTCATAAAAAAAAATCGAAATTTATTTATATTTATGTTTCTATATTTTCTTAAAATAAAATATTCATTTAGACAAAAATACTTATTTTCTAACAACCCAGAAAGAATTAATTTAAAAAATATATTTTCCACAATTTTAATTTTTATATAATTATGTTATTTTTTAATTTAAAAAAAATTCCAATACAAATTGAACCTCTCTTTGGTCCTTAAGACGGTCGATCCAATTCTGGCGCTGCTTGGTCCTCCACAGGGATTCTCCTTCCTGAATGATGCCCTTCTCGCGGGCGCGGCGCCTCTCGAATTCACCTGACCCTTCACGCAGCACAGACATCGCACCCTTTCCGCACCACTCAAGGCATAGCTAAATTGATGCCAATCTCTCTCAAAAAATTAATAACATTCCCAGGCCATCTCCAAGTTCCGTGAGCATAGTAACAATTTGGACGGGTTATATCGATTTTTTCAGTGTAAAGAAATTTGGAAAACGCGGCCGCTGCATTCTGGAGCGCATAGGTTGAATTTCGTCGAACAACTACCCCCAGCGTATCTATGGCGACTGTTAGCTGCGATTACGAGCAGTTCCACCCACCCATTAAATCTCTTTTGTGTTTTTGTCACAAAAAATAATACAAAGTCACCCTTCTTTGAACTCTCAAGTATATCTACGTACTATTATTATCCCCAAAGTTGTAAATTGGCCTGAAATGTCCTATTTTCATTTTATTTTAAATCTAATGTAAAACAAGGAAATAAAAATTATTTATTGTAATGCTTCAATTTCCATTTTATTAAACGGCGAAACAACTTGCTCAGCACATTCAAACCCAAAAGTCTTTCATACTCCTTATCATACGCAGCATAAAGTTCAACAAAAATACAAAATCTTTCAAATCTTTGAATGCCGATTAAAAAACTTTAAATGAAAACATCAAATTGGCAATGGGTGATTCTTTTCGGCCAATTGATTCTCTTTATTACATACAAAGTACCGATGAATTTTTTTGACTTGTCAAAAATTCCTCCTTAAGAACAGGAGGACAGGTTGTTCAAAAAAGGTTGGTGTTATTCTCTGTGCACCAGTACGTAGAGTCCGAGGCAAGCAAGCACAGCATACTGAAACATTTTGCAAGGAAGTTTTTAAATTTAAATTTCCTCCATTAATCCATACTACAATTATTTACAATAATTCCTTCCAATTTAACTAAGCCAATTGCCCAGTGGAAATATACTTTTTTCACATTTTTTCTGATATATTTAATCAACTATTATTGAAAAACTGAAATAGTAAAAATTAACTCTTATCTTCAAATAATATTCATTTATTCACACCTTAAACTTCGGATACTCGTTCATGTATATGGTGACCATTCCCACGTATGGGAGAAAACCTCTCGCTCTTCCAACGACATCCTTCTTGGTCAGCCACAGTTGGCCAGGGGCATAGAGTCCTCGGTCATCAACACTGTTGTTGTCACCCTTGGTCAAGAACTTGACTGTTCCATTCTCCCTAAAAAAGTAAAAATTCAATCAACCTCTGGTATTTAAAAATTCACAAGGTAAAACATACTTTTCGTGCAGTTTAAGTACTCTGTGCACAATGGGAATGTCCCTTCCCTCCACCTTGAAGACGACGATCTCTCCGACGCGGACTGGTTCGTCTTGGTAATTTGTCAGGAAGAGGAGATCGCCTCTGTGGAAAGCAGGCTCCATGCTTCCACTAAAAAATTTAATTTAAAAATAGTAAATTTTTTAAGGTGAAATCAAGTTTAAAGAAAGTTTTCCAAAAGGTTTTATTATATTCTGTCTTATATTGCACTCTGCAGCCTCAAAATCTTTTGCGCATTATTTCTTACAGTTGCGAAATAATTTTTTTCTTATTCATTAAGAGATGACGTGGATCACCCTATGACATAATGCGTCATTTCAAATGATGCAATAATATCAAATTGACTATTAGGTATGTATTTATTTAAGTCTCATATCGAATTTAATTTTCTTGGAGCATAAACACCTATAACGCTTCTGAAAATTGTAAACATTTATACACACCTGAGAACAACCACTATGGGACTTTCACTGCCCGTAACCACCATCAGTCCTTTCCAGATCATCAGGGCTGAGGACACGATCATTCCAAAGCTCAGTACCTGGTACAGGAACTGCAAGAAAATGGAATTATTGTCGAAGCCGGCAAAAGCTTATGGTGTTTTCAAAACACAGAAACTGCTCGGTTTTGAGAGAAAAATGGACTGGTATTAAAATTAAATGGGTTTACCTGACGCTTGTTCATCCTTTTAACATCGTCCAGTGCGCTTTGTAACATCTTGGAAGTCCTAATGAAGTCCTTTTCCTTCTCCGACAAATGCCAAGCACCAGATGAAAACCGAAAACAACAAATCTCCTAAATCCACGTCATGTGCTTTAGTAAGAAGTTAGCCGCATTCGCTCCGCGGTTAAAATCAAATAACCGGTTAAAAGCAACATGAAAAATAAATCGATGAGTTTTCTAAGAAATTTCTCATATTTACAATTATGCGGTTTGATTTTTCAGTAAATAAAATTAATTCCATTATTTTTATTTTAATTTACTTCATTATATCAATTGTTAAGCAAATCAATATTATGATAAAAACCGGTTAATTTCAAACATTTTTCCTCAAGTAACCTGGAGGAGATAACTTCATTCCCGTCACCACGTCACTTTCTGCAGCTTTCTGGTGCTGCTCCTCGCACAAACTTGTTTGTCAAAGTAGTTACGCCCCCTTTATCACAGGCTAATGATTTTTCACGTCTCCTCATGCGAAATTCTCGATGCAAAATCAATTGGCCATTCATTGACCGCGATCGTCCGTCTTCTCTGCATTGTAGCGATCCTCAAAATGCAGCTGGCGTCGACGTGATTCATCTTATTTAGTTGGAAAGAGCAATTCTTTCGCAAAATCCTTTTCAGTGGATTGGAAAATAAAAATAAAACAAAGATGGTCCGGACAGCCGAGGAAGAAGATGAAGTCCTTTGAATTTTTATTTCCGGCCATTCCGGCGGTCACCACGACAGCAGACTCTACAGTTCTACTAAAATGTGATAGATATTTCTGAAACTCCACACTCTCTAATTTAAGGCAAGTTATAGTTATTGCGAAATCGTCAATTCAGCGCACTGACAGATCGATGCCCCTCTCTCTCTTACAGCGCGCAGAAAGAAGAATGAATGACATCGGACCAATGGGCTGCAATTCGTCATCGATCTGCACGTACACCGCTTATCGAAACCTGTGATACAGCATGGCCAAAAGCAGGACTCAAGATATTTCATAATCACCATTCACTATTTATACATAACCATAGTGTCTGGCTTTAGCAGTCGACATCTCGGCAACAAACAGGAAAGGTTTGTGGTTTTTTTTTTTTAAATCATACTCCTGATAAAGCAACTTTCTTTTTTAACTTTACTTAATTAATAATGAATGTAAAAACGGCCTTTTTCAATCTTGCACAGACATTTGATTTTTTTTTTAAATAAAAAATGCAAATTTTTAACATTTGATTAATTTTTCTTTGCCATTTCAGGTTTTCAAGATGACTTCTCCAGCTCGGCGCCGACAATTGGAGCAGCAGCAATATGAGATGGAGCGCCTGGTGATCGTAGAGGACGAAGAAGACGAACGCAACGGTGGCCCCTCGGAAAACACCCAGACGCAGAAGTTGATGCACTGCTGTGTGCCGTACTTGGGCATCGTATTGGCCACCGTGTCCAGCCTCTTCTTCTCCCTGTGCTCTGTGATAGTCAAGATTCTGGTGGACATCCACCCAATGGAGCTGGCCACCTGCCGGTTCGTCGGGGTCCTCCTGCCGGCCATCCCGATCCTCATCTACCGCCAGGAGGACCCTTTCCCGCGCGGCTCCCGGCTGGCCCTGATCGCCCGCTGTTTTGTCGGTACCACCGGCCTCATGCTCTCTTTCTACGCCTTCAGACACATGCCCCTTGCCGACGCCTCCGTGGTCGTCTTCAGCGTGCCTGTCTTTGTGGCCGTCTTCGCCCGAATCTTTCTTAAGGAGCCCTGCGGCGTTTTCCACATGGTCACCATCTTTTTGACCTTGATAGGGGTCATGCTGATCACCCGGCCGCCCATGCTGTTCGGCTCGTCCGCCGAGTTGGAAGATGAGTACAGTATGTGGGGCGCCATTGCCGCCTTCTCTGCCACCATCTTTGGCGCCAACGCCTACGTTTTGCTTCGGGCGCTCAAGAGGCTCCACTTTTCAGTCATCATGGCTAATTTCGGGTCGTTTGCAATCTTCCAGACGGTCCTGGTGACCTTTCTGCTGGGTGAATTGTGCATTCCAAGGTGCGGCCGTGACCGTCTGCTGGTTGTCGCCCTGGCCCTCTTCAGCTTTGGAGGACAGATCCTGCTCACTGTGGCTCTGCAGATCGAGCAGGCTGGTCCGGTGGCGCTGGCTCGCACCGCTGACATCGTGTTCGCCTTCATCTGGCAGGTCATGTTCTTCGGCGAGGTGCCTAACAAGTACAGCATCTCTGGCGCCATCCTAGTCACCAGCTCGGTGCTCCTAACTGGCCTGCGAAAGTGGCTGATAGCCCTGCCTGAGGAGGCGCCTCTCCGACAGGCTCTCTGGGTGCTCACTCGATGAAAAGTTTGCTGATTTAATTAAGTGTACAAGTTTTGCCAATGGTGCGGTGAAAACAAAGGTGCTTGTTGTGAAACTACTTGATTGTCACGTGAAATAATTCCTCCACATTTTTGTGCCCAAGAATCGATATTATTGTTGCCTCAGTATTTTTTTTTATGAATCCCATGCCTGCTTTGCCTCCTCCGATTATTTTCTCTATACTGAAAACTTGACTAATTTTTCACTTTGGAATTGTTAGATGTTTAGTGTAATACAAATTAACATTCTGATTAGGGTATTACAAGATTGAGGAGAACTTTTTAAGACGTTCTCCAGTTTGGAAGTACGTTTGAGTCGGCGGTGTTTTCACTGTTGTTCATGCACAATATTTTGGGCGAATTTTGGCTTATTTTCTTAATTGATCTAAAACGTTTTGAGAAAAATTTCTATAAAAGTTCTTGAAGTTTTATCTTCATGAGTGAATACTAGAACGTAATTTACTGCCAGCAGTTTTCTCAACAAAACTCAAGTTTGGTAATCATGATAAAGCAATTAGTGAGCAGTTTATAGTTGATTAAGAGCGATTATGACAGAAATATCACTTTTGTATACTTAAAATCACACATCACATGATTGATAATAAAAATATAACATTATTATAATGCTAGTCATACTCAATAAAAGGCATAGTGTGAGTCTCAAGACGAAAATAAAATATGCATTACTTTATTTCTAATTTTAAATTAATACCTGATGGCGTGATAAAAATATTAGATACATAAATTAATAATTTGTTAAAAATACCTAAGAAAATTGTTTTAAATTTATTATTATTATAATATTGTATATGTATTAAATTATTTTACTTAAATTTTTATTTCTACCCTTTTGTAAATAACGAATAAAAATTATTATAGATTGCCACCAAGTAACAGAAAAATTAAATTTTATTAAACCTCTTTTTTCGCGGTACATGAATACTTTTGTGAGTTTAAACCGCGGCCGACCGGTTTCTGCGCAGTAGCCAATTTTCACTTCTGCGCCGATTATTTGACTGTCACCGTGCCTTTACGAAAGCTTCCAATGTGCAGTTGTTTTGCTCGCCCACCCTTTGTTTACTTGTCGCGTTGCCATCAACAAAATCGCCAAAAACACGCGAATTTCAATTTCGCGACGGGTTATCCTTGTCAGGATCGTTGGCGCAGCCGAACCTTCGTTCAAATGAGGTACAATTTTGGCCAAATGCCTTCATTAGACCACCCTATAGTCAACTGAAATTCGCCTCTCTCTTTGTTACAGTCCGTAGCCGGCAGGTGAGCGGTGTCGGGACGCTTTGTGATCTGCTCGGACGGCGGGACAGCTAGGCAAAGATGAAAATGGCAGACTCGCCGCTCGCACATTTGGAGCATTCGCCGCACTCGCGGAAACGGGTCACCTACTTCTACAGCCCAGACGTGGGCAACTTCCACTACGGACCTGGACACCCGATGAAGCCGCACCGCATGTCAGTCACCAACAGCCTGGTGCTCAACTATGGTCTGCACAAGAAGATGCAGATGTACCGACCCTACAAGGCGTCCGTGCACGACATGTGCCGCTTCCACTCGGAGGATTACATTGACTTTTTGCAGAAAGCCACTCCGAGTATGATGCAGAACACGAGCACCAAGTACATGAACAATTACAACGTCGGGGACGATTGTCCAATATTCGACGGCCTCTTCGAATTCTGCTCGTTGTACACCGGCGCTTCTCTGGATGGTGCCACGCGACTCAACAATGGCACTTCGGACATTTGCATCAACTGGTCCGGAGGGTTGCACCACGCCAAGAAGTTTGAGGCATCTGGATTTTGTTACGTCAACGACATTGTCATTGCCATCCTTGAGCTGCTCAAGTTCTACTCCAGGGTGTTGTATATTGACATTGATGTGCACCACGGCGACGGGGTGCAAGAGGCCTTTTACCTCACAGACAGGGTCATGACCGTGTCCTTCCATAAGTACGGAAACGGGTTCTTCCCAGCCACTGGCGATATGTACGAGATTGGATATGAAAATGGACGATATTACTCAGTTAATGTTCCTCTAAGGTAATTATTATGTACTAAATAGAAAAATTGCTTTTAAAGTAAATTTATTGGCAAAATGTGAACATTTTCAAGCAATATTGCATTATGTGGATTATTCCAATATTCTTCACTAAATTTAGATTTTAATTTAAATTTTCATGAAACCTTCATGATGCCCCAATTAGTGTATTTAGCCACTTTTTGAGTCTTTGTTTTCATAAGGGATTAAAGTTTGAAAACTTTATTTATTAAATGTTGTCAATTGCACCTTATTAGAAAAATCTGCAACCACTATTTAAATTTGAATTTCTGTGGCACAATTTTTTTTGCCATATTAATGCTTGAAAAAATAATAACTTTATGAGATGTCTATTATTATCTATATTTTAATGTGTTTTTTCTTTTCACAGAGAGGGAATCGATGACGCCAGCTATTTGCCCGTCTTCAAACCAGTAATCCAGTCGGTGATGGAGTACTACCAACCCACAGCAATTGTTCTCCAGTGTGGAGCTGATTCTCTGGCCAACGACCGCCTTGGTTGCTTTTCGTTGACCACCAAAGGTCACGGCGAGTGTGTCCGTTTTGTTCGGGACCTGAATGTGCCCCTACTTACCCTTGGTGGTGGTGGTTACACCCTGAGGAATGTGGCCCGCGCCTGGACCTATGAAACTTCTCTGTTGTGCAATGAGCCTGTCAGTGATGACATTCCTTACAGCGAGTACTTTGAGTACTTTGGTCCCGATTTCACTTTGCACCCGGAGATGGCTTCGAGAATCGACAATGCCAACCCCAAAGGCTATCTTGAGCTGATCACCAAGCATGTCATTGACAACTTGAAGATGCTCCAAGGTGCGCCCTCAGTGCAAATGCAAGACGTCCCACCGTCATTTTTAGATCCTGAGAGGGATGACTTGGCAATGGACTCCGTTGACCCTGACTCAAAGGTAAACATCATTAGGTTCAGAGAAATGAAATGAAATTTTATTTTGTATTAGTCTCTTTTCAAGAAATGAAAGTGACATAAATTAAAAATAAAATTGCCTAAAACCATACTGCTGTTTTTGATAAGTCATATTTTGGTGGCAGTTTATCGTTTATATTTATCAATTTTAATCTAAATCTTTGTATAAATTTCTTCTTGTAGATGGATGACGACAAGATCGTTGATGCGCAAAATGAATATTATGATGGTGACAGAGATAACGACAAAGACGAGGAGGACTCGCCATCCGGAGCAAATCTGACCATTGCAGAAACATCACCCTCATCAACCCCCACCCCCGCGCCCACCCCTCCGTCCTCGCAGTCGCAGCCAATCAACCCTGCGACCACCTCCTCTGTAACCACCAGCACAAGCCAGCCGCCGGTCAGCACATAGCAGGTTGCTGCAAGGCCAAGCTGTTTGCAGCCGGTGGTCCTTTTGCACCGGACATCCGATGCTCAGTGAAGGAAAAACGCTCAGGTGCGCAGGAGGTGGAAAGTTGCTCAGTTTTCATCAGTTGATCACTACTCAGTATTAAGCTGGAGAGAATTAATTAACAATTGCACTATTTTTATGTGAAATTTGTGTATAGTACGCAGGACGCGTTTACGTCGTAGTTGGATTCTTTGAAGTCTTCTTTTTTCAGCTGACAGTTTACATCCCAATTTTTGTTGGCCGTATTGTTGTCGCTCACTCGCTCTCTTTCAGTGCAATATTTTGACTGACCAGACATGTAGAGTTGACTATATTTTATTCAATTTGTACATTTCAACTTGCATTTTAAGGAGAAACTCTTACGGTGTAGTTACGTTTCGCTTTTAATTGTACATGCATTCATTAGGTGTTAAGTGTAATTTAAGCATTTGTGATATAATTCTAACACATTAAACAAAACATTTTCACAAAAGTTATTTTACTTGAATAAATACATATCTATACAAATAGTGAATTTGAATTCCAAATCAACGTCTAGATTTATCGTTTATTTCTAATAATAAGAGAAAAATGATATGTATTTGAAAGTGTTCGATTAAGGCACCAATTAGTAGTCAAATGGACTTTGGAGCCAACATAAATTTGCCTTAATTGGACCTCAATTGAGAGGCGCCGGTTCTTCCTGATTTCACCTTCCGGCGCAGTCATTCTTTTTTAATTTGTAATTATTATAACAGAAAGCAGGCGCGTGAAAAATTTCGCTGTTGAATATAAAGGAGAATTTTCTCGAGAAAACCATAAAAGAGACTTTCGGACGAGTCCGTTGATTGATTCCAATTGTCACGAGGAGGCGACGCGGACACACGCGATTATTTGAAGACATTCCGTAATCCTTGAACCGGAGCGCTGACCTGAAGTGACGCTCACTGTCACTCTTCGCATATTGACAGTCACTCAAATCACTGCGTGCTCAGCGCCAGCTCAGACCTGACCTCCGGACGACTGCTGGTTATAAGACAATGAAACGACGACGGTCCAATTTGTGGCCGACGCGCCGATTGTTGATCGATTATTGGTCGCGTTGGGTAATTGACGACGCGTTATGTAACTGCCGTGCAATACATACGCAATTCATCAAAATGATTGTTCATTTTATAATTTGTTATTATCAAGAGTGCTTTTGTAAACAGAAAATTAGATATAAATTTATATAATATTCCTCAAATGGCTCAAATACGCCTGAGAAATCTGAAATAATTGGAATGGAGAATAAAAAACTAGGGGCGAAAGGTTATGCCGCCTGCTAGACGCCGGCGTATGTTCACAACTTTATATAAATCTGAAATATATTTCGAAATCTCTAATGATAAACGCAATTTAGTTTATTGTAAACGATTTATTATTTACATAAATAAATTATCAAATGAAAATTTAAGTTCAATTTACTGACTAAAATATTTCGTTTATATATAAATTTTTTTTAAGAATTTGTCAGTAATTTTCCTCAGGCACAATCGTCAATTTTGTGGAGTTTGTTGGACCTTGATATTCGTTGCTCTTGGCCCAGACTTAATTCTTCTCGCGTAGTCACTTTAATTTTATTGATTCAGGAATCAAGCTGATCAAATAACAACAAAGGTCCTCTGCCGGCGTGCACATGCAGGACCGATAAAGAGAAGCGCGCTCGCGGGGTATATAAAATGTTTTTATCTCACATTTTATAATATCTGCATAAATGTTGATTTAAAGGTTAAGAAAATTTCAAGATAAGGGAGAAGCAAAGAGGTGACTTGAGAGGGAAACCTTTGCGGTTTTCAATTCGGAATAAAATTTCCATAACTGCGCAGCATCTCTCTTCCTTTGTGTTAATTGTCGCTATAAAGTGTCACAATTATTACTCAAAGTACTTTTATCTTTCTCTTTAAAAGAGGTTACTGCGTACCAAACAGTTCTCTAATTGCGAGTAAAGAAGGCGGCTCCTGAGCGGAGCAGGTGAGTTCAATCCAGATTATTCTCTTTCAAGTAAAAGCTCGTGCTCTTTTGTAACGTACAAAAAGTTTTAAAATTATAATTAGAAAACGGGATATAGTTCAAGCGTAGCAGTGTTTTATGGTCATGAATATTTTTAAGAAAACACACGTCTACCCCAAGCCGAATACATCTGGCTTTGCTTGTGCATTGGTTAAATGCTTTGACGTGATGAAATCTTACCGGCAAACTTTTGCCAGATAAAATTAGCAGCCTTTTTAGGTGCGCTGAACCCAACGAGGGATTTCCCAGGTCAAGTATAAATACTTGCCAGGGCAGTTCTGGTGAAAATCCCCATCTAGTTTTCACTTCAGTGTTTTCTTCCCGACAATAATTTAACGCACTGAATAATCAAAGGCCAATGAAGATTTTTTGCAAATTTTCCTTATTTTACAGAATACAATGAAGAGAACTGTTGAACAATTTCAGCAATTTAAAAAATAAATTTTTTTTCATTATAACAAAATTTTAATTTCTGTATAGTTGTGCTGCAAGAATATATAAATTCCTACAGAAAATACTCATTTCCTTAATAAACTTGGATTTTTTTCCCATTTTAAAAAAGAAACTTATTTATTCTGTGCTAGTTAAATTTTGTATTCAGCTAGCATTTCTCTTGATAACTTCGATTTGGCCTGCTGATCCAAATAAGTAGTAAAATAATTTCACTTTCATTCTTTATACCGCAGCTCAAACACCTACAAGAGAAGTGCCAAATCCTTCATAGAAAGCGTCTCAATTCAATGGTCACTCATCTGCGGAAGGAGATTAATATTTTTCGTCCAATTTGCTCCGTTCGAAAATAATTTAATTTCCTTACACAGCCGCAGGCGTAAATAAAGCAAAGATCACTGCTTGTTCCCAGAATAGTCTCGGGAGCCTCTCATTATTTTCGTCTGTATGTATCAATTATGTGTGTATTTGAGCCGCCCAAGAGAGCAGACTGCTGATGCTGCACGTACAAGCGATGCGAGATGGGTGTCTTTTATTTTATTGCAATATATTCAAGAAAGAGGAGCCAAGGTCTCGCCGCAATAGGAGCGCACGCGGAGTTCCTTAAACTCGTTCGAAGTGTCTGAGAAAATCATCCAATTTGTTTCAAGGCTGCTCAAGGAATACTTTTGATTTATTGGCAGTTTTCCTTCTCACAATTCCAAAATCGTCTCAAACCCCAATTTTTGCGTTTTACGGGGTGGCATTGAGCCGCTCAGGTGATGCTGTGTCGAGCATTATAGTAAACATTGCTTCAGTTTTCTATCACGTATTTGCTCTCAAAGTTTCAAGTTCAATCAACATCAGTGTTCCACATTCACATTTCTACTGATCCATTTAATCTTTATCTGCTTGAAAAGGATTAATTTATTTCAAAATTTTAAATAGTGAACTCCATTCAATTTAAATTAGTGCAAATCAAACTAAAAGATTTTGAGCTCAAAATTGAAATTAAAACTATAATATAAGATTTTTAATTCTTATTATTATTTATTCTACTTAAGTCATGCATACAAAAATATCATATTTTATTTTTTATAATTCTTTTTTTGCATTAAAGCTGCATTGATGTGATTTTTATGTTCATTTTCGTTAGTTTTAATATGAAAGCTAGCTAAATTAACAAATTATAGCATATTTGGGACGAATAATTTTAATACATTTTCATTTTTCAATTTTCTTGTATGTTATGTATTATTTTTTTTTCTCTTTAGAGTATTGGAAAAATGCAAAGCCGCATTTTGCGTTGTGTTGCAGGCGATCGAGTTGCGTGCCACACCGGAGGCGACTGGCTGACGCTCCTGAGTAGCGGCGGCCGTCGCGCGGTGTGTGCAGCTAGACACGGCGAGCCCCTCGCCCCACTCGCGGCCAGCGAGTGCATAAGTGGAGGCAGTCGGACGCCGAGCGGCAGACGCAGCTCGTCCGTCAGCGCCGACCGACCGACCCACCGACCGACCATGAAGACACCCGCGCTCTTCGACTTCATCCGTCCGCACTGGCGGTCAGTGGTCATCGTGCTGGCGCCCCTGCTGCTCCTACCCCTGCTCATCGTGTCGCCCTCAAAAGTGAGTTCCACCAGAATTTTATTGACTATATTTCAAGGCAGTTTTTGAATTTTTTGCATTGCTTTACTCTGTGAACAGCTGCACCTTGTCCATGTTTTGCTTTTCTTTATCAAAAAGCAAATAAAAGAAATAATCATGGAGTAAAAGTTATTAAAAGAAAGTTTAATTTGCATTCAAATATCTTGAAATTTCAAATTTGTTGTTTTTCGTTCAAAAAAATAAATAAATATTATTTATATAAAAATAAAAAAGTTTTTATCCACCAGTCTCAACGTTTTTTCACACCTGCAGCGTTGCCTATTTTTTTTAATGCAAAAAAAAATATGAATTTTTAATAAGGAGCTTAAAGAAGAAACAATTATTAAATTTAATGTTTAAGCTCTTATTTTAATAATTTTTTTAAATTTTTTTTATTTTATTCCTACCTACGCTTTCTTCCTGAAATAGGGTCAATAACTTTTTATATTTTAGCACACATGCAATTTTTCAAGCACGTCAGTTTTGCCCCAATTTCCAACTTCCCGCGGTATTCACTCTCATTTTCCACGGAGTCCAACGCAAATTTTCACAAAATCGTCATCAAAACAGAAGTCAAAGTTAGGTAAAACCAGTTTAAATGACCTTACCAAGAGCGTTATGGATTGTTTACTAATTTTCATCACAAGTACCGTATAGATAAGATTACATTCCGAGATTTTTTATCAAGAGTGCAAAAAATATGTTCAAACCTATACAAATATTTTCTGTGGAAAAAGAATAAGAATTTGATCAGATTTCTAGCTGAAAGAAAGTGAACAAAAGAAAAGTGAGAATAAATCAAATCAAGTAAGAGAGACACAAAAATAAATATTGTCATTGCACTCTTTTCCCTTTTCCCTTTTCCCTCAGGCACTCTATTTTGAGCTTAACTTTTTATTTTGCTCAGCACACAGTGGAGATTTCTATAATTTTGGAGAATCATCCCAAACATTTTTTCTAGTCGAACTCGACTTTGCCACAACGGCATTTGTGATGTAAACAATTAGAGTCAAAGGAATGCGAGCTCATTCGTAATAGCGCAGCATCTTTGCCACGCACCCGTGGAAGGACTTTTCATATCACCTGTATTAAAACACACGCTCCTTCAGTTGTATCTCTCACGTTGGCAATTTTCTCGTCGATCGCATCAATTAAATATACGCGCTGGCTCGCGACCCTGGAATGAAGCAATATTGTTGTAAATTGGCTAGGTCAGACCGCGTGCATATGTTTTATAATCAGCCACTCAGGCGGCGGACAGTGAGTTATGCGACTAATTAATTTCGCTATCAGCCACACAAAGGAAAACGTGGAGATTTTAGTTGCAAAATCACACCAGAGATGACAGATATGAATGATCATGGACTCAAAATAGACACACGGTGTTTTTGGCTGGCTGTCAATCACTGCCAAAAATTTTCTCACGCGCAGTTTTGTTTGCAGAGTTGTTGCAAATTTTAGAAAATGCAAAGCGAGGACAAGTTGAAAACCTGTTTTACATGCTAAATTTATTTTTGTAGAGAGCTAGGAGGAATTTCATATTTTTTTTGTTTTGTACTATTTAATGATGATTTGAATACAGTCATTTATTTTTAACTTTGTTAAAAATTCCTAATTTGTAAATTTAATTTTAATACATACTTTTCCATCTTCATTGATTGTGAGTTTTTCATTTTTCTATTTTGTTTTAATTCTCAAAATATCACGTGGTTAATTAATTCAAAGTACTATAATAGAAATTAAATAGTGCAGACCGTGTCAAGTGAAGCGTGAATTCTGCAAACAAAAACACGCAAGTTAGCGTCCTTGCGCCCAAAGCTTTTTGTCACCACTATGCAATTTTCTGCACGTTTTCCGATTCCGCAGCCAAAAACCACTTTCGATACGCCTTCAGCTTTAACTTTTGCCACCAAGGTCAAAATTTGCCAAAGGTTCGTGTTGGAAACCAATTTCTTTGATATGTGTGCAAAATTTATTTCTAGCATCTAGGAAGAGATTTTCTGACGCAAGTCTTGTAGCCCCAGAGTGCAAAATAAAATAAAAGATTTATTTTTAACTCGTCGAGCAGGAAGTCGGTTATGCATAGTCAGAAATTAATTAAGAGAGATGACATTGGCAATGAACTAATCAGATGCATGCTGTGCGCGATAATACGCGTGCTGCGATGTAACAAGGGAGGCGCTTTTATGTGCAAAAGATTATGCGCGTGCATATGGCAGCATCGTCTCTCATTCAAAGGTTAATGAACAAGGCCTTTCAGTGTTTCGTTGCCAAGAGAATGATAATTATATTATGTGCATGGAAACTTATGCAAGGGCAATCACTCATAGCAATTAAAACTTGCATGCAAAAATTTTCGCCTGTAGCAAAGTAGAAAAGCTCCTAACTTTATAATATGTAATATTTAATTTTGGGACTTGCTCTTGAATCAAAGAAAATAATTATTTTCACATTTCTTCAAGTCTGATGCTTATACAATTGCATTATTTCACGCATTTTTATACCTTTGCATTTGCACTCAAATTTTTATCAGAACCCGGCGAGGGTAATTCTTGCAGGAATAAGACTTGAGACTTGAGACCTTACAGTCCGTATGGTACGTACACAAATTCAAATCAAAACTTTTGATAATCAGTTTGGGGAAAGCTTGATTATAAGAGGTGCTCTAAATATCTTAAATTTTATTCAAGTCAAACAACAGAAGTCTCGCTATCAGACGATTCACGCAGTTGCTGCATGTGAAAGCAAGATGCTGCTGTGCAAAACTTTAAGGACACTCAACTCTTCCCAATTCATATTGCATTGTCAAAGATAAGATTTAAAGAGTTATGCACTCATTAATTGCTTTAAAAAAATAATATTGTTGTTGATCAATTAAACTTAGCTGTTGTACCATTTATACCATAACATGACGTCACTTTCGCCCAGTTCGTGAGATCAGTAATTTTTTTCTGATAAGTCGTCAGAGAAAACAATCTTTTACACCGTTTGGGAAAACGAGATATCACACATGACGTGGAATAATTATTGCAATTCATCTGTGATATCTCATTGCAATTGAAGGGACTCTTCAATAAATTTTTTACCTCTTATTATTTGAATTTGTCTCCTTACTTTCATAAAACTGTTAACTCTCCATTTCAAAAAAAAAAAGTGAAAATTACCGCTCCGTAAACTCCAGCACAATTTACCTATCTCATTTGACCTGCTTGGAAAATCGAGGTCGTAATTTTAATTAAAAATTTCGTTATCGTCCTCTTCATACGTGGAGGCGGCGACGAATGCACGCAATTGGTGAACCAAATAAAAATATTCCGTCGAAAAGTCAAGGGACTTTCAGAAAGAAATGCACGTTCTTTCATCAACGTCCGCTCTCATTCATCAACCGGCTTACGACATAACAGTGAATGGGGCGCATTAACATAAAACGCTAGAAATCACTAGAGTTCTCTGTGGCCATTCAAAACATTCGCCTGCCATTCACTAATTCACAATAAGACTGACTAGGAAATATCAACCTTTAGCAATTACACGGTCTATTTTTTAATAATTTTTTTGTATAGAAATTTATGCTTTTTATATTTCTTAAAATTTTCATACAATATTTATTAGAAAATATCATATTTTTTTATATTAATATAAAATTTCTTACAACTTAAAAAAAATAATAAATAAATAATATGTCACACAATGTCTATCTTTTGAACCTCTATCGCCTGTACAGCTTGCATTGTAAGTTTTATAACAATAGTAAGGAAATCGAGTGCATCGCTGATAAATCAGTCACGGAGATTTGAATGAGCGACGATTGAGTTTTGCTGCGGAGAAGAAAGTTGGCCGTTTGATTTAATTGCGCGTCTCTCCCGCGAGTGTGGTAATCAGGCACTAATAAAAAAATTATTCTGTCTCGAGGCACATCTCTAATTTTCATACCAACTTGTCAGACCAAAATTGGTTTAGAGCACGAATTTTGCAACGACATATTTGTAGCTTTGGGGATAATTACACGCACTGCTCTCATGAGCCGGTCCGCGCGCAGCCAGGCTGTCTGGAAAGGCACGGCAATTCAGGTTTCCAACACGCAAGATTCAGGTTAGGATCAAAAAAGGTATTGGCAGCTAAATTTGTTCCCATCTCTACGCTAAAATTGATTTGAACTTTGGAATGGCAAACGGACGGTACCGTTAGCATTTCAGTTAGATAAAATTTCTTAGAAGAGGAAAAGAAATACGTTTTATCGATTTTAATTATCTTTAATGTATGAGAGGTAAGAATATGAATCTGAATTAAATTGGAAAATGCAATAATTTAAAACATAAATCTCAAACATAAGTTCTCCAAAATTTTATTTTATTGTTAATTATTAAATCATTAATAATAAAAGGGTTAAATATCGGTTTGATCCAGTTTATCTTTGATCACTTCATATAACGCTTATTTTTTTTTAATTTTCACTATCAATTATTCTGTTCATTATTCATATTTATTTAAAATAAGCATTGCATGATCTTTTTGTTAATTTAAATTGGAAACTGAAAATATTAATTTGATAAACTGAAACCCATAATAATTACGTTTTGAGTTGATAACAAACATTTAACTGTCAAATTGATGCTCTCTCGTTCTCTCACAGCCATTAAATAATTATAATGATACAATAATTATCTTAAGAACAGCACAAGATTGTACAAATCCTACAAGTCCTTCATTTTAATCTCCTATATTGCGCACTTAAAACACAGAATACAACTTTTTTTAAACGACTATAATAATATTATGTGATTGCAGCCCAGACATCAGGAAAGAAAAATAACACGCAAACTGCAATTTCAATTAATTTAATCTCATGTCATGTGCTCTACATGCTAGCAAGATGATCATGAACGAAGCTCATTGAGAAACCCACAAATAATTTTGTTTCCGTTATATCTTGATGTCAAATGAGCTTAATTTGAAGTGAATTTATCCCCCCAAAAACTCGTCGCATTTTTTTATTTACTTTTTGTTGCGCATTCGATAAAATAATCGCTTCCTCCAACCTTGACGCACCCTAAACAAATCAAAATTCGCACTTTAGACTCGTTAATGAGTGACAGCCAAATAGCGCGGCTCATTTTGGAAATCACAGAGGCGTGAAATTTGAAAAAGTCATTATGCAAACGACGTGAATTCAATATTCAAACAAAGCTTTTCCTGTGCGTGCCCCACGACTGAATTCACTATCGCTCCAAAGTTTAAATTTTCGCACAGCGAGTTTTATTTTCCAAATCCACTTGTGGTGAAGAAACAACTGCGGTGCACTTAAATTAATAATCCAGTGGCGTTCGCAGCCTTGATTTTGCAGCCTCGACTCCCAACGTGAACCCTCTCTAGTCATGACGAATATAAAATAAAATTTCGTTCAGCAATCTGGGCACGCACCGCTGAGGTGATACATAATTATATATGTTACCGACCAATGTCCGCTTCCTTTTTCCACTACGACATTTTTCGGCCCGGCTCCAAGTTCCTATTTGGCGCAGAGGTCATTTTTTATGTTCAACTCGGCATGAAAACAATTTTGACAATTGTATCTTTGAATGCCCTGTTATCTTTGAGAGGGCTTATGCAGATATAACTTCATTAAGAAACTAGTTTTATCTCGTTCGGGGGTTATTGTTTGTATTAATGGACGCTGATTCTTATCAAAGGTGTGCAAATTGGAAGGTTTTATAAAAGAGGCTCTAATAATATTAACATTGAAAAAATCTAAATTTTCATCGGTTCGCTTGAAATTAAACTATATAATTATTAATCAAACAGCTCACAAGAAAAATTATGCATATTATGATAAATTATTATAACTATATTTTGATTTTTTTTTAATGTTCCTTTTTATTATTGCAAGAAATTGGCAAAATTTTAGGTAAAAAATCCAATACTTGTTTAATTTCGGTACCATGAATCAAAGCAAGAGCCAAAATCTTATCTTGGTCATGGTAGCTTCAATTTTTGCTGACATGTAGACAATAATATATATGACGACAGAAGAATTAATTTACTAGTTCCATTATTGCGCAATAACCCTTTAGTAAAATTCCACGCTGCCGGTGTCCTGAGAGCGCGACGTCAGATACTTGACCTCGGGAAGGCCGTTTAACTTTTAACACCGCACTGGTGTTTTTGACTTGTGCCCTGAAACCACTTGGCCGCATTGGGCAACCGAGAGACGAGCCTCCAACCATTAAAAAATAATTCATATTTATTTACACTACGTCAACAGACGTAACCAACCACGCAAATGCATAATATTATTTGTGAATTTCTGTGGCAGCAAACAATTCAATTGCTACCACTTGTTATTACGCGCACATAGAGGAAAAATTAAGTCTTTATTCTGTGAAATTTTTCTGCATCAACTGGGATTAACGAGGAAACGATTTCTTGAACTTAAGCCAACGGAAAATACTGTATTATACCGCTGATGCATTATTTTACTTGCATTTTGTTGACAACATTCTTGGCATTTTTTTATGCGTATGAGGATTTAATTAGTACAGCTGTTAATTAATTACACGACAAGTGCGAGTTTAATTCTTCCTATATAGGCGGGAATGATTTCATATTTGTCTGACGTCATCGTGAATGCACTTCTTGATGCATTAATAATCTGGATGAAAATTGACGCGGATGCTTATTGTGATTCCGAACGCGACTGCTAATTTGCATAAAATAAAGCTATGTGTCGCGTCAAAGGTCCTGTTTGATACCATTTTTCCTCTTCCTATTTCTTATTTCGCCAAAGAAAATGCTGCCGATGAAATTTTAAAAATAGAGTAATGTGTTTGCTCTGCATTATCAGCCACGCGCCGTATTAAGACCATTATTTGATGGCCAATACTCCATTCACCTAAATTTGACGATTTATCTCCGCTTAAGTACACTCTCAACGCTTTGTTGAGTTTAGAGAAAAATGAACTCTGGCATGGTTAAGAGTCTTATATAAAAGGGACAATTGGACAAAAGTTCAGCAGAGCACGGAGTAAAGTTTGAAATGATTGACCCTCTAGATTCTTCCGTCTTGCACCAGATTAATATCAACAACAAAATTTTCTCTTTTCTTTTTTAAAATTTTATATGTTATCTAAAATATATAATGTTGTTATAAATTAAATATAATTATTCTTCTTTTCCAGGAGGCAAAATGTGGTTATGTCGTGCTACTGATGGCGATCTTCTGGATGACAGAAGCGCTTCCCTTGGCCGTGACATCGCTCTTCCCCGTCGTTTTCTTCCCATTGTTTGGCGTCATGTCCACAGAATCGGTCTGCATTCAGTATCTGAAGGAGACTAACATGATGTTCATCGGCGGCCTAATCGTGGCCATTGCGATTGAGCACTGCAACCTCCATAAACGCATCGCCCTCAAGGTGCTGCTGCTGGTCGGCACTAGTCCTAGACTGTGAGTTCATTAAGAAAATTTAAATGTAAATTTCATTCATTAACGGGAAACCATAATGTTGGAAAAAAAGGTTGATGCTGGGTTTCATGCTGAATACTATGTTTTTGTCAATGTGGATCTCAAACACGGCCTGCACTGCAATGATGGTACCTATTCTGCAGGCAGTCCTTACAGAACTCAAAGAAGTGAGTTTTTTACAACAACCATTTTTAAATCTGCAGAGAAAAAAAATAATAATATAATAAATAAGCACGCGTTTCTCTGATTTAAATTTTAGTATTTAGTCCTAATTATTTCCTCCCAAATTTTGACCAAAAGTATAAAATGCGAGTTCAATGTTATTAAAATTTAAATCAAACTTTTAGAGCAAAATGTTGGCGTTCCGAAGAAGCAGCTCGATCAGAATTTCCATATCAGCGCCTCGGGAATCGGTGCTCGAAAACCAAGACAGTCAGCGGAATTTGAGCATCACAGAAGTGGAAACCACTGTTGTCCACTTCCAGACTGCTATTCCTACGCAGGACGCCGTCGCCATCAAACAGGCTGAAGAAAGGCTGCAGTAATTATAGTTTTTTAGGTTAACTTGAGCAACATTTCTCAAAATGCTTACCTTTTATTTTAAGGAAGGAGATTGATCAAAAATACTATCGGGACACAATTTGTTACTTCCTGGCCATCGCCTACGCAGCTAACATTGGAGGCACAGGTACCATTACTGGAACAGGAACAAATTTGACTTTCCTTGGAATCTTCAACAGGTACAAAAATTTATTTCCACAAGACAAATAATTTTACTGTTAAATAATGTTGAATGCAGTGCTTTCCCCAACGCAACTGGATTGAACTTTGCCACTTGGATGATTTTCAATGTGCCGATGATGCTGCTGAACATACTCATGGCGTGGCTGTGGCTCCAAATCGTTTACATGGGACTTTGCAGGTAGGTTATTATGCAACCGGCGCTACATCAGTGTCGTGCATGTTGCATATATTCTTTTATCAGGTGCTTAAACAAGTCATATTATTTTATTCAAACGCATGCTTTAAAAATGAACATTTATAAAGAAATATTTTTTGAAAAATTTTAATTCTAAAGAAATTTAACGAAATTTAAAACAATTTTAGGAAGGGGAAATCCTCGGATGAGGGCAATCCCAAAGCAGTGCGGCAATTGATTTCTACTAAGTATCGAGAGCTGGGCCCCATGTCCTACCACGAAGCCAACGTGCTTGCCCTCTTCATCATCCTCATTCTGCTCTGGTTCTTCAGGAAACCTGACTTCATTCCAGGCTGGGCTTCTCTTCTGCCTGCTGTGTAAAAATTGCCATAAAAATGTAAAATTTTATTTTTAAATTCTGCATTTTATCCACAGAAAAATTGACGACTCAACCCCGGCTATTCTGATTGTGATCATCATGTTCATTTTGCCTGCCAATCTCGACTTCTTCAGAATATTTCTGGACAATGATGAGAAACACACAACATTTGGTCGAAAGAGAACTGCTGCACCTTCACTGATTGACTGGCCTACTGTCCAAAGAAAACTGCCCTGGGGTCTGGTCCTTATGCTCGGAGGTGGCTTTGCAATGGCACAGGCTGTTAAGGAAAGCGGCCTTTCCGCTTGGCTCGGCCAAGAACTGGTCGGACTCTCCGTCCTACCCCCCTGGCTGGTGGTCTCTGTGATTTGTCTGATGGCAACTTTTGCTACTGAAGTTTCCTCCAACACCGCCATTGCCAATATTCTCTTGCCTGTACTTGCAGAAATGGTGTGTTTCGAAAACTTATATTTTCTTCTCTCATGATTTAATAATCTTTATTCAATAGTCGAAGGTTGTAAGACAACACCCCTTGTACCTGATGATGCCTGCCACTCTTTGCTGTTCTTACTCATTCATGTTACCAGTGGCCACTCCACCCAACGCCATTGTTGCCGAGGCATCTAAGATGAAGACTAAAGATATGGTAGTAATTTTTTTTTGTTGCTAAATTATAATTTAATCTCATCATAAAAATTTTCTAGGTCAAGTCTGGAATTGTGATGAATCTGCTTACAGTAGGAGCTTTAATTTTGATGTTTAACACCTTGGGAGTGATCGTATATGACTTGGACACGTTCCCCTCTTGGGCAGAACCTAACGCAACCAGTGTATCAAAAATTGTGCATAGAATAGCCTTTAACCACACAACACCGATTTCTTTGTCGTACTAAATTACTTTGGTATGGCAAGGTTTGCATCAATCACCTCCTCACACCCAACCATTCCTACAAATAATGAGTTTTAGATTCATTGTAATTTATGTTTTACTATGTAAGGATAAGATTAGTCTGCATTACCATTTTGAGTTTACTAGACTCTCATCAAACTATGCTTACTTAATTTAAGCTTTTAGGGTATATTAGTTTTATATGCTTATTTAAAGAGCAACTTTTGATTTTCTCAAGTGCTTTGATTACCAAAGTGATGCTGTGATGTTACACATATAGAGAAATTCAATCTTCATATTGCCCAAGTACCACATGGATAAGCGCTTTATGTAAAAACTGATATTCAACACCCTAAAAGAAATTTAAACCAGATTTTGTGACTTGATAGTACAAAATGTAATGCCACGCACAGTAGTTTTAATTTTAAAACACATTTATTAGCACTAGAATCTTCTGCATAATAGAATGTATAAGAACAATCTAATAAAATAAAAACATTTAAGAAAGGCGTTTGGTTGGACCAAAAAACACCTGTAAAATATCACAAATGAAATAATGATATCGAATAATGATCACAATAAAAAGCTCAAATAAATCCCTGGTCAACAGTGAATTTGACAAGGTCAGCAACCCTTTGACGCCCAGCATGGTGTTGAATGAAATCAACTTTCCAATAGTTATGCAAAGGAACCTCTTCGCTGCCTTCAATTGCGTCTAAGTCGTTGACGTTTTCCGACTCCACCATTGAGAGAGGAACACTTTCGATTCCCATTCCCAAGCCGTACCTTCCATACTTCTTAACTTCTTTGAGAAAGTCCTCAAAAGGGAAAACCTAAAAAAATTCTTAGAAAGGCGTAATAAAAAAAAATGCCATTTTCACCTTTTTGGCATCAGCGCCTAATGAGGTTAAAGCAAAGCAAAACGAGTCATGGTAATGCTTTAAAATTCTTTCCCAGCCGCCGTCGTCTCTCTCTTTGGCAGTGGTGACAGAGTACAGAAAGAAGAGCAGGTCCAGAACTGGAGAACCCAGACGCATTAGCTGAAAGTCGAGCAGACGTATGTTGCTTGGTCTGCTCTTGTCAGCGGTGTCATATTGGTAGAGGAAATTTGGTCCCCACGCGTCTCCATGGTTCGGCACACTGAAGGGGCCAACTGGTTTCACCAATTCGCTCATTTGCTTGTACTGGCCGTCGTTGGCAAATGATTCCATTTTGGCAACATATTTTGTGTCTAAAATTAATAATAATTTTAATTGTCATTGAAATATTAAAAAAAAAAAAAAAAAATACATAATAAAATTTTTTCTGATTTTCATGATGGTGACAACACACGATAATTGCGTTAAAACCACTAAAAAATATTTTATGCTAATTATCTTTTTTCTTATACTCGTGGCATAAGAAAATTTGCATGTGAAAGGATTTTTTTATCAGACATGAAGAGTCACCAGACACCTGATGATATTATCATTTCCTACGGGTTTCCTCCTCTTTATCATGAAAATTAGCCTCTTAAATGCTAATGAGGCCACAACGTACGTCTGAAATAATTTGAATAAAAGAAGGAAAACTAACCTGGGTAGACCTTTTTGACTGCGTCAATTGCCACTTCTTGCAAGTTGCGCAAAAACCCTTTGTACCAGTCCTCGTAGTCGAGACGGTAGTACGGCTCAACCATGTCTTTGACCATTTTTTGGTACGTGTCCGGCTCCTGGTCCTTCATTGCAAGTCCGAGACCGTGGAAGTGGGCGAGCATCTCAAGGGCCGCCTCGCAGTGGCCAATGTTGAAGCCCTGCGTCCGGTCACTGATGGCAAACCCTTCGGTGCCCAGGTCGAGCATTACAATAAAGTCATTGTCACCATCCGAATAACTCCAGAGACACTTGGGCACCGGCAAAAAGGTCTTTGACCATCCCGGGGTGCGTTTTCTCTGTTCGAAGTCCTGCATAATAGGCAGAACGTGGCTGTAGAAAAGGACTTCATTTTTGAAAAAGCTGGGAATTTTCCAAGTTTTACGCCTGGCCAGGTTTTGAGGTAGGCCCTTTACAATGAAAGACACCCGTGTGGTGGCGCCGCCGGTCTGGGCGTCGGCTATGATTCGGTAGACGATACCCAAGTAACCCTCGCCAGGGGCGGTTGCATAGGAAACGGAGAAAGCCTTGATTGAAGCTGTTTCATCCTTGACAGCAACGCGAATGATTTTGAGCAGAATTTCCTCAGTGAAAAGAGGAGAGATGATCTGAAGGGACGCTGGAGGACGGCTTGCCATTTTGGTCCCAAATCTGGAAGGGAAATTATAAATTAATATGAGAAATCAATTGCAAAAATGGGTCTTAGTTATCGCGCATTTCTATGATTCACATGGTTTTATCTCTCTCACTCGAAAATTTTGATGAGATTATAATTTTTTACTCTACTATCAACCAGCAGGAATTAATGTGTGGAGAGAAATGGAGCAGCGTTTTCCAACCAATCAGCAAAATTTTGATCAAAACATGCCATCTTTTTTATAAGCCAATTTATGTATAATAAGGCAAAAAACAGGCACGTGTCGTGTTTGCCACCGAAGCTGAAAATTTGCGACGTTAGGCTGTTTGCCCTTGATAAAATTATTTATAAATAAAGGACAGGCAAATTATTATCACCGCAGGGCAATACGTGTCAGGTGGGCCCTTCAAGCATTGAATCAGGAAATGCCAACTCATCTTTAATATTGTTTGCAGATTTTTCAGACGGGTATTTTATAATTTATACATTAAACTGTTGTTTATTAGTAAAGCTAAGGTTCATCAATAAAAATAATGCATTCCAGTTTGCTATAAAAAAATTAATCAAAATTGTGTATTAAATTTTTTTATTTTTAAGGTAATATCTGCACAAACTAAACAAATATTCAGCTAATAATTTGTTTATTCAAATTTTAGTAATACAGTTCACAGAGAAGTAATACTTCCAATCGTTCAATTAATCGAATCAATTACAATAGTAATGATGATCAACCATACTCTCATTAATACTCATTGTGTTTTCAATGTGCCTCGAGCTCGGTTTCCAAATTAGCCACGCGTCGTCCGAATGCACAAACTACTAGTCTGTCACTTTTAAATACAAGCCCTACCCACAAATGACGGGAATTTCCTTCCCGGCCACGTAAATTGCACAAAAATTATGCACTCGTACGACCAATCAAAAGCAGCTAGCTAATTAGGAAACCGCCCTATTATCGGTGCAAAAGTGTGTCTTTGTTGAAAGCTACCCTTATTTTGATAAAAATTCGAACACAGCAGTAAAAGGTAAGGCGGCGACCGACCGCCTCTACAGAAAATCAGGAAAAAATTCAAAAACGTCTGTCAGAAAAAAAAGATCAAGAGGGCATCAAATCAGCGAGTGGTGCAAGAAACCGAGAACAACAGTCACATTGGTCTTTAGGAGAACAAAATCGGCGTGCTGCTCATCATAGAACCAGCTGCTTGGGCTGCTCCCACGGGAAGATATCTCGTCCAAAGTGTCCGTACGTGCTGGTCTGCTGGTAAATGGGATTGCGCAGATTCAGGTCCTTGACGATGTGGCCAGGCCGCAGGTCAAAATTCTTGTTCACAATCTCAAGCAGTTGGTCTTCGGTTTTGCCTGAAGTGCCGTAGTCGAAGACAGTGATGGACAAAGGTTGGGCCACTCCAATAGCGTACGAGACCTGCACCAGACAGCGTCGGCACACACCCCCCTTGACCAGGGACTTTGCCACCCAACGGGCCGCGTAAGCTGCCGAACGGTCCACCTTGGTGAAATCCTTTCCAGAAAAAGCGCCGCCGCCGTGCGCACCCCACCCTCCGTAAGTGTCCACGATAATTTTGCGTCCAGTGAGGCCGGCGTCTCCTTGAGGGCCGCCGATGTGGAAGTCTCCGCAGGGGTTGATGTGGTAGACCGTGTTTGCATCTAAGTACTTTTCAGGGATGACAGCCTTGACCACCAATTCCATCACATCCTTGCGCAGCTGGTCCAAGGTTACCTGTGGACAGCGTCATTTGTATGAGAACAGAGGCGGAAATGAGAATGTTGTGTTGTCTAGCTGTGAACGTCATTGCAAAAGTTTCCTCATACAGGATGGGAGCTGATTTTTGAAATTCATAATATTTTTACTAGAAATATTTTTTAATGTAAAAGTGAAATTAAATTTTATTACAATATACCTGAATTATTTTTAGCAAGATAAAAATGTGAATAGAATGGTAATTAATGGAAAAAAAAGAATTGTATTTTATTTTTCAAATGTAACAAAAGAAATAATCTGATGTTTCTGAACTTTTTCTGCAAAAGAATTTTTTGTTGAGATCGTAATTGGATAATTACTCCCTTTCCTACATATCTGAATAATGATTCAATAGATTGACAACGAAAGTGACTTTCTTCCTTTTATTTGCGTCTATCAATTCAGCTGATGCAATAAATGCAACGGTACTTGTAATGAACAATAATAACCACAAGCCTGTAACTAGACTTTGAGAAATCAACCGGTTTGATCTTATAATATTTATAAAATTAAAAAAAAAAATCTTTTCTAAAAAGCAACTAGTAAAGATACATATTTTTTTCTTTTTTCCAGAAGACATAATATTGAATTAAAATAGATCAATCAAGTTTTATTTGTTTATTTTGTAAATTGAGTTTTAAGCCTGTCATTACTTTATAACAAATTTAATATTATCTTTGTAAGAAATTTACAGCCGTCTGCAGGAAATAAATAATAAAAAATAAAACATATAATTTATCATCCTCCAATTAAGGTAATTAGGACAGACATATAATTAAAAAAAAATTGACTTCCGGCACGCCAGCAGGCAGCAAGATAAAAATTTGAAACAAAGAATTTTAAATCTTCAAAATTAATAATATACATATATTAACATTTGCAATAACTTCTCTCAGCTAGGAATATTTTCCTAATTTTTACCTTCTCACTGTGTTGAATGGAAACAACAACAGTGTGGACCCTTTTGGGCACGCAGGCGCCGCCATCAAACTGGTACTCGCAGGTGACCTGGGTCTTCGAGTCAGGTCGCGCCCACCAGAGCGTCCCGTTGCGTCTCAGTTCGCCCAACTTCTCGTTGAGCTTGTGCGCGAGCACCACGGTGAGGGGCATGCACTCCTCGGTCTCGTCGGTGGCGTAGCCGAACATGAGGCCCTGGTCACCGGCGCCAATGTCGTCGTCATTGCGGTTGAGGTGGACGCCGCTGGCGATCTCGGGCGACTGCTCGTCCAGCACCAGCTGAACGCTGCAGGTTTTGTAGTCGAAGCCCTTGGATGAGTCGTCATAGCCAATGTGTTTGATCGTGTCCCGCACCACCTTGTTGTAGTCCACGCTGGCCTTGGAGGTGATCTCGCCGACCAACATGATCATGCCCGTCTTGGTGACGCATTCGCAGGCCACCTTGGCGTTCGGGTCCTGGCGCAGATGGGCGTCCAGGACGGCGTCGCTCACCTGGTCGCACAATTTGTCCGGGTGGCCCTCGCCGACGCTCTCGGATGAGAAGAGGAACGTCTGGCCCACATGGCCCTCGTTGCTCGCCTGCTTGGAAAAGCCGTTCATGTAAGATGTCGCCGATTCGGGCATGGTCTGTATTTCAGCTTAGCTGTGGAAGTTGCTGTCGGACGCTCGGTTCTTTCTGCGCTTCGGCAATGTGCTCGATGGGTCTGCACGATAATGCAGTGCGGTGCTCGTTCCTCCTTCTACCTTCAAAAATCCTAAATGGCTGGCGATGGCGGGCGCATGCGGCATTTGGGCGAACCAGTCATCAAAAGTGCGCATTCTCGCACTTGCCGGTCGACGATCGGTTAATCTTCGAATCCCAGGGCTTTCTATAATACATTAACACTAAGAAAGCAACTATCGTCATTTTGGAAGCAAAATTCATACGTAGCACTCAGATTCAAATGAAATTATTACATTAAGACCCAATTTCGGCGAATTCAAGTGAAAATCATTTTTTCAAGTGCCTATGATGACGTTTTTCATTAGGGCAGGTTAATTTTTTAAAATTTCAGCAAATGTCGGCCTGTTTTTTGCTTTGATTTATTGCACAGGCCGTTCCGGAATTCTCACAGCACAATTACATGCATAATTTACCTGTATTCCTTCGTACGTTCAAAATTCTCAAAGTTCAAAGCCCTCAAATTACATACAGGTTGTGTTGTGTGTAGTTGTCATTGCACAAATAATTCAAGATCAACATCGATACGCCATCTGTGGATGGAAAACAAAAAGCACAAACTATGTACTAAAAGTTAAAAGCGCTGCGAGAAAAATAATGTCATTATTTTAATCATGCAGTTTGAATTATGAAAATAAAATTTTTACATTTCAATTATATTAGAATATAATATTAAAGTGCAAAATTTTAAAATAATAAATTTCGTAAAATTTATCAATTATCGTCTTGTGCCAATGACCTAGATGTCGCCCTCATCTTTGCCAGCTGGCGCCGAGTTTAAAAAACAAAACATAATGGAACCAATTTGGCGGCACGAGGCTTCATCAACTTGGTTTATTTGATAAAATCACATTATTTATAACAAAGTCAGCCGCAACCTGCTGATAGAAATTAGAAATTAAGTATTTGAAGAGACACAAGCGTTGTAAAAACTGCCACCAACATTCCCCGCTGCAGAGAAATTAGGAACTGCGTCAGTGCAGTCGGCCTGCCGGAATTATGGGTTTGGATTTTGACGCTTACGCTTATCTGAGGAATTTGCGAACTACAAAGCCTCCTTACCAATGTCCTGTTGAATCGTGCGACAAAGCGTACAAGAGCATAGTCGGCATTCAGTACCACCTGTTTAATTTTGACCACCAAAACCCACAACCTGAGCCCGAAGCGCCGAAAACGCCAGCAGGTTGACTTACGCAAATTCAAACTCTAATTTTATTTATCCAAAACTTATTTATATAGTGAGTACTCCAACCATGAACAGCAGCCGGAAGAAGAGCACCAAGAGCAGATCCTCAACGCATAATAAGCAGCCTCAGGAGAAACACACAAGTCCTGTGCCAGAAGGACTGACCTACGCCGAAGCCCAACGAATGGTGGAGTTTGATATTGGAAATGGCAGGTCCCAACGACTCAGTATTTTTGAGCCCATCGAAGTTGTCTCTATGGTATTAAGATTTTATATTTGTGATATTTTTCAGCTGTTGTAACAATTTAATTAATCATAAATAGGAAAATTACCAAGCTATGGTGCCTCCCGGTGGTAGTTTGGATGACATTCTAGCTCCAGTAGAGCCAGGTAAAAGGACGCAGTATCAGCCAGAAACTGCAGAACCTTTTACTCCAATACGTGGCGTACCTTCGATTCCAATCAGCAAACTTCCAGAGCCGAGCTTCAGAATACTTGAAGATTACAAAATACCCGACGCAGCTCCCTTGCCGAATTCTTACATCAGGTTTGTTTTGAAAAATAATTATGAAATGTGTATTCATGAAATAAACTCTATATATAGATTCATAGAAAAGTCACCTGATGAGCTCGATGCAGAGGTTGAGTACGACGCTGATGAGGAGGATGGTGCTTGGTTAGCACTTATGAACGAGAAACGCAAAACTGAAGGCTTAGCCTCTGTGTCCGAAGAGCAATTTGAGCTTTTGATGGACCGGCTGGAGAAGGAGTCGTATTTCCAAATGTCAACAGCTGGGCACGAAGCGGCTCTCATAGATGATGATGCCGTTTGCTGCATTTGCATGGATGGCGAGTGCCAAAATTCCAATGTCATTCTTTTCTGCGACATGTGCAACCTGGCTGTCCACCAGGACTGTTACGGCGTCCCCTACATACCTGAGGGTCAGTGGTTGTGTCGCCGCTGCCTCCAAAGTCCCTCAAGAGCAGTCGAGTGTGTCCTCTGCCCAAACCAAGGCGGTGCCTTCAAGCAGACAGATAGAGGCACCTGGGCCCATGTAGTTTGCGCTCTTTGGATACCTGAGGTGCGATTTGCAAACACAGTCTTCCTTGAACCCATAGACTCCATTGAGACTATACCTCCTGCCCGCTGGAAGCTGACTTGCTACATCTGCAAGCAGAAGGGCGTCGGAGCTTGCATACAGTGTCACAAATCTAACTGTTACGCTGGTAATTTAATTCATGTTATTATTAAAATTATAATTCAACAACATTATTTCAGCATTTCACGTTACGTGTGCCCAGCAAGCTGGTCTGCACATGAAAATGGACACCGTGCGGGACAACGGTGCAACCACAGGCGAGCCTTCGGTGCTGGTTCAGAAACTCGCCTTCTGTGACACTCACACCCCTGCTGATGCAGAGACAGTAAGATTTAAAAATCTTGTGCAGACAGCTGTTTTTAACCAAATGTTTTCAGCGCCCTCGAGTTAATAGAAAGGAGAAAACATTTGACTTCAAGGATGATGCTAAGGAAAAAATGAAGCAGGCTCGGAAACTGCTTGCCAAAAAGAGGTCGTCTGTCCCAATCATTTCCATTCCTACCATTCCTCCCGAAAAGTAACTAAAGTTTATGTGATTAAACATCCAAACTTATTTTTATGCTTTGCAAACAGAATACAGGAAATTGCTTCTTTGATCTCGGTGCCACGCAGGAATCAGTTCATTCAGCGACTGATTGCTTATTGGACTCTAAAGAGGCAGTATCGAAATGGAGTGCCTCTTTTGCGCCGTTTACAAACTTCAAACTCATCCCACCATTCACGTAAAGGAGAAACACAATCAGCTCCTGAGCAGGAGGTTTCCACAGTAAGAATAAGTTCTTAGAATGATTTTTGCAGGTTTTATGGAATGCCCTGGTGTGGTATTTGATACCCTATTGTATGATCGCCTTCTTCAAGGCTATTTAGATTTTTGTGGATTCTTGAATGAATGCTGACTTGTGAAGTATTTGCGACTATAAACTGTGTTTGTTTTCTGTTCAAGCGCAAATCAACAAAAAAGACTAGCATGAAGAAAGATATTGAGAATCAGGTACTTTTAGCTTTTTAGATAATTGAATGTACATATTTGCCTGTTTAATGGTGTTCAGTAGTAGTATTGTTACTAATTACTCAATTTAGCACGTCAATTTACAGCAACGAACTTTGCTGGAGCAACTCAAATACTGGCAAAGTCTTCGTCAAGACTTGGAACGAGCTCGGCTGCTGTGTGAGTTGGTCAGGAAGAGAGAAAAGATGAAGAAAGAATTTGTTAAAGTGTATGTTTTATTTAAATGTAAAGTTTTATTCTAAAACTAATTGAAAAAATTTAGTTATGAACAATGTGTGATGCTGGAATTGAGACCGATGACTCATTTTCTTGGAAAGGTGCTTGATCAACTCATCAGCAAAGACCAAGGAGAGATCTTTGCTGAGCCTGTTGATATTTCTGAGGTCCCTGATTACACCACAGTTGTTACAAATCCTATGGACTTTTCAACGATGAAGCAAAAGTTAAACGATCAGGAATATCATGATCTTGATGACTTGGAGACTGATTTCAACCTGATGCTCTCAAACTGCATGGCTTACAACTCGAAAGACACAGTAAGAAAGTTTTTATGAAAGAATACAGATTTGTAATAAAAAGTCGCAAGGTGTTCTACCGAGCTGCTGTGAAAATGAGAGACCTTGGTGGAGCAATCATTCGACAGGCACGAAGGGATGTATCAGAAATTGGGTTTGACTCAAAAACCGGACTGCTGTTGCCAGAGAAGCCCAGCACAAGAGGAAAGGGTGTAACCGATGAGCAAACTGCAGCAGAATGTCAAACATCAATAATTGTTATTAATTAAACATTAAATTAATTCTTATTTCAGTTGACCAATTCATGCTCGATGAATCAAGGAAGGCTCTGCCCCTTAGTGAGCAACTGACAAAGTTGTTGAACATTATGGATATAGCGCAAAGTCTGAAACATGGAATGACCAGAGCAAAGAGGGTAAAAACGGTCAAGTATGTTCAGGATTTCTCGTAGGTCTGTGACATTTAGAGTTACTTGTTTCTAGGAACGAAATTGCATCTGTAAGGAGGAAGATTGCAATGGAGCAAAGTGGAACTCCAGCAAGACGAAAATCTACGACCAAATCGCAGACTTCTAAAAAGGGTATAATTTAATTTTTTTGCTTGTATTTGTTCATAATATATATATATTTTTTTTTGGTTATATTAGGAGATGATAGTGATGATCAAACTGATGACTCGCAAGATGCGGCTTCTTCTAATAGTTCGTCAAGTTCAGGAAGCTCAGATGAGGATGCTGATGAGGTGAGCAGGGTTATTATAAAAATTTAAAATTACTTTTTAATGTTCTTTTAAAAAAAAATAAATACATAGGATGATGCTGATGAAGAGAGTCCAGGTTACAAAACAAGGAGGAAAGAAAAAATTGAAAAAACAACCAGACCAACCAGGAATCTCCGCAATAAGACACCCCCAGCTACTCCAAAAAGGAGGGAGTCTACTGCCTCTGTTGGTGCTGCAGATAAAAGAGTCCCTAGAAAGAGGTCGCCTAGCAAGCGCCAAGAAGAAGCACCAACCTCTCCAAAGAGGAGGGTCAGCCAAGATGTTGGTAAAGACACCAGCAAAGATGCAAGCAAAGAAACCACTTCAGAAGGCCCACACGTTACTCCAGCCAAAAAAGCTGCCACTATTTCTCCTCTTCCTTCAACTTCCCCTCAAACTGGCTCCCCCTCTGGAGTCAACAGAAGAACCGCTGTTCTATTTACTAGAAAGGCTGCTGCTGCTGCATTTAGAGTAATTATTACTAGTATTATTTATTGTTTTTTCATACAAAATTTTATTTTAGAAACCAGAAGCACCACAGACAACAACTAAAAGGAGAGTTGGTCGTCCAAGGAAGAATTTGGATTCGGCTCTTGGTGTAAATAGCAGTGGAAATTCTAGTTCGGGAAAGTCTTCCGGAGACGGAGACGCTATTCTTGAAACCAAAAGTGTTCCCAGCAGTGAAAGCTTCCGAGTCTACCGTTCAGGAGGAGGTATAATATTTTTTACTCAAGTCACTTTCCTTTTTTAAGATGTAATTATTTTCCAAGCAGAAATTCCTGCTGGCTCAGACGAGAGCGAAAACGAGTCTGAGCGAAGCAGCAGTGCTGTGGACGACAGCTCCTCCAGTAGCGATGATGGCTCCTCACAACAAGGTGACTCAGACAGCGAGGATAGCCAAAGCAGCAATGATGATGCTTCAAATGAAAAGGTTGGTTTCATTTACTTAAAATTAGAAAAGAAAGTGTTAAACTTATTTTTATTCAAAGCAGGATGCTGCATCTGATGATTCATCAGATGATGAAGCCCTGTCTCGGGGCGACGGAACTTTGGAGCCACTTGATTTGGTCTGGGCCAAATGCAGAGGCTATCCGTGGTACCCTGCTTTGGTAAGTTGCCATTTTATCTAAAAAAAACTTGGCTAAAATTTGAATTTTTTAGATCATTGATCCTGACATGCCAAATTCTGGCATTGTTCACAAAGGGGTGCCAATTCCAGCACCTCCGACAGACGTGCTGGCTTTGGCGGCCAACTACACAGAACCTGTGTATCTTGTTTTATTCTTTGACACAAAAAGAACTTGGTAAGCAGATTATAAATTTATTCATATATATTTTTTTTTTATAATTTCCCCACAGGCAATGGTTACCAAGAAGCAAAATCGACCAGTTTGTTGGGAAAGCAGATCTTGACCAGGAAAAGTTGTTTGAGTCAAAAAAACCTGCTGAGAGGAAGGCAGTTCGGAAAGCCTATCAGGAAGCTATTCTCTACAAGCATCAGATCACAGGCCAGTTGCAGAAGAATTTGGAGCAACACAAGAAGAGTGACAAAGACGCAGACGATGCTTCACATTCTGATAGCATGGCTGAGGATGATTGAATGGGTCACAATTAACAAGTTAAATCTAAGCACTCTCACAAGAAGTAGATTTTCTAGTTTTATATTTAATTAAGTCTCATAGTTTAACATCAAATTTAGTATTACCATTATTATCATGTAGATATGTGTGATTGATAATTTCCATTTTTTTATATTTTGCTTACTCACAATCAGCTGTTGTCAGCGTTATTATGACTTGAGCTTTATAGTAATAAAATTGTGCTCTTATTCGTTCAATATTCAATTTACACTGTAAATAAAATATTTGTCACTTCAATGTATACAAAAAATTCTTTTTTTCTTTAATATTTGCAATACAAATTTTTTATCAAATTTTCTTTAACATTACAACAATATTGTATAGTGTAACTTTGATTTCTAAAATGTGTGTTATACAAGTTTTTCACTCTAGTAATAATTTTAATTTAATGAAGAAAAAATATCTATGAAATTCTACAAAGAAAACAAAATCACAAACAAACAATGAATTTAATAATGGTTGCCAAACATAATATTTATTTAAACGTTGATTTTTTTTTAATATTTGCGGATATTTTTATCTGGAACGTGCTAAAAAAACTTTGTAGGTTGTAGTGTAGGATGAAAAGCCAAAAACTAGATTTTTTAAACAAATTTCACGTTCATTTCTTCAATTCTTGCGCCATTGCCCTTCAAACTCAAGCAAAAAGATGAACCACGCCCCCCACACGGATTCGGTCGGCTAAAACGTCGACCATGGGCTCTTCTCGAAATCCAAATTTTCTCGACAAAATCGCCGATACACTGGAAACAAACAGCAAAGGGGTGCAGGTAAATATCCTTTCACAAAGTCCAACACGAAAATATACTGTGCTGTTCCTCAGTATGGACTGTACGGACTGGGATTCGCGGGACTGGTCGTGGCCTTCAGGAAAGTGCGCCCTGTAAGTAGACCAAAACAAAATTCTGTATATACTTGCAATTTCTGGTCAATTGACGAAATTTTAATGGTCGTAGATTCAAAAGTTCTCCAATCCAAGAGACGTCCCACGCAGCTTCATTAAAAAGAAGGAGCCATTGAACGGCGTCGTGAAAGGCGCCGAGTTGCGCAACGGAGCTGCCGTCCTTCAAATAGCACACACTCCACCCTTGCCCTTAGGCCGAGAGGGAAAGCCGCCCTACCTGCCCGTGTCACTGTGTGGCGTTTCGCCAACCGTGAATGGTCTTTCGTGGCTACAGATTGTCCTTGATTCACAACCAGTCACATTCACAGTCCTGTCTACAAATCCGGACACCGCATCATCTCTAGTTACATTCAATGTTAGTCTCAAAAGTATCTTAAAACCCCAAGATATTTATGAAAGTTTAAGAAAGGCCTAATTACAAATTAAATTTTTCTTAACATAGGGCAAAGACGTCGGTTCTCGTCTTGTTGAGCTGGGATTTGCCAGAGTCACCCCGGCCGACCCCACTTTGACCTCTAGCGAAGCCTACAAGAAATTGCACGCCAAGCTAGTTAAGTCTGAACGTTGGGCTGAACTCAATGGCAATGGAATGTGGTGGGGTCATGCACCGTTTTACATCAGAATTGCAAACAAGGCGTGTTCTCGAGTGCGGCTGCTGGTGGCTCAAGCAAAGTCCGCGAAGAGGCAACAACCTGCTGCAGTCGTCGCAGTCAGATAAGATTTTTACCTAAATTTGAATACTGGCCAGACTTGATACTTTTTGGCCGTAGATCAAATTCTAATAAGTCTGATAGTGACTGAGCATATTAATCTGTGTTGAGGATAAAGGTTGTTTTATAACAAGAGTTGAGAACTTGCAATGACTGCGTAAGCCATTGCTCATGTTGATAAAAATCGTTAAACAAATTGTTGCTTGACCTTTCGGAGAAGGTTCAGACCTGAAACAAGTGCCAATAAATTTTAAGCGTAATGCACCATTAATAGAAAACTATTTTTATTTTTGGATAATTTTGGATATATTCTGCATGATAGCAATTAAAATTAAATACATAAAAGAGTAATTAACTAAAAAATCGGCACTGGCCTTGATATGCATAAGTTTCTTGTTTATATATCAGAGTATTGAACATGACAGCTATTTAGATAAACATTAAAAGTGCCAGGCAAGAAGGGAAATCTCAGCTGCAAAAACAACCCGTTTGAATCAAATTTTGGTAATGGGTCCCACCCTAAAACTTAAAATTAACAAATTCAAATTCCAAGTCTTATATCAGAATCAAATCATCAAAAGCACCATCACAATAATAATTCAGGACACTTACGACTAAGGAGTATACAACACAGTGATATTAAATAAGCCATATTGAATAATTTGATCAAGTATAGTAATTCACTCGAGCAGAGATTTGCAGGCTGGAGACGGCTGGGTCAGCATGGCCTGTGTTTGAACCATGCTCCTGGTCATTGGCCTTTGATTTTCTTGCTGTTCCAAGTTAAAAAGCCTGTGAGAATATGGCCTCTCACTAAAATGAAGAATTTAATTAACTTTCACAACAATAAATAAAATTTAGAAACAAATATAGTTTATATAGAATATAGAATTCAGAGCATTTAGGTTCAAAATTGAATTTTGAACAAATATATACTGCAAATTAAAATATGTACATCAAGTAGACTATTTAAATGGGAAATTTTTTTTAGTTACCGTTTGGGTGTGTCAGAAACTGCTGGCGAGGCGAGTCCACCACCAGGAGTGGTGTCGATGGAAAAGGGACTGTACAATTTTGTCGGCGTCCTGCCCAAAATCTTCCTACTCCTCGTCTGCGGCGTTGCTACTGGCGTGTCTGTGTTTTCAAACCGCCGGTGTCTCCTGGTCGATCTTCCTTTCAACTTCTTCTCGGACAAAAACAATCAGTCAAGCAAAACTGGAAACTGTTAATTTCATCAGTCAAACCTGAGAAAAGTTATTGACGCTGACTCGGAGCTGCTGGAAGGTTTTCGAGAGTTTGTCGGCGCCTGACCTGAGGGCCCTCCTTGTCGGGGAAGTCCTCATGTTTGGGATTTTCAGCTTGGACATGCTGAACTGGCGCATCTCCCGCAGAGGCCCGGAGGGTGATGTTTTGACGGCGCCTTTGGGCTTCTTTTCCTTGTCGAAAGCCTCCGACAGTCTCCGCCTCGAACTACCCGTGAGGTTTCCATTTCGGGCGCCCGCGGACTTCTTCCACGAGTCGCTTTTTACGTCTGGAGCCATTGTCAAAAATTAAATATCCGACCACGGCTCATTCGGTACCTCCCAGACTCAACGGCGGAATCTGTTGAGGTTTCCCGCGGCTCGTCTTGGGTGGAGTCTCGTACATCTGGCGCGCGACTAACTTTTAGTTTGAATGTTTAGCCGTGCTACGTGTGAGTAGCCATGGGATGATCAAATATATAATTTATATTATAATTATGAATAAGGTATGTTACGATCAAACCGCAAACTATAAAATTTATCTATTTAATACAAAACCACGGAGAACTTAATAAATTTCATAATCAAAAAATCTTTATTTTTAATTATCAACACAACTTTTTTCAGCATTTGTAATTTTTACTTGAAAATCCATTATTATTTTCAAAGTTAGATTGACGGCCAGAAATTGACTAAATAATCTAAAATAATTTTCATATTTTATTTTTACAGAAGCAAAATGTTAATAATAATGGATTATAAACAATTAGAGTAAATTCAAAATGTGTCAATTTCATGAAATAAAAATGCAAACCTTTAACTTTTCAGCTCTACAATTTAGTTCTTATATGATAAATTGCAAGTTTTAAATAAAATAACTTTCCTGTTATTATAAATGTTTAATTAATAGTTTATTTGGTCATTTTACATTTCATGTGTGCAGTGCAGTTTTTTTTAATATTTTAAATAATGTAGCATATAAAAAACTAGATTGATTTTAACGTTAGCTTTGGTATTAATGTGTGTATGTATTAATAAAGTAAACATTTCCTCTACTTTCAATTGTTCTTAAAAAACTTTTAAATAAATAAAATTCATCAACTACCATTTCTTTTGGTCTGTTAAATGCATACACTGATCCTCAAACTGAAGCAATGACTGTAAAACAAGTGTTAGGCCAAAAGACCCATAAATAAGGATGACTTGAATGCTGAAATCACAATTTTTCAACGTAGTTTCCAGGGAACAATCCCTTCTTTCCTTTTAATGTTCCATGCCACCAACCACCATCATCTGTAAAAAGTAAAAATCGAAAAATTAAAAATATTTTTTCAATTAAAATTAATTTTGCAACTATAACCTTCTTTGAAAACTTCAATTATGTCTCCTTCCTTGAGCTCAAGTTCATCCAGGTCCTGTGCTTGGTAGTCATAAAGTGCCCTGCACTTTGGAAGTGATGGCTTTGGCTTCATTGCTGGCCTCGGTTTTCCACCGCCTGGAATTGGTTTGCTTGAACGCTTCTCACTGTAATAATTAATTTTTAGCAAACACATAAACCTTTTCAAAAACAAAATAATTACCCTGAAACTCCGGAACTAGGTGGATTCATAAAAGATGGGTTTGATGGCGCTTTTTCGGCAGACACCTTCCTAATGGCCTGACCATTTTTAGGCAAAGTCAAACTTGGCATCGGGGGAGTCTTTATTGTTACTGGGGGTTTGTTCATTTCTCTAGGAGTCTCCATTCGAGGTCGTGAGGAGGGATCTTTGCCTTTAACCGTGCCAGCTATACAAATGTAAATGATCTTTTTTCCAAAAATTTTTATTGAAAAAAAAATCAAACCTATTTTAGCAAGAGACTGTCTGACAACTGGCTGATTTGGTGGCGCTGGTTCACTAGGCGGGGGAGGAGCATTTCTCAAAGAACCATACTGCCGGGGTGCGCTGCTCTCTCCGGAAGGTGGAGGCAGAGGCCTGCTTTGTATTTCTTGTATTCTGCTCTGAGTGCCCAATTTTGGCCTTGCTGTTTGCGATTGGTTGTTATTGTTTCTGTTTTTAGTTGTTCTAATTGTGCTGGTCGCTTGTGGTCCTGTTAGTTTGGTTTTAAGTTTATGTTTACAAATTTATTTCGAAATAATTACTTGTATTTGCTGGTAGTCCAGGGCCTATGCTGACTGTCAAAACTTTTCCCGATGGTTTCAAAGTTGCCTTGTTGCCAACTCCTTGCTCAAATTTGACATTTCTGATGCTTCCTCCTCCCCAACCATCTTTTTTAACTTTGAAGTCCATGCTGTTGAAATAAATTAGCTTTTAACGTATTACATACGGTACTTTTAAATTACAAATTGCTGAATCTTAAGGGAAGTTCGTGTCCAGTCTTCTCCTTCACTTTCTTGGTGATCACAGTGAGAAACTCGGTTTTGAAAATGAGCTCCAGGAAAGAATCGTAATCTTGCTTCATGTGGATAATCACAAAGTCATCCTATAAAATAAATTTTTACAATTTATTTAAAAAATGATAAGAGTTGTGTGTTTACCTGGAGTTGGCTCAAAGCAATGTCACTGATATTTTCCAACTCCAACTTTCTCTTGATGACTTCTTTAAACGTTCCCTTTTCAGGCCCCTTTTTTATTTTTTCTCTACCAATCAAAAAGAGCGCATTTGCTGTCAAAATGAGATCTCGTCTGGCAGACTGAAAGGAAAATTTATTTAAAATTGGCAACGAGCTAAAGTAATTGCAACAACCTTAAACGTGCGGTCATACTTGAGCACATGCTCGGCATACACAACTTTTTCTCGCTTTCCAATGAGCGACAGAAGGGCAGGCTGGTTCTCAACTCCAATGTAATCACCCACAAAACCTCGATTGATTGAGAAGTGGCGCCGCTGCTTCTTTTCAAACACCACACCTGCAATGAAGGTATTTTTGTCATTTCTTATTTTATACATTTTTAATTTTTCCCAACATACTACACGCTTCTTCTTTTTGTTTCTGCACTTGCCTCTGCGCAAAGTACTTTTTGAAAGCTTTTTGGATTACCCTGGCATAGACGTTGAATTTTCGCTCGCGCATCTCCTCCAGAAGGAAAAGCTGAATATATTTATTTAGACTTCTAATGAATTAAAGCATTTTAAATACATTACCGATTCTGGCGCCTTGACAAAAATTTTGGTCTTTCCCAACTGGTACTGGGCTTTTTCCATGTTAACCTTGTTCATAATGTGCTCGATACCTTGTCGAGGATCTCCCCTCCAATGGGGCCAGGTTTCTTTTGTGATAATTGCATACCTGAGAAAATTAATTTTATTAAACTAGTAAAATATTTTCTGTTAAAAACATTACCTAGAGAGGAATTTCTGGAATGGTCTTCTGTAAGCATAACCTGCTCTTCGAACCCTGATATTTTCCTTCAGGCCCAAATATTCTACCTGATGCTTGACCCTGAGCTCCTCCCAGTCTTTGGGTCTCTTTGTTTCATTTGGCTTGATACATCTTCCATAAATAATTTACTTTCATAAAATTTGCTTTTAAATATGAAGTAAATAAATCACCTGATGTAATGAGGTGTGCATTTCATAAGCTCCTCTACCAACATGTTGGCTTGCGTTTTAATTTTGCACCCAGCAGTTGTTGGACGTGACTTGGACCCTGCAGTTAACTGTTCTGGAAAGAGACTTCGAACAAATGGGCTGAAAATGCAAATAGGAAATTTAAAATAAAAATTTATTAGAATATTAACATTGTACTTTTCACTACTCTGCATTAGTTCAATAAGGTCTGGGAAAAGAACATCCCTGTTTCTGTCGCAGAATCCGCGGACGCTGTAGTTGACAATGCCGGCATAATGGTGCACTGTGAAACCATCTTTCCACTGCTGGTAGTGCTGGTGCGTGCCATTGGCCGCGTTCAATTTCTGCAAAATTTGGAACACGTTCAGGTCACACACATTTTCTTCGTCAATCAGTTACGTACCATTTGCAGGTCCTGGTCGACGCCATTGGACACGGCGTGCATGGTGGCGCAGACATCGTCGAGCACGCAGAAGATTCCTGGTGGCCGTTTGCTCTCGATCAAGTCGCACACCACCTTGTTGTTGAAATAGTCTATGTTGCTCCATTTGATATTTTCTTGCACATACTCTTCCTAAAAAAGAAGAGAAGAACAAAAATTACTCATAAAATACAAACACTTGCATAAAGCTATATTTTTAAAATTTAAAATTCTAATATTAAATATTATATAAATTGTAATAACACCTCACAATGATTAATGGTTTAAAAGATCACAATAAATATAAAATTTTCTTTGATTCTAAATCCTGTTTGCTACACCAATTAATTTTTTTCATTTCTCTAGCATTTCAAAGACCTTTGTAACTTGTTTTAATATTCCTGTTTAATAGAATAGCGATAAAGTTGAATTAATAATCAGATTGTTAATATCAAGAAACAATTTAATTATGATCTTAGGATGAGGCACAAATATGATTGATAATTTGTGGCTTAATTTACCTCTTCCTGGCTTCTGCGTTTAAATCATTGCTCTTTTATAATAATTGATAGAAAATGACGAAAGGAGCTGAAATTAACTAAAAGTTCTCTCCAGGTCGTGTGGAGCAAATTGCCTATCTGTGCCAACGACGTTCTGCACGGACTTCTTGCCGCGCACCGGCTCTAAACGCACGGCGAGCAGAATTTTATTTCCCGTTCCGCGGTAATGAGCCATCACGCAATGCAATAATACATTTTAAGCCTGTGCATTTTGGAATATTTGGCTCTTCACACTTGACCCTCCAAGGCGAGGAATCATTTACGGCCAATCTGGAGCAGACAGAACACAAAGAAAATTGCTCTGTCACCGCGCGCGCCGCTCCGGCTCGAGGCCAGAGGATCGAAATCTCTGCTGATTGTATCGGCGAAAAAAGAGAGCGCTTTTTATTTTATTATTTTTGGGTCGGCCTTCACGGATGCAGTAGGTGTCGCCGGGACTCTTTTCGCGCTGTAATTAAATTATGCAAGCAAAAAGCGATTAGCGACAGTGAAGTGGAAGATAGGAAGTTTTGGAATCGGAAATTTCGCTCCAGCCTTCTCGGCCCCGCGTGTAAACGCGACTTTTTCTCGGCTGCACCTTGAAACCTAATCAAGCTGAAATGGAAAATTTTTGGCCCCAGACCACGTACGCGTTTTGCTATAAAACATTTCACACAATTATGACACTGTTTAGTCTTTTGGTGGAGTCCAAGCGGTGCATATTGTCTGGCTCATGGCGTTGGAAATGAAGTTTGTGAAGGTAATCAACTCTTGCCATACCCCACCGAGTATAGAGATCAGTGAGATTATTTTTACGGAATGTGTCGCTACCGATGCTCATTATTTGTTTTAATAATGATCGCCCGAGAAATTCAAGTCGAACAAGTTGTTTCATATCAGGACAGCAGGGCGTGATCAGAAACGTTCATAATGATATAGCAATGGTCATGAAGACTTTTTCGTTCATATCAAAAATGCATTTATCATAAAAATAAATATGAAAAAATTTAATTTTTTTGAAAGTATATTTGAAATTTTAGAAATAAAATTTGAATGATCCTGGAAAATATGCTTCATTTTTAAAATTTTCCCTCGCTATTAAAATAATTTATTGAAGTAAACAAATATATAAGTATCATAAAAATTGCCATAAATTTTAATTTCAATTTCAGTGGTTACTGATGACCGTGATCATGGCCGGGACAACATCTGCACAGATGAAAAACAATATTTTCTTTCCTGGTGGATCATCAAGCACTCTAGTTTCCAATCCTCAGAATGCGCAAAACTCTGCGCCATCCATTCAGAATATTTCCAAACGCATTGCTGCACACTTGACCTCAACGACGGCTCGACCTAATGAAGAACGTCGCTATTTTGAAAGTTCCAGATCAAATGAATTTACAACTATTTCGCCTATAAGCGAGTCTCGGACCTTCGGCTTTCCCCAAACGCAGCAATTTACCACCCCATCTCCGTTGAGCAGCAACAATAATTTATTTTTCAACTCGCAACCTCAATTTTTCTCTTCCTTGAACCGACCTGGAATTTTTGGCAACTCGCCCTTTGGTCTCAATGACTTCAACTTCCAATCCCAGTCATCTTTTCCGAGTTTCAACTCCGGTCCAGACTTAAGTATTTTCAACTCGGGGGCCAATGGAGGTCAGCCCAAAAACTACCACTACCGTAGGGATTTCAATGACAAGGATGGATACTCGCCCTGGAGGGACGTTTCTGGCTCCAAACAACCTACGAATGATCAGGGTGGTTTCCAGCAACCCTCTTCAGAGGAACATTTGACAAACTTCCCTGGTCCCAACTTCCATCAGAAATTCGATCTAGGGCCGGACGGGTTTTTCAACTTTGAAAAGCAAAATAATGTTGATAATAACAACGGATACAGTGGGAAAACACAGGCGATCATGAAAATTGAGCCAGGCAGTGGCAGAGGAGCGGCGGAAAAGCAGATCAACAATAAACTTTTTGGAAACACGCAGACGAACAGACTTGGGAACTCTAACGACAATGGTATTGCTAATTGGGCGCAGAGTTTCAGAAATGTTAAATGGCCTGGCCAAAATTAAATAACAAATAAGTGACCATGTGCAAAGCTTAACTTTTAAATATTTGAAATTAAAAACATTTTTTTGAAAATTTTCGTTCCTTTTTTAAGGAATACTTCCTGAAATAAACTTTTATTATAATGAGGTACTTTGTAAACAAATAAAGTGAGATTTTCGTCGAGGTCGTGACATTCATTGTTCATTCAAGCAACAAAAAATAAGTCACACGCCGCTACCGTTTTACTCGCGTTTGGGTTAGGAGAAAGAATTGTATATAATTATTACTCATGAACACGGTTGTTAAAATTTAAGGTGAAAATAAAACAGAGCAAAATTCTAAAAAATTTCACAAGAATTTCATTTTTTTTTCTCATCCATCTTTTTACAGAGAGCATATTGTTCTCGCAATAAATTGAGTTTACTTGAGTACTTTAGGGTATCTGCTTTAACTTGACAGACAATGCACAAATACGGGATGCAATATCGTTCTGCTCTGAAAAGCCAAAATGCGCGACACATTATTATTAAGTGCTGATTTTACTATCAAAGAAGCAAACACACGTTCCGCCTTGATTATAATGATGATTTGCATGCGCGCTTAATTAACGGTCATGATCATAGACATTAGGGTCAACTGTTAACCATTTTTGTTCTAAAAGTTTGTTCAGGCGAGTTAGAAAAAAATCGGAGCGATCCGGTATCACAAACGGATGCCAGGTTTGTTTTGGGGGTTCGTCACACCTCTCATGAGTGAGCAACAGGATCTAGTCAACGATTATTTTCTTCAATTTGTCATTATATTATAATTATTAAATTCTTAAATCCTGTGTATTGATTTTTTTTACGTTTTAATGTAGAGAAAGAAATACAAACCGTGAAATATATTTGAAAGTTGCTAAAAAAACTTATCAATGGCCTACTGCCAGTGATAAACGCAATCCTTTTCAAAAGCTAAAAAAAACTTGCAAACATCCGTGTCGATAAGATATTACTTGAAACCGACAGACTTGTAAAATTTATTCCAGAAGTTCTATTGAGTGATTATCAAGAGGAATTTATAAAAAAGAGTGAAAAGTATAATTGTTCAGGACAAGAAGTATAAAAAAATAAAAAAATAACAAATTTATTGATTTCAAGAAATTCTACGTCTAGAAGGAAAGAGGAAACTATATTAGGTTTTCCCAGACTTAATTAAATAAGACGTGTTTTACATTGCTAAAAATAGTTTAAAAAAAAATTATATTAATAAAATGATTATCGTTTGCGTTTCTTGCAGTTACATATACTATTTTTTTCATTTTAAATATTTTAATAATATATTTATTCAATAATAGATAAAAGTAGTAAAAATACAACAGTTTGGAAATAGTAAAAAAACCAAAAACTAATTTTTTTACCATAATAAAAAAAAATTGGAATGGAGGCAGCAATTTAATGTGGAGCAGAATTTGACTTTGAATCACACGATCGGGCCAGATTAACAAAATACTGTTTCCTCGCAATGAGATTCGCATCAGATAAACGCAGTCCGTTACTCCCACGCTTGCGACTAATGCGAGAACAAGTCACGGGTCGCTTCAATTTTGTGCCGCAGCATCGAACCTAATTAGTTTTAGAGACCGCACGCTTAGAAAACCCATTTCAGAGCTCAAGAGTAAAAAGTCTATCGGCGAAATAAGATGCAATTTGGTGAGAGGAACTTTTTCTGTCACCAGCAATCAACGAAAAACGCCAAAACTATGATCAGTACGAGGGAAACAAGGTGCTTCGGTGGAAAGAAGAAAGTGCGCGCCGATGGAGCGTGCAACGGACTAATTGGCACCAACGACTCTCATTATGGGCGAGTTAATCACAAAGTCTTCTTTTTCCTCTGCAAAAGCAGAGACAGTCCCATCACCTGAAAACGCACCCGGCGTGACTCTCTCATTGTTCTGCGCCGCGCCGTCTCCTAGTTTCCACGATCATTTATTCCGAAGAAGCTGAGCGGAAATGCAAAACCAACTGAGTAAGATGCCTCCGCGTGTCTTGTTGTTTCTCACCTTCGATCAAGACAAGACACGTCGTCGAGCTAATTGTTTTGCTGACCTCTTTGGGAAGATTCGCCTGAACATGCATAATGGTCCCCGGTGGTCCACTTTCGGAATTAATTTGAATGGTTTAATACACACGAAAGTTGCTTCTTTTCTCATGACGCTTTATAAAAAAAAAAACTAATTGTTTGACATGCCAAACGGGCTACAAACGGTTTGCACCTTTTTAAGCGCCTTTAAAATACATTTAACTCTACCTTAAAAGTTATATTAAATCTGGATAAATTTAAGATTTTTTCTTGTAAAATGTTTTAATTTTTGTGTCGCATAAATAAATATTATGTAATAAATTTTAATTTAATTCCTTATTAATAAGTAAAATTTCCGACATAAATAATTTTGTTTTCTTTTGAAAAAAAAATGGAGGTTCAGAAGAAAATAAAAAAAAACCAAATAATAATTTAAACACTGAGATATTTAAAGAATTTATGCTGAAATTTCGACTTTTTTAATATTTTAGCCTGTTTGTTGATATCCTCAATTAAATCTCTATAGTGTTTGTAAGCTTTCAGGACTATTAACAATTATCCAAAACAACACATTTTCGCGTAACAACACATGCAATTTCAACTTATAAAAGAGGCAATTAGTAAAAGTAAAGCATTGCTGGAGTGCGTGAGGTTTTGTCACTTTCATAATATGCGATTTTGGTTTGCGTGCACGTTCTACTTGCTATTGCGCGAAAGAAATTTCTTTTCGCCAAGGCACAGAGTCATCGATTTAATTTTAAACAAGCCGTTAGTGTGAAATAATGATAGATAAGTTCAGCACCGCATAAATTAGGACGAATTTTTCAGAGGTGCCTGCCAACGTGCGTCGCGGAAATTTTGGCTGCACGAATTAGGCCCACGCTGGCATAATAATAGTAATGGAAAGAATATTAAATCAAAACTCTGTGTTGCGCCGCTGACATAATTCGTGGCTTCCAATCTCGCGCACCTGTCTAAAATGAAACGAGTTTGGAATTAAAAATTAATAAAAGACAGTCACTTTTCATTAAAAAATGGGTTGGAAATAATTTGAATTTAATACTTTTATAATTTGTGGAAAACTTGTCGTTTAAAAAAAAAGAAGATTCTATTTAATTAAACTTAATTTACACTTCAGTGACTTTAATTAAATGTGTTGAAAGCACTTAATGTTAAAAAATAGTATGTAGGCAAGTGCAAAAATTATATGTTCATCTTTTTACAAACGCCATTTCTGCATGTTTTTCTTTTCAACACATTCCTTTTGATAAAAAAGTGCACCGCGCCATAAAAGAAATGTGCAGAGTGAAAGGATTAAATTTTTGTTGTACGAAATTAAAGTAACGTAAGGCACAATGGCCAGTTAACAACGCGGTCGTGATTCGCGCAACTTTATCTTCGGCAGACGCAAACAGAGCAATATTGTGCTTTGTGGTTTGTTATTATGTGTTTGTAGACGCACGACTCTTTACATAACATGCATAAAGGGACCTGCGGCGGCGTGCTGCGGATATTTTACGATTTTTATGTGCTTTGTGTGCGGCGTGTGTTTTGCCAACTTGCGAAACCACTTACGACGGGATGAGTTGCAACGCAAAGTGATTCTTGACGTTCATGAAAATAAAAAATAAATCTCGAGTAAATTATCTACTGAAATTTTTTAACTAATTTTTACAATTAATTTAATTTTGCCAATTGACAAAAAATTTTGACAAAAAATTCAACAGCTGGGAACAACTAAAAAGAAATGTAAAATTAAGGAATTGCAAAGATAGTAATTTCACGAAAATGTCCAATAGGAGTGGATCATCGAAAGACATTCACCATGATAATTTTCATAAATTTAGAGGTTTTGATTAATTTTTAGTGAGAAAATTAGGAAGAGTACGTTAATTAATTTATAATTCAATCATTTAGCCTTATATTAGGTGAGCATCCAGCAGCGCTAACTTCAATTTTATCACATAAGGAAACATTTAAGCGAGCTGAGGTTTGACGTAAAATGATTAAACGCGCGCGAGTTATAATTTCATAGTTTCACTTTCTGCGTGTTATAACAGCAGAATGAAATCGAGAGAGCGATAGGCAAAACGCACGCCTTATGTGTATTTTCCTTCTAGCTCAAGCACGCATGAATCTCGCAGCAGATTGTGATCTGACAATAAGGTGCGTTTCGTTTTTTTTTCTATTTTGAAACACCTATTGTGATGCACTGCATTTGGGAGTGTGATGGAAAAGTAATATCATGGCCTGATTTTGATTTGACAGCGGTGATGAGAGAATGGACTTTTGATGCTGCGCTGATGACGAAGACAAGAGAGTTCATGATTTCTTATCCTACATTCAATAACCCACATGGCAAAAACGAAAATTAAATACAATAAAATAATGATAAAATGAAATGGCTATAAAATGGGTTTTAATCTAAAAGCAAAAATAATTTTGCACTATCACTGTATGTATTAAAAATTATTTACTTAACAATATTTGATTCAATTTAAATTAAACTGATTTTTTTTTTAGAAAAATTTAAACTAAATTATACACATTTTTTTAGTAACAATTTTAAAAAACAATTGAATACAATTTAGAAATATAATATTTTATTTTTATATATGAATTCAATACGGAAATGAATAACTTAACTGCAATAAATTATTTTCAAATCGAATACATAGTGTAAAATAAATTAAATACATAAAATGATGTATACTATATTTTAATTAACATCAAAAGTAGGTCTGTATAATTTTTGAGTGAGCAACGGAATCTCTTGACTAATTCAACACAATAAATTCTGTGTCCAGCTGCAAATAAGCAAAATTCAGTTATGATCTACTCCAATAAATTTCTCTTTGTTGCGCACACGGTGGATTTAAGTGTATGTGCATTCGTAACTGTCAGTTCCAGAAAGAATTATCATCTCAAGTAAGATATTTCATGTGTCTTTGTGGCTGTATCTCGTTTTTTAATCAACGAGAAAATCCCCGTGACGGTGGTTGCTGGTCGCTCATGGACATCAGAGAGCAGTAACTGTTTTCTCGAAACGCGAGGGGCATGTCTAATGCGATGGACGCAGACGAGCGCCAAATCTTTATGCTTTTGTGTTTGTATGGATAAAAGATAATCAAAAAGAAGAAAGTTGTGCTTTTACGATCAACAACAAAGTAACGAGAGTAAGTGCAGGTTTCCTCAAAGCGTCTCGTAAAGTATTGAAGGAGGCTGCAGGAAGCGTTAGAAGGTTGACAGTAAATTTCTGCAATTGATGTAAAAAAATATTGGCTCAAATTGAAAAACATCCTCTGAAATTTTCATAACATCCTATTTGCACAGTACAAATTGTATTGCAGCTTTTCAAAGAAAGGATTTTTCGTTTGATTTAAGTGATATCAGTTTAAAATAAAATGTAATTTTACTCAGTCGTTTAAAAACCAATCTTGTGCATGCATTGCATAAGAAAGTGAATAAATCCAGATTCCCTTCAAAGCCACAGACCTAAAGAAAACCGCAAAAGCGCACTTCCATTTGACACCTTTTCACATCCCAAGTGCGCGTTATGAAAGAAAAACAGAAACAATATCTCTCGTCTGGCTCATATGGGACTTTGCAGGTCAAACCAACCGAATGCGATAATGCAGTCGAAGGTTTTTAATGGTTGCAGTAGATATTTTTATGCGGTTAATTAAGAACTATATAAGATCAGCCGCGTGTGTGGCATAGGAACGGTGTTGCAAAAATAACAGATCGAATTTTATTGCAGCCCAAAATTAGAAGAAACTTGGTGAAGCGTAAAATTTAATTACCACCTAGTAAATTATATTGGTCGTAAAAAGTTAAAAAGGGTTGCATCAAAATAATGTGCACTCTGAAAATAAAAACAAGCACACGACACATTTCTCGTGCGTAATACGGGCAAAGAGAGTAATTAAAAAAGTGAGTGAAATTTTCGGCACTAGTTCATATAATTGTGCGGGTTTTACTCGTCTAATTTTTAATTTTAAAAATCCTTTCTCCGTGTCGAGTTTGATAATTTCATTTAAAACAAGAAAGCCGCTGCAGAAATTTAAAATGCGGGTCTCGTGCGTTATCGTGGTTTTTGCAACTCAATCAAGATAAAAATATAAACGGACGGAAAACGCTGAGCCATGAGTTCGCATATCAGATGCAGGAATCATAATCTCTCAAAACGGTGCACACTGATATTTCGCAGCAAACGTTGCTGAAATTAAGATTTAGATAGACGAGTGTATTGCGGTATGATTTTGAATTTAGAGTAATTAGGAAAATTTTCAAAGAAGGCCATCCTGATTTGATCAAAGCTTGTTTACGCAATAATTTGTTGTATAATATTAAGTTTTTGAAAGGCTATTAAAATTTAGCCAGTTGAATAATTATGCATGTATTTGTAATTGCTTCTTTGAAAAATGGGCAACAGAAGGGTCGTTGCTATAGAAAATTTTTAAATTCATCTCTGCAATTAAAATTCTTAAATATTAATTTATTAAATTCAAATCCATCAATTTAAAGTAAAATTTAATAATTTTCTCCTCAGATAATTATATTAACTGTTTTTAATGATATGAACATTTGCAATAGTGACAAAATTAATTTTGTAAATATTTAGATGCTTTGTTTAGAAAACATGTAACAAATTAGAAGAAGATGAGCAACGTAGTTGCGAAAATGTTAGGGAAAATTTAGAGCGCCGGCACATGCACAAAGAATGTGAAATGTCAAATAAAATTGTTGCAAATTTTATCCAAATCACCCTTGGTGCACAAAAGGTGAGGCCTTGACACTCCTTTTTACATCCGATTACTTGCTACGACCTTTAATATTATTCCACTTCAATAAGAACAGCCCGGTTACTTTTTAATCTTTATTACGTTTGGATTTATTTTGATATGGAGGGCAATTAGTCCACGTCATTATGATCATAGACCGCAAGACAGGAAGTCAAGGCTGTGAAATCAATCAAACATAAACACACTGCACTTGGTTGCGTTTCTCACATAATTCGCCTCTATTTCTATATTGCGTCAGAGTTAGTTCTAGATATTGTACGTGCTCCTGCTGAGGCGAAATAAGTTATTTGTGGCAGTTTCACAACCGTGTGTGTGCTATGATGGAACTATCGCGCTTGGTGGTGGTGAAAATATTTAGTAAAGGCGGCGAATTAAATTATAAACTGCTGGTTGCATTTAGATTTTGAGATAAAAATGGAAGTTAGGAAGCTTTGTAAACTTTGTAAGCAATAGATAATATAAAAATTAAATACTTCACTTTGTACTTTTCAGTGTACAGAGAATTCCCGGAGATGTATCAATCTGATCAATCACCAATAATGATCACTTAAAGCTAAAATTCTAAATGTTTCATGTGTCAAACAATAATTGAAAACATAGTAGGAATAAGGAAATATTCTCTCAAATTTTAACACAAGGAAATAAATGGAAACTTATATGTATATAAAAAACTTTTAAAAGATTGAAATATTCTACATCAAGTTGGTTATACGTTTATAATTATTTTAACTTTATTAAATAAATAATACGTTAAAAATTCATTTTTATTAAAATTATTATTGACATTTTAAAAATCTGATACTTTTGCTCAAAACTGTGACATAAAGGCGGGAAGTCTATTTTTTTTTATCAGAACATAAAACCAGTATTCTCGATTTTAAAATTAGTACGACTTCCCTGAGGCATCGTTTTTCATTTTTCGCACCCTTTTGTTTCATCGCCGTTCAACGTTTTCACCTCTTTATAATGGTTTTGTGGAGGGTTTTTTTGTCAGCAAAGGGCGTCAGCGTGTTCATAAGGGGAAAACGGTATCACTTTCTCTCAAAGAAGCAGCAGGACCACGTGCGTTTTTATTGTGGTCCCCCTCCGCTGAGCGCGGTCTTTGTTCAGATATCGTACCTGGCGCGAGCGGGAGGAGGACTGGCGGGGCTGACCTTGATTGCACACCCTCACCGCGGCACCGTCAGTTCCTCGTCGGCTCTGAAGCACTCAGGGCACCGCAAGCTTTCGTTCTGCAAAAGATCGCGCCAGACGCTTTGAAACTTTTGCCGGTGCTTCTACTTGTAATATTTTTATTCGAAGACGACAGGCGAACTTCGAAGAACTTGAGAGAGCGAATTTCACCCACAATACCAAGGTGAGTTCAACGATCGGTTTTGCCAGAGTTGTTTTTTTATTTTAATTTTGGCATGATAATATCATTTAAAAAAAGAAGAGACACACTTTTCTGTAACTGTTCAAACGGCGGTGAGAATTTTCAGCAGACGCGTGCGGAATTTTTGATAAGAGTGCGCCGGTCGTAACTGCATTTATTTAAACGCGCGGGAGACAATGAATGGACTTCTGTCGCGACACACTATTATTTTTTGCCAGTTGACATTTTTGCAATAAAAACCGCAACTAAAAGCTTGTGTGTTTTAAAAATATTGTGAATTTTAAAGAAGAATCTTTTTAAAATGCAATTCATAGAAAAAGGGCTACAAATAATCTTTCAAATTAATAGGCAAAATTTTAAAGTCTACATTAAAAAATTAACATTGTTACTCTCTGCGATCTCTAAAATAAAAGTAAATAAAAAAAATGTGCAGCAACATTGCAAATTGACTTAAGTTTTTTTTTATGCAAAGGTTTACAAAATCAAGGGTAAATTCAAAACAATCATGATTGATGCGTTGAAATTCGGCTATTATTTGATAAGGAATTATTGTGTTTTTTGGAGCCGGTGTTTAGTTTCCTGCTTATTGTTAAGTGTATTGTTTTATCTGCAATTAAATACCAGCAGACAAACAAAAAATCTTATCATACAAAAATTTTAGGAAGAGCTAAATTCCAATTAAACAATTATACCCTTTTTCATTACATTTGTTAATTTTTTTTTATCTCGGTCAGATTTCTACCTGAAAAACTAGTTATTATGATATTTTGTATGAACTTACGATCAATGATAATGCATGCAGTCTTCTTTAAAAAAGACGATATTCAAAGGAGGCACAAACAATGGCTTGGACTTTGTAACCTTCATGGGTTTAATTTTAAGACAATTAATAGATGTTCAACTAAAAACCACATAGATCTATATCTAAATTAATAATAAGCTTTGGGAAAGAAATACGGCAGAAAAACTGTATCTTTCTTTCTATTTGGTAAATTCTCTTTTCTAACAGCATGGCAAAATTTAGTTAATATTTCTACGCAAATGAATGTAAATCTTTGAAATAGTTAAAAATGAAATGAAAACTTGTAGGGGGGAATATAAGAGCAGAGAAATTCAAATATTTTTATTTTTACATTTGACTGCTGTTTTGCATTTTGCATGATTTTCATAAAGTTGACACTGAAATGACGCAATCATGCCCAGTAAACAGGCAAATTATACAAAATTGCTCTTTAAAACTTGTTTTTCAACTTCACGTAAACACGCTTCCGCCGCGAGAAATTCAGCGTGCAAAACGATGATATAACAGAAACCGCACGACTCTGCGTGAAATGAGCAAAACGTCAAAACGTAATCGTCGCGTTATTCAAATTTTTCGGTCCGACAAAGCCGGTCTAGCATCAGTGAGCGGAAGAGATAAAACGCACGGCGAGTGCATAGTGCGCAAGCAGGTCATCTGCATCGACGACTTCCTCTCTCTAGCAGGGTCAATAGTATACAAAAGCAAACAGAGCACCAAATCAGATGCGCACCTGCCGCGGCCAATTTTTGTTCCTCCCAAATAATCAAGTGCTAATATCAACACTAGACGTTCTCTTTGACTTTTTTTTACCAGCGATCGTCGCAAAAATAAGAACCACGCCCTTTCGGAGAGCATGCGGAATAGGAGCTTTTGTTGCTAGCCGTCGGCCATTCGCGCCGGATAGTGGGTGAAAGGCGTCGCTCACGGAATATTAAATAATCGGACTTTGCGATGCAGAGCACACGGTGCGCTGGTGTGGCTGATTTACGGAGGAAGTACTGAACAGGGGGACAACTTGTAGACGCTTTTTTGGCTCCGAGCAGGAGAAAGGCTGATTTTTATGCTCGGTGGTTATCGCGCGCGGTTTTACATGGAATTACAGCGGTTCCGTTGTGCCAACATATATCTTATTTGAATAATCAGCGATTAATCGCCGGTGACAGGCTGGCGAGGAATCCAATCAATTTGTGTAGAAATTAAAAGCTTGAATGGTTAAGTGCTGAGAGGATAATTTGTCTATGTTGAGTGTTTGAATACAAATGAACATGACTCATAATATGAGAGGTCATTGACATGGTGCTTTAGGCATGTTAAAAATAATTTGTAGTGCCGTGATAGGTGATGGAATGAAGTTTGTTAGGGGAAAATAAACAATGACAAATGCGGACAAAGAAGAAATAACAATTAATTTTTGACAAGTTCAAGTCTTTTGTTTAGATTTTTTAAATTATTATAAAAATATATACAATTTATTTTAAAAAGGTATGAGTTATCCAAGCAGATTTTTATTTTTTAAATTTAAAATAAAGGCAGCAATTTTAATATGGTACCAAAAATTAAATATTTATAATTTTATATTAGTAAAATAAATGTTTTTCTTTAAGTTAAACTTGCTAAACATTTTGGCTGTTTTTGACTCCATTTATTTATTTTAAATTTTTTTAATCCAACCAGTCTGGCTGCTGTTCCGATCAATTGTCACAGCTCTTAATGCGAAATCAAGCGGAAAAATTCAGCTCTCGTTCCCATGCCGCCCCACGTTGAATCACACCAGGGCAAAGAAACGGAGCCACTGTTGTCCGTCTCGCTCACGGTGCGTGCAGCCTTCCTTTCTTTTTAAGTAAGGAGTTTGTAGAGCTGCCGAGTTTTATTTAAGCCTTATATTGGATTTCATGTATGCAGTGCTCTCTTATTGCATGCCGTAAAACAACACAAGTGTACAGGAAAAGAGATATTTCATGTATTAATCGCGAATCAGGCTTGCACGGATGAAAATCCAATCAATTTGAGTAAATATTTATCCATTTGGGTCAAGCGAGGCACAAGGTCAGGCCAAAATGCACCACGATTATATTGAAAATTACTTGATCCAGCTCTGATCAATTTTTATGCACAGATCGAAGGTTGATCTGCAAATTATATCAGAGATGTGATTTTTAAACATTTCCAACCACAAATTATAAGTGAGACCGCAATTCCAATATCATTACACCGCAGAAAGTGGCATTGTTTCCGATAATTTTCAATCTGCAGTCATAAAAATCCCGTTTTCCCACGACTCACCGATTGGCCCAAAATTCCTAATTAAAAACTGCCAATAAAATTTTAAACGAAACTGTTGTAAATTGGGTCGAGAATCTTTATTGCCCGCACGACAAGGAACATATGGATTTCTTAATTGACTTTATACCTTGGCCCGTGTGCGTACATTAATCATGCGCGTATTTCTTCAACACTTCCTCTCTCGCAATAAAAATTATCCGTTTAATTCAAATCGCATGCAAACGAGAAATTTATGAGCGTGTGGGAAATAGATCGCCGCGTTTTAATTAACAAAAATGAAACAGAAAGTTGGCCGAACGCACTCACTAAACAGCAATTTTGAATTTTGATTGTCATCATTAGAAAATTAAGTGTTTCAGCCCGAGGGCGATTGTTTCAGAAATGCAATAATTCAGAGCACGCCTTAATAGCACATCAGCTAGGGCTCTCAAGTCACGACTTTGGGAAGACGAAAATTGCTTCCATTCAAATCATCCTGACCGCTCAAAATTTCATTGGGCTGCACGTTTGGAAAAATGAAGGATTTTTTGAAAACCTACTTCCCACAACAGTTTAATAAAAACTCGGTTTATTCTTTGTTTACAAGAGAACTCCTTGAAACTTGTCCAACTGCCTCCTTTGTGAGAATAAAAAGTGAAAATTCAGAGACAATTTGAATTGTTACTCAAATAGCTCCTTCGAAAGTCATGCGACTTCTTCTTTCCTGAATGCAGAGCGCTTTTCTTCAACCATCCGTGACAAATAGTTGGTCCCCGAACACGCAAGCTCTTATTTTCTGTTCTGCATCGTGATAATTAAAAATGTGCAGGAATATAATAAAATTATAATAGTTGTGAAAGTAAAACGATTAAAAAAAATTGGAGCTGCATTTTTGTGCAGTGAACAAACAAAAACGAGAGAATGTCAGTCTACGTGATCAGAGTTCTGTGTGCCTTTTTCGTGAAAAATGAAAGGTGGGTGCGAAATCTGAACAGCTGTGGGTCATTATTCGTAAAAGAAACGAGTGGAAACAAGACAAAAAATATAATTGCTTTTTGTTTGGTTACTTTCTCAATACCTCGATTGGAAGTATCAACTGTTCAAATTTTAAGCAAGAAAATATCAGAATAATCATGTGTAATAGATGCATTGTAAATTTAGTAAAAAAATATTATATTTTTGGTTAAAAAAATTTTTGTTTAATATAAAATTGAAGGTGTAAACTCAAAGTTTCGATTTCCACAAAATATAAATAAATACAAATATTTTTAACAAGGACAGCACGCCTTAAAGCCAATGCAAATCTTTTAATTTCCTTTGGTTTTGATAATATTTTTTGCAAATATGATATTAGAGTTCATCAAAAAATCTCTGAATCATTCTTTATGTTACTATCCTTACATATTTATGTATTTTCCACACGGTGTACTTAAGACGATAATTTGACGTCAACATAAGTGTAATTTATACACCAAGTAAGTCAGGGCTGAAATAGAATGCTGGAATTTATTTTTATATTCTGGAGGGCGTTGCATGAAATATTCATAAAAAGTGATTCGCATTGCAAAATGAGACAACAGTGACAAAGTTCGCCGCCTAATTTTTCGATGCCATTATATTGTTCTCGGCGAAAATTCACTTGAGTGTGACTTCGAGGTCAGCGTTTCAGGTCAGGCATTAATGGCATTATGCATCAGGCGAACTAAATCCAAACTACACGTATTATTTGTATAATAGACAAAATATCCTGGCGCTTCAAACACAATGCTTCATAGCTTGCAAATAAAATCACGCGACGGGAGCAGATCATGAACGGATGCACGCCGACTGCGCTGATTGTACTCAAGATGATGAGAGTCTAATTGCATGCATGCGCTGCAGGGTGATTACGTCCTGTACCGCGGTTTGTTATTATATAAATCATTTGTCACAAGAAAGAAACACAAAGAGATAAGAGATGGCAAGGTTAGAAAGAGACACTACGATTTTTATCAACTTAAAGAAAAACACGTAAATTACCAGATTTGAAATTTATGGGGTTAAGAACCGACAAAATTGTGCATTTGTTGAGGTTTTGTTGAGTTTAAAGTACGCAAAATCTCTACAAAGAGGATGCCGCTGTAGTTTCATTTTTATAAAATTATATATATCGGCTCAACATAATTTTTGCAAAAGTCATAATTATTCATTTTCCAGAAATTTCTTTAGTATTAAAAAATTGTAAGCCGACTTTCATAAAAATGATTAATATATTTAGGAACATGGATGTTATTATAAATAAATAAATATAGGTAAATCTACCTTTTAATTAAAATATGCAAGAACTGGACATTTTTTATTCTTAGCATTATTACCGCCAGATTGCAGCAATAAAATTTGTATGTAATAAAATCAGAACGTTTGGAATTTTAAGTCCGCACGTGATTGGATTCTCGCACGTTCCGTGCTTTAATACACACTAAAATCGATTGGTTTACGACCGCGTTTGAAGACGTACCCCGCGGTTGGCTAATGCAATTAGCATTTCTGTTGATTCCGACAAAAGGGGACGTAAAATGTTTCCTCGCAAACACGCGCCAATTCGAATACAAATCGACTCAAACAATGAAAACATCCTGTTGCAATCAACACATACCCGTCGAATTTGAATAAATATTTTATTATATATTTCTCATCTCAGACGCTGGCTGGGGTTACCGACTGAATTTTAAGTTGCTTGCCGTCATTTTGGCAACAGCGACGCAGCTTTCTTGGAGCTTTCTATTTGGAAGCCAAAAAGTTCTATGTGTGCACACACACACATTACTCTAGTTAATATTCGCGCTGCGTGAATAGCCGTCTCGTCGTGCGTAATGAATGGGCCTCCTTGTCTTTGGCTGAATTGTGAGCCAACGGTGCTCACTAGCGAGCGAGCGAGCTGGAATAATAGAATAACGCGAGAATGCGGCGAAGGAGGAAAGAAAGTTCGCAGTTGGTTTTAGTTGATAGACGCGCGCGAGAGGCGAAATTAATGCATTTCACCTGCGGCTCAGTGGAAGTGGCGAATTGTCTTTCTGTCGGTGAAAAATATAATTGACAGCTCGTTTTCTCTAAAAATACAGGAATCACAACCTCAAATTAGAGGATCAGTTATGCTATCACTATACTTGAATGAAAATTTGTAATTTGGACGTACTTAGTAAAAGAGGAAAAAATTTACCGTGATGCAATGGAAGTTGTAAAAAACAATAATTTAATAAAGCATAAACTAAAAAAAAAAAACAATTTTTATTGCTAAATCTAAAAATTAACAAGATACATAAAAAAATTGAAGTACAAGTATTATTAAAAAATAACAAATATTTAATTTAGTATTTATTTTTTTGTAAATTTTCACTAATATTATATTATTTTAATAAACTTATATTTTCTTCGTCATTTTAATTTCAAATAATTATTTCGATAATTAAAATATTTTCTATTTACTTTGGCTTGATGAAATAAAATTAGTTACTTAATTATGGTATACATCACTTATAAGGATTACACAGGTCGTGTAATTCTTGTCTTGAATATTCTCACTATAATTTATTTTTGTTAAAATTCTTTAAAAGATTATTATACTGCATCATCAATTATGATGAAAAATTGGATTATTTATTTGCCTCAAGCATCACTATATAAAGCCAACGCCTCATTTCGTTTTTTTTTTTGTCTGAACTTATTTTCTTTCATTTGTACTTGAACCTAATTATCTCTGCGCATACAAGAAGAAGTAAAAGTTTGGCGGTGCAGCTGCTGCCGGACAGACCTTGTACGCTTGATCTGTGTGCATTGCATTTGGTGGAACTACACAGCAGCCTTCCTTTATTCCTTAGCTGCATGTAAACGACACTCTCTTTTCCGACTGTGACGCACAGTTTCAGTAAATAACGAGTTTAACAAACTGCTTGTATTTTAATTTCACCGACGCATTGTTTCGTTTGTTATGTTCTCCCCGAGCTCCAGTTTCAGACAGAGCGAGTTATTATATTGTCCGAAGCTGCAGCTTTTATTTCCCATGCACGCGCGCTCTTGCTCAGGATGCATTTTTTTTCTCTACTTCTCGCAATGCACTTTCCCATAATTCACTTTTCACCGCGGCTGACCGCATGTATAACTTTCTGATTAATCAACCGCTATAATTGTTCCATATTTTTTTTTTTGCGTTTCTCAATTTTTGAGTTGAGCAACAACAGCGCGGCCCAAAAAGGTTCTGATGGGGTCACAGGGGTCGGGCAGATATATTATTTTATATTGTTTGCTTGCTTTGACTGAAGGAAGTCGGCAAGTGGGAGGCCTGCAGTGATTTATCCACCTTTGTGGTGTAGGTTTGAAAGGGCAGACTTGGTAACCAGGCAGCACCACCCACAATCTCAAGGTCCGCCGAGAAACACATCCGAGAAAGGATGTGGATCGCCACCGTGAGCCTCTTACAAAAGAATTTAATTAACGCAGAACAAATAATACATGAAGTGCCGAGAAATTGCAAAATTTCGGCAGGAAATACACTCGGCGTGTCGCCTGATTTGCATGCCTCCGCGTGTGTGGATTTGTGTCAGAATTCAGCACGACTCCATAATTCTGATAAGTCGCACATAAAATTATCACTGCCTGACCCGCAACCCACATTTTTTTGGCGCACCGAGTGTTTCCTGGGAAGGATTTAATAATTTTTATTTTATATGAATATTTTTCATCATTTTTTTCATCTCTTCAATAGTTTTTGTTGCTTAATATTTTGAGATTACCAGTAGTAATCTGACGGATGCTGAGCGAGTGTTTGCTCTCGTCAAGGAGCGACCGTAACTTTCACTATCGCTGGACCATTTATTTATATATGACTGGTGTAGCTGCGCTTGGAGAGCATTTTTTATTCCCGCCATAATCAATCCAAGCAGAAAGGAATTAAGTGCTTGGCGGTTCGTAATAATGGAAAAGGCACGCCTTGACAGGTCGTGGCCGATAATAAAGTGGAATTTGCATAATAATGATGGGCTGAGTCGCGCGATAATTTGAGAAAATCGTCTGTTAATGACTTACTTATCTAGGCGATTGTGCTGAGCACACCCTGTTTATATATAAAATTTCACAGAATTAATCACTCGGAGGTGACATGCTGGAATAACCTTTGCTGGCCTTATACGAAAATAATGATAGAGTAGAACAACCATCAAATTAAATTATTTATACGATTTCTAAAATTAGATTAGATTAGAGTATTTATTAAACACACTGGGGGTACAACGATTTTTAAAATAATTTATGATATTTCCCAATTCCATCAACTTCAAAATGATCTAAGGAACTCTTCAATAAAATGAAATAATTAAATTAATGAATAATGAGTTTGCTTAACGGATCATATGGTTTTGAAATGTTCTTTTATCATATTTATTGATCAATTTTTAACACTCAATAGCTGTGTCACTTGCATCATTACTGAACAAGCGACTTCTTCTTTTAATACCATTTTAACCTCCAAAAGAACTGAACTTTAAAATAAAAATTAATCTTAATTTACAAAAATATAACTAATCAATAAATTAATTCACATTATATTAAATTTTTAAGATCTGAAATATTCAAAATCTTTAATTTTATTTTCCAGATGTGGCTGACGCAAGTCCTGGCATTGGTCCTGGCGCTTTTCCTGACAGCCGAAGCGTCAACGACTGTTCTTCCCCGCCCTCCAAATTACATGCATTTGCCGATCAACTTTGAAGAAACCACCCCTTCCTACGTAATTGGCGTGCCAGTCAACGGACTGGAACTGACCGCCGCCACCCCCAGCCACCAACCGAGGCAGATTCCTCCCCCGCCCGCCCCCAGACACACTAGGATGACCACCCCAGGGTACCAGGTGGCGCCGCCGCACTTCCGGCTCCTCTGGGCCGAGCTTGACGACAACATCCCGCAACACACCCCTCAACCCTTCCTGCAACCGACGCAACCGTTCCGTCGCTTCCACGTGTGAAGACACAAAAAGTGGCTGAAGAAACAGACTTTATGCCTTTAATTTATCACAGACCCACCACGTGTTTAATTACCCAGTGCACCGCTCTAGTGAATTTAACATATTTTTAACCCTTAAATTTTTATCTGACTGCAACGAATTCTGTATTTTTCTATAGTGAGTGAAATCTATTGTGAATGGTTATGAATGGATAGATCTTAGTTTTAAGTTTCGTAGTTTGTAAATTGACAGCTCCTTGAGTAATAAATTCCTGGCTGAGATGTAAATAGCTCAATTGTTACTAGAAAACTTCATAAAATTAAACTCCCATGTTATATCCTGAATGATTTCAATGACTTTATGATTAAAATTTTAAAATCAAGGGTGGAGCTATTTATTAGCTTTTAAAGTATCTGCTGGAGCACAATAAATTTTTGCATTGAATCGTCCTAAAATTTGGAATTTTTTATGCTAAAAGATCTTTTAAAATTATAAGCAAGATACAATTTGTTTTAATCTGTTGCAATCAATCAGGATCTTATTTAGGGAATTTTTATTTTCTGAAACGTTTTCCAACCCCATAAATCCTGAAAATTGGGTTCGAATTTTATTTTTATAAATTGTCCTACCTGCTCAGCTTTCAGGGTGAGCTCGATGAAGATCTGCTGGAGCTTCTCATTGACGAAGTTGATGCAGAATTGTTCAAATCCGTTGCACTCAAAGATCTCGAACCCATAAATGTCCAAAATCCCAGTGTTATTGCTGACAATGTTGGTAACCATTGCGCTGTTGACGCTCTGCAATCAAGAGTGGAGCATGACTGTGATTGCAAATAAAAGCACAAGAAAAAGCATTTGTCATCAAATTGTTTTTTTTTTCTTTCTCATACCTTGACTAGGTAATCGAAGAGTCGAGCGTAAATTCCCTTTGCGAGCGCATCTCTTGCATAGAGCGCTTGCTCTTTGTTCAGGGTGACGTCGATTTTGTCCGACTTTCCACCCCATTTGCTGTCAAAGAGACGACTTGTAAGTTTGGTGCTCAGTTGGGACGAATCGATATCAAGAAGATAGGAAGGAAACTGCAACTCTGTAACAAGATAAGAAGCACACTTTTATGGTTTCGCCACGCCAAAGCAAAACAAACATTTTGCAATAATAATAATACAACACCTATGTTGTGGCATAAAAAAAACACAAACCTTCTTGGCTTTCGATGACAGCGTTATTTCCATGTTCTTTGAAGGAGATGTTTCCGAGGTGCAGAACGCCTGCTGTCAGTTTCAGAATGTTTGATTGGTCCGTGCTGGAAATCCCCATCACATTCATGGCTGTTGAATTTTACAATGTGAAAAATTACTTTTGAATGCAAATTAAATTAATTCTACCTTGCAAGGTTTCCTGGAAGTCATGGGCATCATTTGTGCCATCAACCCTGTGGTTGTTTCCTCCGTGGCAGAGGTACTTGTAATAGTCCAGTTCAGCGATACCAAGATTTTCTAAAGAATAATTTTTATTCAAACATAAAATTATTAAAAAAGAAAAACAAACGTTTCATTTCTGCAGTAGCGCCTGTACAAATTTGGTAAAAAATGTGGAAGTTTCTCTCACTCTTGTTTTGGGAAACTACTCGAGATTTTTCTAGCAAAAAGTTTGAAATTTTTCCTCCCTCAGGTTGGCCGCCAGTACCAAACTGAATTTCAACATATTTTCCCTGTAAGTTTATTGAGAAGAAATTAGAACAAACAACAATTCAGTTTGAAATTGTTACAAATCTGCTGGAGTTGTTGTTGCGGACAGTTTTTGCATTGCCGAATGCCTCAAGCAAAGGGTTAGACTCGAGAATGACGTCCTTGATGTGCTGAACCCTAGTTCCTCCACCTGAGACTCTTGCGATGTACGACATGATGTATTTAGCAGCCACGGTCTTGCCAGCACCCGATTCACCACTGAAATATATCATTTAAAGATTTTACTGTTATAAATATTTATAATGAAAAATTCTTAATTTAACATTAAAAACTGTAATAACAACTCAAAAAAAGGATCAAGACAAAAAATTTTAAATTAAAATTTTTAACTTTTCATATCAAATATTATTATTTGTAAGTACAAATAAAAATGAAAATTACACTTAGCAAGAAATTTTAAGTTTTGTTATAATTTAGATTCATATTTTAACTAATTAATTTACTAATTCAATATCGAGTGGAAATTTACCTGATGATGACACAGTGGTTTTCATTGTCAATCATCATATTCCTGTACATTTCATCAGCCAGGGCGTACACATGTGGTGGGTTTTCGTAGGGAGCCTTGACAAAAACAATGTAATTAAAAAATTAGTGGGCCTAATACAAAGCATTGTGCTCACTGCGCCCTGGTATAATTGAATTTCTCTTTCTCCAAAATAAAGCATCTGTTTGAATGGGTTGACCGAGACAAGTACAGGGCCAATGCAAGTCTGCATTAAAACTGGTTAGGGAAAACCGTCAATGAAGTTAATTTTTTCATTAAATAGAAAGCAAATATTTTATACCTTTTTTCTTACATTGAATTATATAATCTTTTAAAAAAGTTGAATAAAATTGTGTATTTTTCCCTCGATTGATGGAATTTTTAATTCAATTTAATGTAAAATAATTGGCTTTATTTATAGTGAATTTTTAAAGGATTTCCTTTGATAAGCGTCAAGTGCACTTTGCTGCACAATATATAAGCAATTATAGCTTGCAGATGTGACGCAAATTGGAATAAAAATATAATACAAGGCAGCCGAGAGTAAAAGCTCTATAGCTGTTTGACGTAGCCCAAAACAAAAACCGCACATGTGTTCAGACAAACAAGGAAGTGGTGAAGCAGGTTGAATAAAAAGGATACAAATATGTAGTCGTCCATATATCTCTTCTTGAGGTTGTCAACGATGGCATCCTCGGAAATCTTGGGTAACAACACCATGTCATCCACTCCGGAGAGCTTGACATTTTGCGATTGCCAGTGGTAGACCTAGATAATTTAAAATAAGAGGAAAAACGTAAATAAAACCTAATGTCACTATAATAAAGGAAGCAAAAGTTTGAGAGGAAAAGACGGAGGGAAATTTCCGAGGATATTAAAAAAAAACCTTAAATAAATATGTGCATGTAATTTTTAAAATTAATATTGACAATGAGGTACGACATATTGTCACTTTTTTCCTCTAAACCACCTAATAATTTTGTAATAATATTTATGTGGCAATAAAATTTATAGTTTTTCTAGTCTTGCGGTTTTATAGCATCTAGAAGTTTTGAAACAATACATTCAAACATTTTTGATACGGATTTAATAACAAGCGATGAGACTTGCGAAATTTCTCACGGGCTCACTGAACCATCAACTTAGAAGTTTGTTGCAACCGCGTATTAAAAGGGTATGACGAGAGCTCAAACCGCCGTTATAAATATAAACCGATTCGCTCACTATTATAAAAAATTAACAGGCTGATAACAAAAATTACTTGAAAGAGAATTTTTAGAATCAAAATATCCATACCATTTTTGTGAATCCACTGCAAATTATTTAAGGAACAACGTGTTGGATTCGCCGGTGGTCAAAACAAAAACAGACACTTGAGGTGCATCGGAGTCGTGTGTGTTGTTTTGTTATCTGTCGCTGCACCTGTGCACACCTGACTGGATCCGTTGCTCGGCGTGCGCGAGTGAATCAGGAGCGCGATTCGCAGCAATTGCTCGGCGCCTACTCAGCACCTCAGCGCGCGGCACCGCTCGGGAATCGCAGACAGCTCATTCTGTCCTTCTCCCCGCGGTCCCAATAAGGAATTCCCTTTGAAAGCAGTTCGGTGACGTCACTGGCAATGCTAATAAAGTGACTCACTTGGGAGCGGCAACGCGAGATGTGCTCCTCCGACTCGCGACCCCACACTCGAATGAATTAAATATTTTTTGTAAGCACTCGCGAGGGCGCTCTTTGTCAACAGGTTGTTGAATGCGGGCACCATCTGACGGCCACCGCAGCTCCTAATGACAAAATTCGTAGGCAACTGGCACGACCTGCATGATGAGCGTATTGCATATATTGTGAATTTCAGTTAAATAAAGACAATCATCACAATATTATGATTTACTTTATTTGGTAAGTCTACAGGAACACAACATTGAAAAGTCAAATAACAAAGAAAAATGGCACTTGTAACAATTTGCATTATTTTCGTATGTACAATTAGGTAAATTAAAATCACAATATTGAGAAATATTAAATTTATTTTAAATAGTTTTTATTATTTTTTAAGTTTTCGGATAATCAATTGAACTTAAAATATGCCTTGAGTTCATGAATTGACTTTATAAACGCTGAAAATTAAATTTTTAGAAAGTTTTATTGTAAAATTAAGAATTTTTTTATAATTTTCATTTTTTTTCGTCATGAAAATGTTTCAGTTGCTGCTTGCAAGAATGCTGAAATATTTATTTTCATTAATTGTAATTTTAAAGTTCCCAGTAAAATCCTATTGTTGGGTTGATAAAAATTTAATTGTTGAAGATGCCAATAACGCATCAGAACGCGGTTGATGCGCTGAAAAAATGTGTCTCCGGATTCATAATAGGAACTTTGCTCGCCGCAGGCTTTTATCATGGAATCCTCGTCGACCTCGGCATCAGCCACGAAGTCTTGCAGCCGTATGGAATCTCACTGGGAGTGATTTTCGGCGTCGCTTGTGCACTTTCAGAGAGGGTGCAGTGCGTGGGCCTCATCTGCGCAACGCTGTTCTGCTCTAGAAACGGGCGGCGGACTTTGCAAGCTATGCTTTTTGCTCTTCTCATCACAGGTCAGATTTATTGTAATTTTATAAAATATTCAGGAATGTAAATTAATTAATTCAGGACCTGGTAACAACATGATTTCCAATACCAAAGAAGCAGTGAGAACCTTCGGATGCGCTGCAGAGCTGGCTTTCAACATCAGCAAAGACTACGCTTATCTCACAGTGACGCCCTTCACCACGGCCATCCTGCAGATGGACCACCAGAAGAGTGCCGATTCCGTTGCCCACGCCGTATCCTCAGTTCATAGGCAAATCGCGCCCATCACAGAAGCCGTTGACATACCTCTGGATGATAATTTTTCTATTCCTGATGACGAGGTAATTGAAAAAAATGTTGGATAATTAAACTTTATTTTAATACAATATTCAGGATGACGAATATGTGGAAAAAGTTATGTCCGTCCACAAAAAGTACAAAATCGATCCGGATGTGGACACTGATGGTGAAATCATAGAGAAGAATTTTATGAAAAAGGTGGAGCTGAAGTGTGTAAACGCCATCAAGAACAGCAGTCTCAACTGCAAGCAAATCTTTGAGAACAAGTATGACGAGTGCGTGGAAAAGGTGTCACCTTTGGTTTCCTGGCTGATGTGCTGGCCAATGAAAGTTGACTACGTCTGCGACCTGCCGTGGCTGGTGGTCGGGAAGGCGCCCTGCGACGCGAGCACAAACATCAATCGCGGCTACGGCTCGGCGTTCAACGCCCTCAAAAGCTCTGATCTGAAAACCACCCTGGGGAAGGCCAAGTTCAGGTACAAGTTGCCCGACCCTGATTTGCGAGAGGAGGTGCACGACGTGACCTCGTCAGCCAAGACCATCGAGGCCGAAGTTAAAGCAAAGGCCGAGGGCGCCGAGGTGCTGCTCGGTCTGCTGTCCAAGGCAGTCGCCCTGATGTTCCTGCCAACCATCCTTGAGTCTGTCAAGTACGTCAACAACTACCTGCACCGCCCAAGTTATGACAACGTTTTTATCACCAAAGATTTTGAGGCTTTGGATCTTAAAAGGGCAAGCAAGGGTCACGAGCCCGTTCTGATGCCCTTGCGAAGGATGGAAAAACGAAACCTGGTCCTCACCTCCACACCCCTGCCAAACGGACCTGAAACTAAACACTACCTTGCGCCCTATTTTCGGATAGTTTTGCTGTTATTCATCGTCCTGGTTGTTTTGTCCACTGACTACCTCTACTTCCGGACCCTTCAGGTTGTGGCCACCCACGGAAGGTTCGACATGACCCTGACAGGAAATCACACCATTCACATCAAGGTGACCGGCTCTGGGTTTGTGGCCAAGCTGGTGCGGTCATTGACCAAGAATTTCAACAACGACGCCTTCGTCAATCACACCCTGAGCAACGAGCACTGCCTGCCACATCCGAACAGCCTGCAGACCTACTACTATGTCAAAATTTTAGCACTGTTCCTTTTGATGGTTTTGTTCGTCGTCGCAGACCACTTGCCCAAGAGGGCCAGGAAACTGATCTGCGCGTGGTACTATCCGAAAAGAGAGAAGCAGCGAATTGTGTTTTTGTACAACAAGCTGCTCAAGGCCAGGCTGCAGTGGAGGGATATTGCAAGTCGGAGGGTGGACACCAGCTTGGAACAGTTGCGGTCAGAAGAAAAGTTAAACAAGACTAATATGAAAGTTTTGAACTTTTTCAAGTCAATCAGAGTGAAATTTTGGAACGTGCGGCGGTGCATTCTGTGCAGTACAGAAGAAGTTCGTGGAGAAAAGTTTGTAAGGTGCCAGAGCTGCACACACAAATTGTACTATTGCTTAATTTGTTGGAAAGATATTAATTGTAAATGTTTGATTTGCTTTGTTAAAACAGATGTTGCTTCAATTTGATTAATTCAGATTAATTTTTATTGAGAAAATTTTAGTAGATCTTATAAATTATAGGAAAGAATCAAAAGGTTTCAATAAAGCCAAGTAATTTGCGGTGGATGCAACATTTGTCTCTCACCTTGGCCAGGATGTTGAAGTTGCATGTGACGTTAAAAAAGGCAAGAAATTTGAACCATCTCCAATATTGTTTTCTTAAAAACTGTCTTGTGAAAAGCTGCGTTTTCCTGGGCAACCGATCTTTTGTGGATGATCTGCCATAATCTTAAAAAAATGACTTGAGTCTGGAAAATAGATGGTGATTCTTAGTACATGCGAGCAAAAATTTAATTGCTGTTGAAGTATAATTTTTATACCTAATAATTTGGTGATGAATTCCTTTTCGAGAACAGCATAAATCTTGGTTAGGTTCGTGACCTCAAATAGCGTTTGAGTGTAATGCAACATAAACAATGACAAATTGTTAGGGAGGTTAAAATAGAAGTTACTTCATATTGAAAAGAAAATACACATCAAAGATTCGTCTAGGGTTTTAAGCTTTTTACAATTAGTTTAATTAACTAATTTTTAATTATAACTTTGAAAATTCAGAAATTAAAGAAAGTCTATGAACTTAAAAAATGAAAATTTACTTTATTTGGTAATTAGTTATATTTCCAAATCATCGTCAGGATCTTCTTCGTCCCACTCGTCATCATCTTCAGGCTCATACTCTATCTTCCCATGTCCTCTTGGAGGAAGACCATCACTAAAATCATTATTTTTCATGTTAATGTAAAAAAAAATTGAAATTTATCAATACATACAGAGTCATTCTCTGGTAAGGAAGGACTAAATTCTCCCTGGCCTTCTGCTCTTCGGAATTAAGGCTGTGTCGGAATGTTGAAAATGAATCATGTATTGGTTGAGAAACAGCATCTGCTGGCTGAGGCTTTTCATCTTTTTCTTGTACTAATGGCAAGATTTTCAGCTTTCCGTTGGCCTCTTGATAAAATATTCTTTTCTATATAAATTTAAAAAAATTTGATGACAAATAAGTTAATTTAATTTATTATTTTACATCTGTGAAAAATTTCCCATTTGTTTTGTAATGCTCGAGACTAAAAGTGGGGTACTTTTGTCGTCCAATGGGTGGCTCCACAGAAATGAACGTTGAAAAACAAGACCTTAAAAATTTAATATCCCTTGGATCAGATATGTCTTGGTGCAAGTGACAAACAAGCTGGAGAACATCGTCTGGAAAAATTGAGAAAATACTAAGTGTTTTTAATATCACATCTAAACAAGACCCATCTTATAAGAGCCAAGAATAATTACCATTGTTGATGATGTTGTGAAGTTGTTTATACAAATCTTCAACATCAAATTTCAGAAGCGCAGAGGACAAAGAGTGAATGACCACCGACACTTTTCCTTCTGCAGGCAAGAAGCAGGCTAGGCTAATTTGTTCAGCACCAGAGTTGATCCACGATTCTTTGTTTGGTAAGACTTTTCTGCAAGTCACATTGGAAAAGTGCACAAATGGGCTTTGTGTTTCATCAAAGATCAGAGCCACGACTTTCGTGCCATTTTTGGAAAACTTCTGCATAAATCCTCCAAGAATCTGGTCACCCCTGAAGTTTGCAGAATCTATAAATTACAAGGAGTATTCAAGATGAGATAGAGAATTTTAGTGGTTTTACATACCGCTTATTAAAACAGAACGACTTGATGTCACACCTGACAAAATCTCTTTCAACACAGACATTGTAAATATGTATGTAATGCAACTTTAAACTTTAGGTTTTGATGAGAGATGAAAAGGAGAGAGCCCACAATTATTATAATCCGAATCTTCGGGTTGTATTATGCACTTTCTCTGAATAAAAACAATAAAAACACAAGAAATGTGAAACGTGCTTTGCTTCTGCTTCTTCAAATCAAACCAACACAACAAAACAAAACGAAATAAGGGTAAAGGGGGCGTGGCGCGTACACTCCCCTCTGCCGCTCTGTAGAGCAAAGCAGTCGTTTCTTTTCGTCGCACCACCGCCCGCCTCTCAACTCAATCTCAATATAGTTTTTTTTTGAAGTGGGTTAAAAACACCGGGACCCGGTGTGATGCTGGCGTCAGTATGTTATTTTCACCGGGAAAAAAAACGACCAATTATTGCAATGCCAAAACCGTCTCTCCATTACCGGTTGAGAATCGCAACCGGTACTGAAACACGGAACGATAAATACCAATAAATTTCACTACCTTTATAAGCGGCAGCAGTGTAGCGGTAACGCACCCGCTTCCAGAATGAATATCAGGAGGTTCAAATCCATGTCTTGCAATACTTTTTTACATTTTTTTTTTTAGATTTAGAACCAAACCGAAAATATATATTCATGAAAATTCCATATTTTAATTCAAATTATGTATAAATATTCCTTTTTTTTAATTTCACCAACAAGCATGCAGACGGAATTGTAGGCACCCCACGATCCGGCAACTCGGAGTTGGGCAACCCCCAAGATTAATTTTTGCAGAAGCCGCGAGCGAGGGGTGGAGGCGCAGCAAGGTCGAGGACGTGGGGAAGGCCGTGCGCAGGGCGAGGACAAAAGGGCGGCCGTGTTCGTGGGGGGGCTCCGCAGGAGCCCCCCCACGATCCCCGCCCTTTTGTCCCGCCCGGAGCCGGCCTTCACCACGTTCTCGGGCGAGCGCGCCTCCAGCCCGAAGCTCGCAAACCCACAACGGAGTTGCCTACAAAAGGTGTTGTCTACGATCGGTGAAATGCGCGCACACGAAATTAAAGGGAAAAATTTATTGAAGAATTAATATTAAACAATAAAGCCCTTGTAACGTTTGCGGTTCTCAATGTTGAACGGTTATCGGTATTGCATTTTGGTTAAAAACCGCCTCTACTTTTTCCCGGTGTAAATAACATATTGACAACTTTTTTCCACACCGGATCCCGGTGTTTATAACATATTGACGTCATTTTCACACCGGGTCCCGGTGTTTTTAACCCCGTTCTTTTTTTTTTTATACGCATCAACTTGCAAAATAATTTACCGCGGCGGCCGAGTCTCTTTTGGAGTCGGACGTAGTAGCATTCATCTTTCAGTTGTAAACTCTTTCTTCTCTTTATTTTCCAATTTAAAATTTTTGTGTTGACCAAGAAGAATAAAATAATAAAAAAAAAATGATACCTTTTAAAATGAATTAAGAGAAGTTGAACAAAAATTAAATATTATCGTTAAAATTAATAATTTAATTGAATATAAAATAAAAAATTAAATTATAATATTATTTTACTATAAATAAATTATGTATTATGTTGCTAAGTTATTAATCATCTCGAGAGAAATTTCAAATTACCCATTTGTAATGATTTTGAATGCACATTGTACAGTCAATAAATGTGCAAAATTTTTTTGTATATGAAAAATAATCCTCATTTTAGGAATGCTGCAATAATTATGCTATGATGCTCCTCAAGTAAGTAACGCGCAATGATAAATTGAAAAAAAAATCAATCATGATATCACTGGTGAAAATTGTTGAAATATTATAATTTTTTTTATCTCCTCGCAAAAATATAAGACTTTTTTACTATTATAATTTAAAGGGCCGTAAACTTCATTACATAACAACACTTTCTGGCAACGCCCCAATTTTTTTTGGCACATGCTTTTTATTGCTTTACATAAATTTGCTTGAATAAACCCATTTTTTTCGAGTTCCTCTATTTGGAGTTTCCAGTGTTTGAAAACAGCTTTAGTGAGGGGTTCAACGCCCGCATGCATTTGTTTGCGGTGCGATTATACAATATAAATTGCGACAGCCCTCAGAACTGACAAGTAAACGGAGAACGAGGAGGATGTTGAGGCAGGTGCATTTTCAAATTATAACAAGGCTTACAATAGGATCATAGCTTCGCTGGTCGATTAGCGCCAAGTGCGTGAGAACTGAGAATACTAAATATAATATGCTATAAAAATTTAATTGTAGATTAATAACCAAAAAAATCAAGTAATTATATTTGGAAATTAAAATTATTTTGATTCAAAATTTCAAATTTTTTATTATTTTGTAAAAATGATTTTTTTTTTAATCGTTTTGTTGTTTCAAAAATCACTTTTAATTAACAAAGTTGGATATATTTATTAATTTCCTCCTATTAAAAAGGTTAAAACGTTTTTTATAGAACATACACACCTCTTACATATTGTTTTATTTTGAAGAGTTTACGTGTAATAAGTTTATAATTTTATTTCTTTTAATCATGTAAAAATGTATGTCTAACCAACTGATGCGACAATAGGATCACGGTACACCTCAACCATATATCCTCTTTAGCTCTTGAGGGACCAACAGGCGAAATTTGGCATGCAAAACGGGTAACAAAGCGGTCAGCCGGCAGAAAAGCGGCGCCGGGTCGAAGGTTTGGCGCTGCGCGAGGGGTACCGCTGACGTCACTGACCACATTGGAGGCTCGTTTCGCCGAGGAGGCGGCGTGTTGAGATCGGGTCGATAGAGCCTCCGCAGTGCCGCGTTAGACGCCGACGAAAACGGTGTGTCCATCGAGCTCACGCGGCCCAACACCACCAACTTTTGCAGTTATGGTGGTGGCGCGGGGCTGAACACGATCAGCACCAACGACGAAGCTCACCTTTGATTTCGGCCGCCGCGAAAAAATGCTCAGCCAATTTTCTTCTCTGTTTGGCACGTTGTTGTTTGAGGAACCTTGCCGGAAAAGTTCCAAGACCTCATGGGTGAGTATTTTTTTTTTTTTTATAATTTTTATCTCCTAGTTTAGTTAAAAATTTTTAGATTAAGAATTACATGAATCCAGCTCTCCTAAAGTATTTGAAAAAATATGTTTTTTAACATGCATTGAATCATACTTATAGAGGCGACTTTATTTTGAAAGATTATTAATTTGATAGTTTTTGGTATTTACCTCATTTGCCTAATATCAATTCCATTTTTTTTTGTGTAGTGAAAAAGTAAAATCTCGTCAATCCCGTGCCATTGTGTAATTTATTCACCTCAAATCAGTTTTTTTAGGCCAAAAAAGTAGCAAAGAGCAGTTTTTGACGATATTAATTTCTGTCAACGCCACACTGCGAAAATTGCGTTTTCTTGTAGATAGTGCGGCCACTTTTTTAAATTAAAAGATGGTATTTTTCTTGCGGAAATTATAATCTTACTGGAGGGTCAAACCGGCTTTGAGTGGCAAATTTGCTGGTGTAATTTCAGCCTGTCTGGGCCTCAAAAGGAGCGGAAATTTTTCAGCTACTACAGCAAAATGTGTATTAAAATTGATGGCCAAGTTTTGAATTTTTTTGCTCTTTCGTGCAAAGAGAAGTAGAATGGCAAAGGGCGCAAAAAGTGCGTGCCAACAAAGAGCACACGGCCGCGGTGTAATTGAAATTAGCCCCGCGTGTTTCACGGCACCCTCGCAAAAACGTTATCGCCTTTTTTCAGGAATTGTGGCTCTAATATTCGGTATTAACTTTTTACATCTTTAAACGCAAACACAAGATTTCAGAGTCATAATCCTGCACAGACACCACCAAATCAAATAAAAGCCTTCAAAATGTTATCTTGCGACTTTTTTAAACAAGATATCGCCAGTGGTTTTTGTTTACAAACGATAAAAAATATCCGGCTCTTTCTTAGCTAATAAAAAAGTAGCAACACACTTGCCATACCACAATCTAATGTGGTTATTTTTTTCCACTTTTATAAAATGCAAATTTGCTTCACGCTCGTTACAGAATGGCCGAGTTAATTATTTCCCATACAAGCCTTAAATAATTTATCATGTCCTCCCGCCTGAAAAAACATTTTGTACCTGTGCAGTATTGCTTTGTCCACACTTTCCACGGTAAAATGAGCTTTTCCAGGCGGAAAACAGAAACCTTGCTGACCAGTCCAGAAACGAGCAAAATAAATTTTTTTTCTAATCACGTTTCCGCCACCAGAGAACTTTTGATGTTTGATATAATTGGAGAGAATGGTGATCATTTTTTTTTTCTTTTTAACTGGAAACAAAACAAGACCAATTTGATTAACTTCGTCACTGGCCTTGTTTTCAAGGAGTGCTGCGAAGCGGTATTAATTATTGCTCACCGCGGGTTGAACAGAGCTGGAAAACTGGTTGCTTTATTAAATCAAAAATTGCTCCTGTGCACACGGTTCAGGACAACAGGCCTTGCTCTGGATTGCATTATTTTCAAGTGAGCAATTCGTTTAAAGTAATATTTTTTCTAACGATCCGTCAACTCATTTTTTTTAATTCGTGGTTAACAAGTTAGTAGAATTGCGTTTTACGCCTTATAAGAAAATTTCTCCTTGCCCTGACCGTGTGGCTTTATCACAACTCATTCCAGCAAGCTATTAGCATAAACAATGTCTCTGTTCCCCCTAATTGTAAGTAGTGCATGACGGCGCAATTTACCCCTTCAGGCTGGTGCTGGGGATGCAAAATTCGCCAAGTGTGAAATCTGGGGCGATCAATTCGGCGGCTCGACACAATTAATTTCGGATTAATAACCATTTCCCTCGCCTAAGAGGATTAAAAGTGGCTGACATAAATTTTGACCCTTCCTGCCAAAAGGGGTGCAAAAGTATTTTCACCCCCGCGCTACGGATGGAGTGTAATTACATTTCACTCTCTCGACAGTAGAAAGATTTCTTAAATTAATTACATAGCGTGTCACGCAGAAGGCACTGAAAAATGGTCATCGCCGTTTCATCAGAGGAAAAGGTGCTAATGTTCATTGTGGTTGTGCTGGTTGACGGTATTATTTTATCCATTAAACTTAATGGCAAGCATCTTTTTATTATTTATACAAAAGTTACAAAACTCTTATTAAAATTTTTAAGAATTTTAAATTTTAATGTTGCAAATTTTATTAGAAAATTTATTTCGCAAATTTCTATTTTCGCCACTTTAATACAATTTGATGTAATTATTAATTAATTCAAGTGATAAAAATTCAATATTTTTAAAGAAATAAATTTTATTATATTTTCACAATTAATTCAAATAAAAAGTAAAAAGTGTAGCAAAATATAATTTGAAACTTTGCTAGAGACAATACATACCGTCTAAGTTTTGTATTTATGCAAGGTTTGACTGAATTATAATAAAAAAGTCTGTGACGTAAAGCTATGTCTTTTTGGCACAATAAATTAGCAAAAGTCCAAAATATTCTTTATTCCACACAGAAAAGATAAAACCTAAATCGATTTTTTTAAGTTAAAATTCACACCTGCCTTACAATTAGTTAGGCTGAAAATTCTTTGATTAACTATTAAATGAATTAATTTGTAATGAAAATTTAGAATTAAAAAACCATTCAACACTTTTCCTTTTCATTTTGTTAAAATTTGAAACAAGGGCGAGGTCAGGTGCACAGTTTGTACCTCCACGCCTGTAATTACCCGTCATATACATTTAAATTACAACGCGCGAGCTTGTTATCTCTCCTACACTACAGACAGTCTATTATATGCGTCGGACTTGTTCGTTTGTTACCTGATCCAAAACCGCACATGTTTCAGAGCTGCAGGCTGTATTAAAGGGCGCTCCTATTGAACATGTATTTATGCGCCATCATATTATAATCTTTATGTACAATAAAGCACAACAGAGGACAAGCAAATCGCTGTGTTGACCTAATTGGGCGATAATGAACGTGTCCTTTTACTGACACTTGATCCAAACGTTCAAATAGCAGTGACGAAAGGGTAGTCAAAGGAATTGGTTTATCTAAAAAGTTCCCCATTTTTTGTCGCATTCAAATAATAAAAAAAAAAAAAAAAAAAAAAAAATGCAAACGCCACCAACTTCGGATTTACATTTTGCTCAAAGAGGACAGTTATGGCGCTTGGCTTAATGGCAAGAGGGAAAAGCTCGTCGTCCGTATTTGCTGGGTTGGCTGAGAGATTTTGCGCCAGCTTTTACAGTACAGTGCGCGCCAGTCCAAAGTGCCTCTCTTGTGTACGCCGAACGATGTGCCATTTGCATTGGGCCGAGTGAGCCGCTCGTACGTGTTTATGATTTTGCAACTTAGCCTCTCTCTTTGGGAGTTGAAAGTGAATTAGCCTGGCAGCATCAGTCTGGTGCTCAGCCAAGAGTAGTCCCCTGTTGGTGATTCAAAATCAATATTCATCAGAATTCACTCACTAATATCTGTTGTTATTTCAGTATCACACCAACCTGCTTTCCAAATGCACACAGATCATTGGGGTTGATTTCATATTTTTCATAACAATACAATGCATTAGCCAATTCTCCACAAAAATATATCTTTCATCTTCTGCTCAGTAATTTTATTATTTTTTTTTTTAAATTATTCAGAATTAAGTCAAATAAACAAATAGCATAAATTAATATAGGATAGGTAAGACACGGCAAAAAATTTGCTAAAACACGGGAGCTGAAAGGGAAGTCTGCTCTAAGTTGGGACACAAAATGTATTATTTTTAATTTCTTTGAAATTACAAAAGAACATAAACTTAAATCTGACGACTTTTTTAATAGTAATTATTAATGTTAATAGAATGAGACGAGTGAAAGACGTGTTGTGCACCGGTTGCACACAAAGAGTGCTGAGAGATGCGGCATTTGTGAAGTGTATGGGCAAATGTGGCAAGTATCGGCACATGAAGTGTGCAGGAGTGCTCACAAGTGATCGTGTGCTTAAGGAGGACTTCGTGGCGAAGAAATGGGTCTGCAAAGTGTGCACCGACTCAACCCCGGAGTCCAGCAATGGCGAGTGTATGGCGAGTATGGTGAGCGACGAGTCAGCGCTGCCTGCTGCGGCGGACGAGCTGCTGGCGGGCAACAAAGGCGCAGACAAGGAAGAGGCTCTCCCTGGAATTACTGATAAGGTGCCAGATGATCTTACGGTACCTGGGGGTGGTGAAACGGGATCCAAACTGAAGGTAAATAAAACGTGGTCCAGTGTTGCCAGTACCAAAAAGTGCCCTAAAGAGGTTCCGGTTGTACCGAACGGGGTTGTTTTGCAATCTGACACCCCCGCCTCTGACGAAGGCAAATGGACGAAGGTCTCCCATCAGAAAAAGAAAAATGAGAAAAATTGGAAAGCAAACGACATCTTCTTGCAGGCGACCAAAACAGGTGAAAAAGCAAGAATTTTAGCCCTCCAGGCTATTTCTGACAAGGAAAGGAGAGAGCATGTAGTGGACCTGTGCACAACAAAAACAGGGGTGGTAATCCGCTGCCGCGACGAAAGGGGGAAAAAGGTTATCAATGACCTGCTGCAAGCGAGCGAAAGTGTCCGCATACCGACCGATCGCCGTGAGCAGCACCCACCGCGCGCACGTGTATGTGCTTATGGGGCCTACGTGGAGGATTTCCCGAACAAAGAGGATCTGAAAGCAGACGTAAACAAGCAGTTTGTTTTGGAGGAAATAAAGAGCAGTGGTCTTTATGCAGAGAGAGAAATTTCAGTTCTTGCTATTTACAAGCTGAATATTTGGGGACGTAGACAGCAGCTGGACGAAAAGGTGAAAATTGTTCTCTCTGTTGATGCTGAAACAAAGGAGATGATGAAGAAGAGTGGCCTATTAATTGGAGTCAAACTCTGCAAAGTAGCGGAAAGCAGCAGCCCGATCGCGTGTTTCAAGTGTCGGGGTTTTGGACACACAGCGAAAAACTGCAGCAGTGAAAAGGCCGTCTGCATCCGATGTGCGGGTGACCATTTTTCAAACGAGTGTACAGCAAGTGCAGAAAAAT